CTGGGCACGTGAGTGAGATCCTGACAATGAACACGGAAGGGGTTAAACCTGAAAATCCTGAACTAAAAAAATAATTAGTTTATATAATTTATATCTATCGAACTATTGCATTATTTTATTTCAAATTGTAATGACTCTACTCTTTGAGAAATCATTGAAATTACAAGAGAATAAAGACAATGAACAAGACTTGAATTTGTTAAGAAAGATATTACGAACAATTTAACTTAAACTTTGACTCAAACAATCAAAATCAAAAAATTGATTCCAAATTAAATATTAATAGAAATAATCTCAGGAGACTTCTTTATCAAAGTACATTTTCGATGCGAAAGCAATAATCAAACTTGTTACTTTGATTCAAAAATCTACCTGTCGCGAAGTATCTTCTTGCACATAAAATTTCATATATTTATTTTTCTGCAGAAAAAATTCTAATCTTATTATTATATTTCAAATTTTACTGAAGTTCATAATTATATTTAATTATATTTAATACTATTATAAAAAGAAAGATGAAATTGAAAATTATTAATTATTAATTATTATAACAAAATATATCACCAATATAAATAATAACTGCATCTTTCATAGCAACGAAGTCGGAGGGTATCCGTCTTCTCTACTATGGAATGCTCAAACGAAATCATTTTAATAATAATTATTTATAAGTATTTATAATTTATCTATTCATATAGATAAATTGCATATTTTACCTTTGCAAATATTTATATTGAAGATATTTTGATTCTATAAGTAATTACTACAAATTTAATTGTTAAAATCGCGATGTGCAAGAAGCCCTATCCTGATCTAATACATAAAAAACCTGAAAAAAATGTTACTACTCACGAGTATAAAAAATACCCGCGGTCACTATGCTCATAAAAAATTCTACGTATACAACCAATCACCCGTGCCGATTCGGACCTTTCATCCTACGACATGATTGGGTGACCGGAGGAACATAAATGCATGCGACTCACTGGATAGATGTGAAGAACGTTATCATCGATGCTGTACTGGAGCAGGGAAAGTTATCGTGAAGACTCTCACCAAGATACCACTGAGAATCCAATGGCAGAAGTGAACACCGCAAAAAATTTCTTAAAAAATATAAAACATTTCGTTTCTAAATACACAGTGTTACTTGTAAAAATTTAAATTTTAATAATGATAAAAATTGGGTTTAATAATTTGAAATATTTTTATTTTATAATTATAATTTTACATTCGATTTTAATACAGAAAGAACTACAAAAAATGAAAAGAATTTAAATACAGTATGCTAAAATACTTACGTTTTTAACTTTTGAAGCATCGTTCTTGGAGGATTAGGGGAAGTGGAGACTGTAGAAGATCTATGACAAAACATTAAACATTAGAATTTGTATTTAAAAGCAAAGCAAAATCTTAAGTTGGAGATAATGAAAGATTCTTACATTCTTGGCTTTAGAGCCATCTTGGATTTTCCCCAAAAAATGCAAAAAATTGATGCTGTAAAGCGTCTGTAACAAACATCAAACATTATACTTTGTTATTAAATTTAAAAAAATTGAATAAATTGAGATACATTATATAAAACTACTTACAATCTTGATCTGGAGAGGCCTTATCCTCTTGAGCACTGACTCTAATACCGAAAACGGATATTGAACAAGAAAAAAGAAAAATAAAAGACTATCAACGCGCGTGTTTAAGTAACAATCGACGAACTCACTGACTCTAACTTCGCGAATTATAATTTAAATGAATTAATAATTTAATTTAACACGAGTTATTTTACTCAGAAAAATGTTAAAATACTGCGCAACAAACACTGATTCTATCGACCGCATTGCGCGCAATCATTAAAATTTTCTAAAAATAAAGCTGGTTAGTTAGAGGAGGGAGAAGAATACGTTTATTTAGAAAATACTGCTATTTTTCTAGAACATGATTGTAAAGAAACTTGAATATTTATTAAAGATATTAGTTGTAAATTATAAAGTATTTCTCAATACTGAATACTGTAAATGGAAAACGAGTATTGTATTCTGAATGCTTGTTATTAGAGTAGGAATATATACATTAATAATATATCACGTCAAGTGTTATAAATAATCGAAAATGTTTCACAAGTCAAAATTTTACAGCTAAATGTACTTAAGAAATAATATTACGAAAAACGTGTGTGAAATCTTGCTTTGAATCGTTTAATTACACATCAATCGTTTGTTTATATCTAAAATAAATGAAATGTTACCAAATTTCCGTCAAAGAATATTACATTGCCCATTAATAATCGTAGCGTTTATGTGTTCCATTCCATCTCTGGAATCAAGAAATAACCTGTAAAAGAAACCAAAAATTAGAACAAATGTGTGAAACGAGGCAAATGTATAAAAATGAAACGATAATCAACTTTAAATTCTACTAAAGTGAAATCGAGGCCGAGTTAGCAGTACACGTTTTCGTTACCGTAATACTCGATTAATCGTTAAACACAAGTGTATTATTTAAATATACTATTAATGAGGTATAAATGGAAGTGAAATAGTGTCGAAGAAGCGACGCTATCGAAAAGACGCTACCGATAGGTTAAAAAAGATTACGAACCTAATGCATGTTGTTGTCACGAAATTCGATGACTGAATGACTCTCCACGTCTCGTCCAATTAAGAAAATAGTAGGGGGTAGGGTGATCTTGAACGAATAGGTACGACATTTCGACATGTTCAGTCGAAAATATTTATTTGCAACGCTGAAAAAACAGGTGCGATATTAAGAGCCTTACACAAACACGTAGCGTGTATTTATGTTTTTTTGAACGAATTTCGCCTTAAGACTTTCTACGCCTTACTTACTTGAGAAATGGAAAATTTTATTGTATTACGCAGTAAAATTGTTATTTTAACTATCAAAGACGTACATTCTTAATAAATTATTATTGAATTTAGTATTAAAATTACTAAAAATTACGCAGTATGAAATTAAAGAATCAATAAATAAATAGAAAATGTTGTAACAGAAGTATGTGTGTAAAAGCATATGATAAAATACGTGTATATATATATATAATGAGTTAGTCAATTACAAGGTTACAATATTTTTACTGGTTAGAATCGAAATTAAATTTTGGTATAAAATTATAAATAACTTTTAGCATGATATATGCTGTTTAAATGTTTATATAACATTATTTCTTTAATTGTTAAAAATTGCATGTAACGATTATTTGGTTAAATCTTACCTTGAGTTGAAGCCAAAAACGTTTTATCACAAAAATACAGAACACAAACACAAATCTAACAACTATTGATTTAAATTTTTACCTGAGAACTTCTAAACGATACTTTTTTCTGAACAACACTTTCCTCTTTACAGACTAGGTGTGCTTCCTTCCGCCATGTTTGCCGCTTGAAATTCGATCATGAGAAATATCGATATTTTCGAGAATCGTAGGAGTGTTTCCGCATTTCACCGTTGGCGCTGTAATCGCGCATTTCTCACGAAATGTTAACTGAAATAAAAAATAAAAAATTTTGATTAGTAATACACAAAATTCATGAAAAATTCTTAAAAAAGAACGAAAATATTCATACATTAAATGAAAAATTGTCAATACCTTAAACTGAGAAATTTTATTATATTACGCAGTAGAATTATTATTTTAGCCACTAAATACGTACATTCTTAATAAATTATTGTCGAATTTAATATTGTTAAGAATTATGCAATATATGAAGTTAAAAAATTAACAAATGAGTAAAAAATGTTACAACAAAAATAAAAGCATTTTATATATAATCATAAGTCAGATTACAAGGTTATAATATTTGTACTGGTTAGAATTGAAATTAAATTTTAATATACGATTATAAATAACTTTTAACATGGTATATGCTGTTCAAATGTTTATATGCCATTATTTCTTTAATTGTTGAAAATTGCATGTAATGATTATTTGGTTAAATCTTACCTTGAGTTAAATCTTACCTTGAGTTGAAACAAAAAATGCACGTTTTATCATATAATATACAGAAATACACAACGCAAACATAAATCTAAAATTTTTACCTGAGAACTTCTAGATAATACTTGTTTTTGAATGATTTTTCTGGACAACACTTTCCTCTTTACGGACTACGTGTACTTCCTTCCGCCATGTTTGCCGCTTAAAATTCGATCATGAAAAATATCGATATTTTCGAGAATCGTAGGAGTGTTTCCGTATTTCATCGTTGGCGCTGTAATCCATTAACTATTTAAATCCAATACGCACGAAATATGAACTCGATATAAAAAATAAAAAACTGTGGTCTAAATCAAATACACAAAATTTATGAGAAATTCTTTAAAAAGAATGAAAATATTCTGAAAGAAAACGACAACATAATTTCTTTTAATAACATAAAGTTTCCATACAGTATTATATACCTATGCAGTATGTAGAAGCTAGAGAACTGAATTGCAACTACGAATTTCGATTCGAATTATAAGTTTCAGCACTCTCGTGAATTTATGATACGTCCTTATGTAAATTGCTATTGAGAAGCTGGCAGAAACCCAAGTTCTTTAAATTTTAATTGGAACCCAAAGTTTTCCAACTCGTAACTAATTAATCTGAAAATTTTAAGAGAAAACTGCTGGGAAAATTTAGATTTGGAAACATACTGTAAATCCAACTATCTATTAAATGTAATTAATGCTTCAAATTTCCTAACGTATTATTTTCTTCTAATTCTAAACAGTTCATAATTTTCTATTTAATTTTATAATTTATTAATTTTAATTTACTTTCTAATTTATAATTTGTTATTTAATTCTAATTCTAAATATCTATTTATCTATCAAATATTTGTAAAGCTTTTATAAAAATTTATTACATTCAAGAAATCTTCATCTCTTATTTAATTATGGATCATTTCTCTCTCAATGATAGCATAATGTTTTTTATGATTTAATAAAAAAAACTTGTGAATCTTATTTATAGTATTTTCAGTTTCTTATCCCAAAGAAATAAAATCAGAACGACATATCAAAATCTCGAATTTTATGGCGATATATTTTTCATTTAAATACACTTACATCGATGATCACCATAACACTGAACAAGAAACAGATGCATTCTCGACAATACGATTTCAGAAACCATATTTACCTCGTACAGTCTTGTACCAGCCTGTTGATCTCACAGTTCACCATGGATTCGTCAAATTAAATTCATTACGTTCGAGGATCGATGGAATACATTCTTCTCATCCGTGAAATGTCTTGGAGAAGACGGTCGTCGAACGAGGTTAAAGGAAAACCGTATTAAAGTGAATCATCCATGCTGTCTTGTAGGTTCAAATTGCGTTTTCTCTCTAAATTCATTTGATCGGAAATTCGAATTAAATTAGCCTGTTCATTCCGAAGAACTCTCCTTAGCTCTTGCAGCTTCCAGTCTGTCTCTATTTGCTTCTTCGCTATCTGTTTCTGCAAAGCAGCTATACGCTGATTCAAAATATTGTAATCCACCTGTGATGGAGTAGCTGGTCCAGATGAATCGCAAGGCACTGCTTTACTGTCCTGGTGTACCATATCCGATGTCAACTGGCAAATCTTATCGTGAAGCTCTGCCAGTTGTGTCAGTGTCAACGACTGCAAAAAATACGTTCCAATTAATGATATTCCATTTACTAGAATGAAATATGCTTTATTGATTGAACCTTTACCCAATCTAAATGTGAGCATATGATATATGAACAAAAAACAATTTATTAATAAAAAGATTGATTTTCAACAGTATTACATTAAATCTTTACTAAATACACCATATGTTCTTGTACTAATCTTTACAACTAATCTTCTTTTAATAAGAATAATGATTTGTCGAATAATTTATAATTTGTAATTTAAAAAATTTTAAACAATAGGTTTTGTACGAATCAATATTTTTGATAGTGGAATTCAACTGAGAATATTAAATTATAAATATTATATTTTTTGATAAAAAAAAAATTATAAATGCAATTTATTTAAAATTTTATTGTTCGAACTTCAATAAAAAAATAAACATTGTTTAAGCTATTGTTTAATTCAAATTTAAAGATATGTCTTTGATTTAATGTGGGATAAAGACATATACATATAAATTTTTGGAGTACAGAATGATTTATTAAATCTATCAGATTTATTCATTCATTAAATAACATCATTAATCTACATCATTGTGGTTTACATGAGGTAACCACAACGTTGATAATATAATCAATATAATGTATCGATAATATTCGATTCAGTAACGCATTAATTTTCGTATAACATGTCAGAAAATATTTATGTGTGTCAAATATTTGCATGTAAAACTAAAATGTTTTTTCAATTATTTTTCATGGCAGAAATTCGTGATATTATCAACTTCTTATAATTGATAACATTAAAAATATCAACGAGTATCAATAAATTTTAAGGTACGAATAAGCTATTAATATTTTTTTGATAATCTAATGGAAAATGGAAATAAATAATTAAAGAGGATACGTATACCCTACATTTATATACATATTGAAGCAGTAATTATTGAAAATAGTAATTTTCACGTAAAAGCTTTCGACTATAAATTTTTACGTTCTTATGTTATTAAGTAAAAGCTTTTGTTGAAAGCAAAAATTTAGATTATTAATTAATAGATATGCTTCTACACATTGCTAATGAATATTTTTTACCTAAAAATTCCAACTGATATACAGTGCAGTAAAGACATCCGTTAGAAATATACAAAAATGAAAAACTTGCAATGATATTGAATTTTCATTTAATGGATATATTTAATTTATACTTAATTGTGTTTGGACTTACATTCAGCCAACTGTCAGGATCAAAGGCTCCTTCGTAAGGTTTAACCTATGCAACATATGAATATAATGAGTTAAAATAATAAAATTAAATATTTCATACATAAATATCTTATAAATTGTTTAGTAAATATTTTTTACTATTTTATATTTAAATATTTTTATTTATAAATTTAAAAAATTGTGTTTACTTTCATTTTAGTATCATTATGCATAGTATTTTAATAAAACAATAAATAATAAGAAGAATATAAATCTATTTTTCATCAATAGCCATATCATCATTTATTCACACATTATAAATTCAGCCTGTCAATTTTTTATTTTCAAAATTAATAGCAGTAATAAAATCAATTTAAATTAGTTTTTCTTCTTTCTAATTGTCAAAATTATTTTAAAAAGATGAAAAAATATCAGAAACTGATTTAAAATAAAAGAAACAGTATTTTTTCGAAATAAAAAACTCGAAACATTTAAAATACAAAATATTGTGTATGTTATACATACCCCAAGATTTTTTATTTCCTGTTCCGTTTGATAAATATCATTGGACAGGCTGTGCGATTTCATTAATAAGTTTGCAATGTCTTTTCTCAATTCTGGATCAATTTCTGGTTCCTCTTCTGGCTTGTCTGCCATTTTAGGTTCTTCAATTTTACCTTCCAAATATTTAATATAATCCCGAATGCGTTGCACACCTATTTTATACAACAGAAAATAAAATTTTAGTATAAAAGAAGAATATTTTATATTTTGCAATCTAAAACAAAAATTTGACAAAACCATAAAAATCAATTCTCGAATCTCTGGGTTTCTTTGCTCATAAAAAAATGTCCATATAATTTTTACCTTCGTTTTGCTTTTCAAATTTCTTCTCCAGTAATTCGTTCATTTTAATGAAATCGCTGTAATCATCCAGAATATCTTTATCTATTTCCGTCTTCTTAGGCTTTATCTTCTCCACTATATAAAATTCATTTCATAAATGAATGTATTTATGGCTTCGTAAACAGAATGATGTTTTGTTACACTCTTATCAATTAGTACTTAGTAGTTGAAAAATATGTCTCAGCACTTTAAAATTAGAGCAAACTAAAAATGTAAATCAGATTTTCTTAAAATCTGATGCGTATATTTGTAAAACGTTATTTAATTTTCTTGTAAAATATAATTTGCTATAAAATCAAATAAAATGTATCGTCGAAACGCGAATAATTTTAGATCAAAACAAAAATATACCGACTACTAGTAAATATACACTAGTGTAAAAATATACCGAATATTACTTAAGATAAACTCCGTCCATTAGCCACTCTGCTTGAATTTACAAACTCCCTATCCAATTTGAATAAGAGTGCAAACAATCGAAACTCTTCTGCAATACTTATCATACCTTGCTTCAGTTCGGCATTTTCCTTCTTCAACTTTTCCAATTCCTCATGCAGTCTTTCATTCTCTGCTTGGCAAACGAATAATTGGCTTTTCAGTTTCTTGTTCCCATCTTTCAACTCATCATTTTCTTTCTTCAATTTATCAAGATCACCGTTTAACGCAGCATCGCGTTCCTTCTGTCTATTCTTCTCGTTTCTTAGTTTACCTAACTCTGACCTTAAGTCACCGTAATCGCTTTTCAATTTATCCAAATCGCCCTTTAATTTACTCGCTTCGTTCTTCGCCTTGTTTAAATCGTTCTGCAATTCTGCATTTTGCGATTTCAAGTCTTCCAATTCTTTGCGCAGTCTTGCATTCTCCGTTTGACAATCATCCAAATCGCTCTTCAGTTTCGCGCTCTTTTCCTTTATTTTGACTAGTTCTTCCACTGACACGTCCTCACGTTCTTTTGGCATATCTTTTTCATCCCTCAGGTCAACCAATTCAGGTTCTAACTTGTAATCAGTTTTCAATTTGTCTAAATCGTTCCTCAACCTGTTCAATTCATTCATCGCGTTATTCAAATCTTCCTGCAATTTTGCATTCTCCGATTTCAATTTATCTAGCTCCGGACTCAATCTATCTAGCTCCTTCTTAGCATCTTCTAATTGTTTCTTCAGAGGTTCCAGCTCCTTCATCGTGCTCTCGAGATCAGCCACTTTCCTCCTCAGGTGATCGTTTTCATTCCTCGAATCGTTCAGCTGTTTCTCCGCCTGCGTCAATTTGTTCTTCGTTTCGGCTAACTCCGCCGTCAATTTCGCATTCTCAACCTTCAGGCTCGCATTTTCGTCTTCCAGCTTTGCATTCTCATTTCTCAGCCTCGCATTCTCATCTTTCAAGGCTTCCAATTGCTTATTCAACTTTGCTAATTCCGCATTCAGCTTCTCGTTCTCATTCTTTAGCGTTTCGTTCTCACGGCGAGTCTCGTCCAACGCCCCTTTTAGGGCAGCTAGCTCGTCCTTCAGGGCGGCTAGCTCCTTCACGGCTGCGTCTTTCGCGGTTATCTGCTTCTCTGCCTCGTTTCGAAGATTGTTCAGCTCTTGCCGGAGACGATCGAGTTCGTTGATCAATTCCTCTTTCTCGGCTAACAAATCGGAAATTTCATCTTCCAGAGATTTTACCTTTACTTCTGCAACTGCCAACGTCTTCTTTAACTCGTCGATCTCGTTCTTCATACGATCGTTTTCCTTTCTTAATTTTCCTAGCTCGTCTGTTATCTCGTTTAACTCATTTTGCAGCTTATCGTTCTCAGCTTGACAATTTTGTAGATCCACTCTTAATCTTTCCGCAGCTTCTTTTTCTGCGTTTAAGTTAGATCTTAGTCTATCGATCTCTATTTTCTGACCATCGCCTTCTCCCTTCAACTTGCCATACTCGTCCTTGAGATTTTTCCTATCCTGCAGTAGGTTCGCGTTTTCCGCTTTCAGAGCATCTAAATCGATTTTCAATTTATTATACTCATCCTTTAAACTTTTCAGGAGATCTACTTCTGATTTTAACGCGTTGTTAGCATCTCTCAATGCGAAGACCTCATTTTTGGATTTTTCCAGTTCGTTTCTTGTCGCTGAAAGTTGTCTACCTAGATCGTCCAGTTCGTTTCTGTATCTATTATTGTCTGCTCTCAATTTTTCTAGTTCCTTTTTCAATGCATCAAGTTCGTCTTTCAGATTTATGATTTCTGAATCACCCTTATCTTTCGCCAATTTTTCTGCTTCCAGCGTCTTCGTCTGTTGTTCGAATTGAGACGTCAAATCAGCTAGTTTTTGATCAAGCTCACCTTTTTCATTCTTCAGATGCTTTAACTCTTCTTGTAGTGTTTTGTTTCTAGCCTATTAAATATTGAAAATAAATTTAAACACACTGAGTATTATTTTTATTATTTGAGTCTTTCGTTTTGTATATCCTAATACTTAAGAACGAAAGTATACATTCTTACAATTTCTTTTACCTTACACTCGCTCACATCTTTCAACGTTCCCTCAAAATCAGCTCTCAATTTATCAATCTCTAATTGAAGCTTGCAACTCTCCATTTTCCAATGATCCACGTCTGCTTCCAATTTAGTGATTTTTTCTTTTAACTCGTCAACTAATTTCTTCAGATCAGCAATCTCTTGTTTCAGATCCGCACACTCCGCTTTTAAATTCGATAAATCTTGATCCATATTCAATAACTTTGCTTTGAGATCTTGCTTCTCCTGTTTCAAAGCATCGTTTTCTGCCCTGGCATTGTCCAACTTCTTACTCAGATCTTGCACCTGATCCTCCAATATCTTCAAGCCGTTCCGCATCTTTTCATTGTCAGCAATTTCTTTGCCCACTTTTGCTTTCAAATCGTTCACCTCGTTTTCCAAATCTGTCAAATCATTTCGTAATTTATCGTTTTCACTCTGTAAACGAGAGACCAACGGTTCCAGAGACCGAATTTTCTCCTCGGATTTATCGAGGTCTGCCTTTAATTTATTCAATTCGTCGTTCAATGATTGCAACTGTTCCCGTAATTTTGCAAGCTCGTCTTTTAATTTATCATTCTCCTGCCTGCACGAATTTATCTCTTCTTTCAATTTCTTGTTTTCGGCTTCAACTTGAGTCTTTTCCGCTCGCAGTTTCTCGTTGTCCGCTTGCAGTTTTTCGTTCTCCGCCTTACCGTCACTCAATTGCTTGCTCAATTGATCCCTCTTGCCTTTCAAAGCGGAATTCTCGTCCTTCAGTTTATTTAACTCCACGACTAGACTATCCCCTTCACCTTTCATCCCCTGAATTTTAGACTTCAAGCCATTGTTCTCGCTTCTCAGCTTCTCCATCTCGCCGACACACTTATCCAGCGCGTCTTTCAAAGAAGCTACCTCGGATTTCAATTGATCGATATCCTCTAAAAATTTTTCCACTTCGTGTGTCAAATGATCGACCTCGCCGAGCAAATCCGCGTTTTCCGACTTTAGTTTGTCCAACTCCCCTAATTTTTGTCGCAGTTCCTCCTTTCTCGCTTTCAAGTCAGCGTTCTCCTTCGTTAAACGTTCGTCAAGTCCTTGAATATCGGACTTCAAAGCTTGATTCTCCGATTTAAGGTCATCATTCTCAGTCCGCAACTTCTCCATCTCGTCCACGCACTTGTCGAGCGCGTCCTTCAACGAACTTGCCTCGGATTTTAATTGGTCAACCTCCTTCCAGGTTTTCTCCAATTCCTGTTTCAAACGATCTAGTTCGCCGAGCAAATCGGAATTTTCTCCCTTCAGTTCATCCAATTTCGCCAGTTTCTTCCCAAATTCCGCAATTTCATTTTTCAAACTGTCGTTTTCCTTCTTCAAACGATTGGCAATGTCCTGAATTTCGGACTTCAGAGCCTCGTTCTCCTTCTTCAGGTCATTGTTTTCGGTTCTCAGTTTCTCCATTTCGCCCACGCAATTGTCCAGCCCATCCTTCAGAGAACCTATTTCGAATTTTAACTGATCAATGTCCTGCAACGTTTTCTCCAGCTCTTTTCTCGAACGATCCATTTCAGCAAGTAAATCTGCATTTTCCCCCTTTATCTGATCCAGCTCTTCTAACCTCCGTTGCAATTCCATGTTTCTGTTTCTCAAGTCGTCGTTCTCCTTCGTCAAGCGATCCTTCTCGGATTTCAAGCCCTCCTCTCGTTGTTCCAGTTCGGCGAGTTCGAGTTTCTTATCTTTATCCGCCGCCTTTAACGCATCGCCAGCGGCTTTCAGCTCCTCCACTTGCCCCCTAGAATCCTCAAGGTCGTCCCTTAACGCCTTCATATCCCGCTTCAACGAATCGTTCTCGAGCTTCATCTCGTCGAGGCTCTTCTGCAGCTCGCCTTTCTCCGATTTCAGTTTGTCGAGTTGTTCGCCGGCCTCGTCCAGTTCGGCTCTCAGACTCTCATTTTCCGCAATCGCTCGTTCGAGCTGCTTTCTGATACTGTTATTCTCGTTCAACAACGCGTCGCGTTTCTGTTCCGCGTTGGCCAACTCGTCCGTCAGTTTGTCGATCTCCGCTTGCAAATTATCCATCGCCCGTTTCATACTATCACAATCGTTTCTCAGCTGATTATTTAAATCGTTCAGCTCCTCCATCCTCTCCGTCAGGCTGTCGTTCTCGCTCTTCAGCTGCTCCAGTCGAGCCTCTAACTTTTCGTTCTCGTCGGCCAGCTCCTTCGACGCTTCCAATGCCTGGCGAAGTTTATCGTTTTCCTTCCTCTCGGCGTCGATCTGATCCTTCAGATCCGAATTCTCCTTCTGCAACTTTTCAATCTCGTTTCGGCTATCCTCCAGTTCCTTCTCCAACGCGTTCCTGGCTGCTCTCTCATCCTCCAGTTGCTCGGTCAGCGCCTCCATCTGTTTTCTCGCCTCGTCTAGCTCGTTCAACAAATTCTTCTTGTCTCTCCTCAAAGCGTCCACCTCGTTCTCAAGATCGGCTATTGTGAGTTTCGCGGCTGCGAGATTCTCCTCCAGGTCGCGTAGCTCCATCGAAAGAGCGTCTTTATCCATGCAATACTCCTGCAGCTCCGCGTTTCGCTCGTTACAGTCTTCCAACTCGTTCGTCAGATTGGCTATCTCAGCTTTCAGATCGTCAACATCTTGGTTCGCCTTATCGAGTTTCGACTGTAAGTCGGCTGTTTCATCTTTGAAGTCTTCCAGTTTGGATTTTAGGGTGGAGAGCTCGAGCAGGTCAATTTCTGATTGTCTTAGAGTGTTCAAGAGTTCTGCGATCTGTTTTTTTATTTAAAGATCAAATTGAATTATGAAATGAAATTAACTGATAATTCAAAATTAAGTTATTAAAAAGTACTACGGTTAAATTCTATTAGGAAAAATAAAGAAATATATGTTGACCATCAAACTCATAACTTTTCGTAATTTCACATAAAAGTTTTGAAATCACAAATCACATCTAAAGTATAAAAATGATAGAATTTGCATTTAACAATGGAATTCCAATAACGAGAATAAATTGTGAGAAAATATATATAAAGTGTATATAAACAGTATATAATTTCCTATACATCAAGAATTAATATCATACCTTTCATTGAAATCTCACTCATTAATATTTTATGATAAACAACCTTTTATTATTATGCTAAATAACTCTATGACTCTATCTGAAGTTATTAGTGAACGTTTGAAGCTTTAAACCATTTAGATACCTTGTCTTCCTTCCTCCTAAGGTCCTCTTTCATGGCTTCTAGATCTTTTTGACTGACTATCGAGTCCAATTCTTTGTTCAACTCATCGATCAGCTTGTCTTTTTCTTCTAACTGTTTCCTTAGGTCAGTCACGGTATCTTCGCAATTATTCAGCTTGTCCAGTAGGTCTGAAATGTCAACGTATTCCGGCACGGTAACTGTTTCGGCTGTTCTCAAGATTGATTCCGGTACTTCCTTCCTTTCGTGATCAGCCAACACACGACGCAAGTTAGCCAACTCGTCCAAAAGACGTTCGTTTTCCAAACGCAGATCGTCGCAGCTCTTCGAAAGGTCCACCAAGGTTTCGATCGATTTCTCCACAACTTTGGAGACCTGCTCCTCGGCCACTTGACCTTTCATGAGTTCACGCAACTTTGCCCTTAAACGATATATCGCGGGGCAGCTGATGTCCTCTTCAACCTGTGCCAGCTTCAACCTCAAATCCGATATTATGTCCCGCAATCTGTAAAGAAGTTTGACGCTTCAGAATTCTCAGGCTACAAAAACATTTTCGGATATTTTTAGTGGAAAAGATATAGAGTAGTTGTAAAATGAATCAGGCGCGGAAATAAGACATTTTTGTTCTGTCAGGAGTCAGCAGTTAGACTACAATTAAATTCTTCTATAGTTACAAGCTAGATTTTATAGATGTGATAATTACTACGAAGAAGAAATGGAATATAATATAATTTTAATCCTTCTAGCCCTATTTTATGATATTTGATTAAATGGTTCCATTTCAAAGTAATCCTTTCAGTGTAAATAGTGAGATCTTTGATAATAATAATTAATAATAAGCGACATGAATAGAGAAAAATATTAATTTTAAAAAATTCCAAAATAATAATTGGTAACAAGTTAGGTCATATTATCTAGACATTTTTCGCGAGAACTATTATATGCAGATAAAATACCATTAAAACTTTAATTTAATATTAATTTAATAACGTATATATTTTATATGACGGTACTTTGAAACTTTGCCTAAGATTCATATGATCCCATTTGCATTGTAAAAGTTAATTAAAAAAGGCAGATTATGTAATCTATACACTTTTCAAGGAAACATTTTGGTAAGTACATTAACCAAAGTAGTAACATATCGCTGAAACTTTAGCTGAACAGAATTAAATATTTATTACCTAGTAAGATGCTTTACATTTTCTCTGAGACGTATATGTCCCATTGGGACAAAAAGGGTTAATGGGAGGTCGTAAGTAGAACTTTAAATATTAATTCATAAATTCAGTGTTAACGCATTAGCTTCTAACGAACTGGTAAAGGTACTTACACTTATCCAGATCATGTTTATTATTGAATCAACGATTCATTTAATATTTCAATACTAATGCTCTCGCTATATCTTTTCCACAAGGAGTAAAATTTCCATTGTCTAAAATGAGATGTTGAAAACAGAAAAGGGTTGAACCATATTTTTTCTAAATTCTCGAATATGATATTAATTAGTCTAATAATTTATATTAAAGAGGTACATCGTCCTAAAGTACCTAAAAATAAATTTGGAAATGTTTTATACGATTATTTCAATTTTTGTAAATTCATTCTTCCAAACAATATTGTACTCGTGTAGTACGTATACACTACTGTTTCAAAATAATCAGATTAAATGTACAATATTTTGAAGATACTACATACAATTAAAATTTTGTTCTATAAAATAGCACTTAGAAAGTCTTCTAATGTTAATGAAATTTAACAGTCTAACAATAAATGATATTTAATTATATAGTATATAATATATATAGTAATATATATTATACGTATAACAAGATGAACCATTCCCACGTTTTTTAATAAACAATTTAGACTAGACAATTTACATTACTTAACTTGTAGATTTAACTCATTAAGTTGTATATTTTAGAAAAATCCACATATTAATAATAACTTATTGCGAATTAATTAAAATGTCCGGATACTTGTAAACAGCAGTGCATATCATCTACCAATCAATGATTCGTTGTCGGATTGAAGAAAGAATTAAACAAGATCTTGGTTCACGAGGTGGGAAAAGTAGGGAGCAGTAGTACTCTTTCTTTTCAAGCGCGAAACCCTCTCGGAGATATCTCATCTTCTCTCTGAAGAAGTGAATCGTGGCGTCAGGATCGTCACAGCAATCTCGCTCGGCAAGAGTTTCCTCGAGATCCCTCACTTTATCTTGGAGCGCCGCGTTTGCATTTTGCAGCCTTTCGATTTCTTCCTGGTAGTGCGCTAGCAGCGGATCGGGCTTCAATATCTCATCCACATTTACACCTACACGAAAACATCTAATCTTTAGAAACATTCGGAACAGTGCACGTGCATGATACCGTTCAAAGAAAACGCTCTGGATTTTAAAGGAAAATTCCCAAAGCGAGGTAGCTTCCGGTCTACATTCGTCTTCGGGTTTGTATCCACTATTACAGAATTTACTGGTCCAAATCCCCGAAAAATTGTATTGCAAATAATGTAGTAAATTTATTGCGAATTTCGAGAACAGCATAGATCAACGCAATTTTTTCGATGTCATTCCTTGGTTAAAATTGCGTACTTTGAGCAGAATTTATTGATCTGAGTTGAATTATGAATTATATTGCAAATAACGTAGTACAATCAACGTAGTGTCTCAAAACTATTGAAACATACTTGAACGTGATCATAATATATGTATTCAATCAGAAATGGATATAAATTCTTCAAAATTTTTTCAGTATCCTGATGTTCGCTCAAAGACACTCATTCGCATCCTCAACGACACGAAAACTATTTCGAGCTAATCAAATTAAATGGAACACCCAGTGTATATAATTTCTCTCGTTCCGCTTTTTGCAGCACTAATTGCACGGGACGTAATTCGTTTCGTCTAATTCGCAAGGCAAGAGAAACGCGAACGGAAGGGTATCCGTACAGAATTCCAATTAATCAATTTCGCACGAGTTAACTGCTAGACGAGTCACGGGTGGAGAAAGAGAATACCGAAGAAGAAGAAGACGAAGACGAAGAAGAATAATTGGAAGAAAGAGGAGAAAAGTTAGTAGAAGTATCATACATCGATACCGAATGACTGGAGGGCTTGTTTCAGTGATCTATTTTCGCTCTCGAGCTGAAGTCTTTCCATTCGCCACTTCTTCATCTGACACTTCATTACCGTGAGCTTCTTCAGGGCAAACGGCAAGTCGTAGATCTCTGCTTCTTTGTCGCTGAAGGGATTATAGCTGCAGCAACAGCACGGCTCGTGCGGCGGATCGATCGATTCACGCGTCGATGCGTCACATCCGCACCGACAGACCTCCATTGTACGAGTAATCTTTTAAAGTTTTCCGTAATTAGAAACCGCTTGCCCCGCAACGCGAGACGAGAATTTTAACATCGATTCGTGCCTGTAACAGATACGAAGAAACGAGCTTAGAGACGCTGGATCTTAGAGCTTGGGGACGAATTTGGAGGAATTGATTTTAGGAATTTAGAGACTCGATGGTAAAGAAATTTTGTGATTATATTGTTTGTGTAGTTCAATTATCAGAGTTTTAACTATGATAGATAGTAGAATAGTTCTAAAACTATTCTGAGTATAGTGCTCCATGTTTAATATTTAAATATTTAATAGACAAAATAATTATCTATCTAGATTTTTTCGACACAACTTGATACTGTAATGCTGTAATTTATAAAAAGCACTAATAATATTATTTCAATTGCAAGAGGGATGAAGTATATCTGAGAGCGAAATATTGTTAAAAAGCACAAAAAAGAAAAGATATCTTCTTTTCTGAATATAAAAATTATATATATAGGTATATATAAAAAGAAACACAATAACGACTGGCCATACATCATACGAATCCGCATTAAGATCATTATCGCCCACGTGCTACAAGACTCGCCACTTTTAAGAGAATATCAATATCCAATACTTTCCATTCATATCGCTGTCCTTACGTCCATTTCTCCGATCTCCTAAATTCGTTTTCCAGCCATCCGTTTTACAGGTTATCCGAACACGACTATTTTCCTGCTTTTTCTCCTTTTTTTTTCGACCACTCTGCTGCCAGTGTCACGAATCACCGATGTAAGTGAGTTATGATCGTAAACCGATTACAGACAGTTCGACGCACCTAAGCGCGAAACTGGCCCCGAGCACCAGGTAAAACAAAACATTTAGCCTGGATATACGAGGTTGGAATGATGTATTTCGACGCGGCAGTCACACTTTTGCTGCCACACGACCGCGGTCATCGATGAAGATCGATAATCTGATTTAACGTCAGACTGGTCTGTTTTATTGGGCCGTGTAATAAATTCGTTCAGATTTCGACGCTTAGATATGTTTTTCGTGCACGACATACATATATTTATTATTTATCGTGGTTTCATAAATGTCCAGTACAGCAGCCAATAGAATTTTCAGTGACATTGTTCGCGATCATTAGACCAGAGTATAGATTAACATCTTCGAAATGATATTAAAGATATTATTGTGCGTTATCATTATTATAGTTATTTTTCTTTGTTCTACTTTGATCGAAAACATTTTTCTAATAGTATTTATGCAAATTAACTCTTGACTCTTGGTGTCATTCGGCACTAGGAAACATAACAATTTAGATTTTACATTAAAATTAGAAAGACATCAAAATACAAATGATTTTAAAAATAGTCAAAGTAAAGACTAAATATTTTTCTAATGTTCAGAAAAAATCGCTGCTCTAAAAATTTTAAAATTCTTCATAGAAGATTAATAGTTCGAAACAAAGAAAATATGTACATTTTTTTAATAAATTAAATTCGTATCGTATCCATAATTCAGATTACGTCCTCAAATGATTAAGAATAAAGAAAGTTTCATAATAAATTTTCATACGTTCATATAATTTATTTATAATTTATTATATAAATTATTCATTGACAGAATGCACCCTCGAGCGAACTAACGAGCAACAGAACTGAAGATGAAACGTTCGAAAACTTTCGTATCGTTGTACAACTTTCTTAAAATTAGAACATCCAATAAAATGTTCTTTAACGAGAGTTAGCAAGTCGTAATTCAATTATGGCAATCGTTTAAATTGAACGTGAATCAAGAGTTACAGTATCTGTGAACTAAGAACTTTTAACGAAAACCTAATCGATGGAACCATTTCAGTGGTTGGTATTATACAATATAAATTTGCTAATAAATGTACCTGTAATAAATATTTTAAGTAATAAAATTTTTATTGATGCCAATATTGAAAAACGAAATTAGCGTGTTGAATATCTGGATATTTTAATTTGTACATTATACATATGTATATATCAAATTTTTGTATTATTCTTTTATATTTTTCAAATATGTTTAAATATGTTAAGTATGTTAAATATACTTTAAATACGTTTAAATTTTTATTGTTTAATCTTCTATAAAAAAGATGATTCACTATAATCGTGTTACATTAAAGAACACTGTGTGAAAGCTATTTCACAACTCTGTCTTATTAAAACAGAAATCCAAACTTGGTATTGGAAGAAAACTTCACTTGCCAATTATTACAAGCGTCATTTAAACGTTCGTGCTATATAATTCGTGTTAGAATCTCCTCTAAAAGAAGATGAACCAAAACTTCTGAGATAGTGAAATACCGCGCGTTTTCTTGGTATCCAAGATTAATATAAATTGTTCAACTTTGAACAAGGATTGGCACTTTAAATCTTTCGCCGTGACTAGTAACGCGAAGTTTCGCAGATGCTAATCACGACAAACAGAATCGTTCGTTTCGTTCAGCGTCGAAGTTTTTGCCGCGGAAGTTTCGCAATAAATATGTAAAAGTTAATATCGAGGCTTTAATAACAAAATTCTAACTGTGGCCTTTCGGCCGAAGTGCGCGTAATTTAATTACGAACATGGCGGAACTCCATGGCCGAGGATATGATCGAAAGTTCGCCGGTTCGTTTGGAAGTTTTCGCCGAATCGGACGGATAAGTAACTGCGTGGACCGACGATTCCTTTTAATGAGACAACTTTCTTGCCAATCTAAGAAGAAAGGCCTCGCTACCGTTCCTTTTAATTATATCGACATTCCGATCGTTTGTACAACAGAGGAGGGGAGGAGAGCGCGGAGAGCAGAAAGAGAGAAAAGAAAGAGAAAGATAGTTTCAGTTTTCGCGTTTCAAAAGACGAGCACCCGTCGACGAGCTGCATACAAACGCGTATTTTAATAACGCGGCTGTAATTAGATCTCGCGGAAACGTGTACCACGTTAATACTATGGTTACCACAGGATTCGCCGGAATTCCTGAAGCAATCTGCGCAAATTGATTACGTGAACAAGCACGAATTAATTAAAAAGATATTTCATTGTGTGTTTGAATAACTTGTTTCCCGAAAAAAAAAAAATTTCACGTCTAGCGGGAAACAAAAGCGCAATCCTACATTGTGCAGGGGGAACGTGGGGTGACTTGCGTGGAAAATTTACGGCAGGATGGTCGATGGAAGCAAGAACAGATTTATTAATTTGCCAACGTTATTATTATTGTTTAAGTGTTGAATCAAATGACAAGTTGTGTTAAACTTTATGGAGTTTTCTATACTCAACGATCTTAGGATAGCTACTGTTTTTAACCAAATTTTTGCATTTAATGCAGATTATGAATTTCGCAAGTTTCGCACGTTCTTAAATGAGATTGGTAATACATTATATTTAACGTGTGTTTTCTCTATTGTCTTTACAGTATAAATGGATAATTAAAATACAATTTTTTTATAATTCTTTCCCTGTTTCACTAAGATGTTTTATCTCAGTTCTATTAAAATAATAAAGTTAAAAATTAAATTCTTTATACATGGCAAATCCTTTCGTTAAGTCTATAATTATATTAAAAATAATATAAACTAATAAAATTAGTTAATAAACTAAAATAGTCTAACTCTCATCGTTTTGATATAATATATATCGTTTCATTATACATTATAATAAAATATAATAAAATTTATTCTTTAATCAATTCAAGATTTGCGTTTAAGAGAGAAATGTATAATTTAATAATCCTAATCGAACAAGCTAATTTATTCTAAACGAAAAACAATATAGCAATCATTTCTGTGACATGTCAAATGTAACATAACCATAAATTTTTAAACAAACTTCCTGTAAAAATAAAAAATAAAAATTCTATGCAAAAGAAGAAAATTATTCGTATAAAAATGCAGAATTTGGAAATATTTCTTTGCACGTTTCAAATGACTTTGAGGTATGATATTTCAAAATAATTATAATATACGATTTTATTTACTTGTAAAGTGTAAAACTTTCACTGTAATTTGCATAGGTACTGTATATCGTTTACATCTAAAAAAATATAATATATTTATAAGGAATTATCATAAATTATGAAACTAACTGATTAAAGTTACATGCAAAATGCAAATTAAATAACACATTGATCATCTGAACTGATCATGATACATTCTATTCGGATAATCAAATGCCTTTGTTACATTTTCATAGAACATGAAACAAGGCAATTTTAAATAATGCTTTCCCTTTTTTCAACATCCAATTGCAAAAACTTTTAATAAAAATGATTTGCCATTCTAATTGTATTGATTTTAATAAATAAATAAAATCAAATCTGTAACGCAATGTACCAAGACTAATTTAGAAAGTTCCAAACATAGTTTAGAGACCTAATTATTAAAATTAATATCTCAACACAGGCTTTATCCTGCACTATCCAACAAAATTAATTAAACGTGAAATGACTGATCCAAGTCAAATGCACTCAACTATCTCCATTAAAATTTACTCGATATTTGACGATGTGAATGTGCGAATTTTTTAAACTTCCAGCGCCGGCAGTTCAACCAATTAAAAACTCGGCCGACGGGGATAACTCTGAAGTAACTGCAACGCGATTAGTACACCGAGGTAGGGTCGGGAGTTTCAGTTAAAATTAATCGAAGCGAGAATTTCGGTTTCGCTTACGCGGCACGAGGATCCAACAATGGCGGATGAATATCTCGACAATTGCCTGCCGATCGAGGTAAATGACGATAACGCGTTCAAAGAGAAGACGAGAATAGCAGAAGTCGCAGCTACCACGCTGTGCAGGCTGAATAGCATAATGAAGCAGATGCAAGACTGGCGGGACGATCGTACGAAATTACGATCCAACATTTGGCGGTTGAAGTTAGCTTTACGCGTGGCTGCTAGAGAAACCGACGACACCGTGCACGCTGTCCCATTGATCGAGCATCAAAGAGCAGAAATCAAACGGCTAGAAACGACCAACAAAGAGCTGAGGAAAGAAATCGCCGACATTAAATCGGCGTTGCTCGGGCAGTTAGTCGGCGTCGCGCAGGGAACCGGTTGGAAATCCGACGACAAACTCGTGGAAGTTAAGCAGAAGTATTTGGTGGAGAGAGAACGTTTGAACAACGAGATTCAGTATCTGAAAAGTCGGCTGAACGAGGTCGAAGAGGGTCACGAACACAGCTCAGAAGTGGAACACTTAAAATGCAAGCTGAAGCATTTCATGATGGTCGACTACACTATGGAGATCATATTCACCGATATAGTTAACAAAGTCGCCGAGACAATAGCGAATCTGTCCGAGGAGCTGGTGAACGTAAACGATCGCTTGCACAGATCGCGAGTGATCAACAATAATTTGTACGTGGAGATCGATAAACTGAGAGCGGTGATACGGCACAAGAGTGGCAATCCAATGGACTATCAGAAGAGGATCATCGAGCTGGACAATCTGACGAAACGTTTGAAGATGGAATTAAACAAATTGAAAGTTAACTTCGACGGTAGTTCGTGGAACGTGAGCAAGAATTGTCAGGATAACATCGACAACGTCGAACGATTGGCGAAAGACTTGAAGAATAAATTGAGAAACGACCACGAAGCGCTGCTTGCTGGTGGCGATCCGGATTGCTTGAAATACGTACAAAAGATCATCGAGCTGAGCGTTAATTTGAAACAGCTGCACGTTGAACTTGCGAGATTTACTGACGAGCTGGGCTCTTCCAGTCGAGTGGAAATAACGAAGTCTAATAACAAGCATTTGGAGCAACTTTCGACTTTGGAGACGACTTTAAAGGAGATCAACGTCGAAATCGATAAGTTAAAGAACAATCACGTAAAGAAGCATTACAGAATCGACGGCGGCGATGGCCTGGAATACTTGAATAAAATAGAGGAGCTCGAGGCGATCATCGAGGAAGCACGATCGACGATGAACGGATTGAATCGTCGTGCGGAAGGAAATTCAAACGAGTCGAAGGACATTGAAAAATTGGAAGATTTCGTCGGTAGAATGTGTCACGAGATCAAGCAGTTAGAAGTGATCGTCGTATCCAACGATCGTCTAAGTATATTCAAGAGGATCGAACAGCTAGAGGGATTGATCGTTCGATTAAGGTTAGAATTGGCCGAGAGGAACGACCGCGTGAACGTTCTCGAGCGAGAGCTGCTCGATACTGAAAATTTGCTGGAACAGAGGATAAAAGAATTGGAGGACACGCAGAGGGAGATTGTCATTCTAGCGGAAGAGAACAAAGTTTTGAAAGAGAAAACAAGAATGATAGAGGGGAGAGCGTTGGAGATGCAGCGTGACCAGGAAGATTCAAGGAAGGAGCTGGAACAGTTGCAACAGGTGAAATGCGAGGCGAGTTTAACGAGAAAGAAATTACAAAATCTTCAGGACGATAAGGAAGGATTGTTGAAGGAAATGGGAAAAATTCGTGACACTCTGCTAAAGAAAAACGACGAAGCGGCGAACGCTCTTATCGAGAGAAACACGATGGAGGGGGCGTTAAACGCGAAGATCGCGGACCTGACGCGGAACCTTCAAATTACCTCGAAGGAGAAAGAAAAATTACAAAACAAGGTAAACGAATTAGAACGAGCCGAGTGTAAACGGGAAACGATCATCACCAAGAAAGAAAATGAGAATGCGAAACGCTCACGGGAAACGTCAGAGAAAATGAAGGTTGAACTACAGCAACTGAAAGTGAGCCTAACGATATCGAGGAACAGGCTCGAGAGCGCGAATCGCGAAATTACCGATCTAAAAATGAAACTAGAACATTTCGTCGATGATAAAACGCGGCTGGAGGAGAATGTTTTTCACCTGGAATCGGACAAAGAGGCGCTCGTGTATCAACTAGCAGCCGAGAAAACTACCGCCGAGGAACGATTGAAGGAGCTCAATAAGTTGAAGGCGGATTACAACGAATTAGATCTCGAAAGGGTGAATCTCAAGTATGAAAAGGAACAACTGAACACGAATTTGACGAATATAAGGGTCGAGAAGGAACTGCTGGAGGAATCCGTGAGGCACGTCCACGCCAAGTGTTCCGTGCTCGAGGACGAAATTGATAAATACGCTTGTGAACGGGACAATCTACTCGAGGAGATCAGAAACTTTCAAATGAGCAACGAGCATTTAAGTAACAAGTTGGAAAATACGCAAACGGAATTGGACGGCGCCGGGGATAAAATAAAACGATTAGAATTCGAGAATTCGAAATTGCAGGACGATATGAGCGAACTGGCTTTAAAGAATGTCAGCTTCGAGGACCAGGTTCAAACGATTCTATCGGAGAAGAATCGACTTGTCACGTGCGTTAACGAACTGGAAAATAAGAATACCACGTTGAAGGGTGAACTTGACGAAGTTAAAACGGCGAGCGAACACTCCAATGTCGAATTAAATAAATTAAAAATGGATTACAGTAAAATAAGATCGGAAAACACGACTTTGCAAGTCACCCTTGACGAGGTGACACAGAGTAACGAGACGTTGAAGAAAGCCAGCGAGGAACTGAATCTGAAGCTGAATGAAATTCACAGCGAGTGCAGAATATTGGAGAACCAACTAAAAATTTTAGAGATAATGAACGCCACGTTGAAGAAGGAGAAAGAATTGTTAGAACAAGAATACGTGAGCAGTTTGCGACCCAAAATCTGCAAGATCGAAAGAGACGAAGCCGTGACAAACAGCAAGTCGACTTTCAGCGAACAAAACGGACAAGTTATCGAACGTGTAGCAGAAAAACGGAAAACAGTCAATGGCAAATCTGAAAAATACCCGACTGACAAAACAAAATTAATGAAAGCGAAAGAAGAGTTGAAGAGAATGATAATAGAAAACGAATCGTTAAAATTCGAGATGTTAAACCTGAAAAGCCAAAATTTCGAGATTAAAATGCAACTGGCTCGAATAAAGGACGAACTTCAAAAGCAGACGGTCGTGTTAATAGAAGACAAGACGAGTGAATTCGCGATCAGGCCAATTTCTAATAAGCTAGAGATGAATCTTTATTATAAAGAAATCGATAGTTATTCGAGTCATGGCGTGAATAACGTAGGCGCGCTAGCACATATCGGCCAATCAAACATGTATCCTTACGGCAGATCGGTAACAGAAAAAGAGATCGGAATCGGGAAATTAATAGAGATCATGAATAAACTAAAAGTAGAGAACGTTTCCCTCAAAACGGAGATAAATTCTCTGAGGTTCAGCTTGGTTGCCAATTTCACGAAGGACGAGAAAAAGAAGGATAAGATACGGGTTGCAGATGAAGAAATTCATGCATTGAAAGCGGAACTGACGAAATTAAGAGACGAAAAAGAGTCTATACGAGTTCGATTGGATACTGCCAACTCGAAATTGGATCGATTAGAGTCTGAAAAGATTGCCTTAAAGGATGAATTGTATACCTTGAGGAAAATCAATTCCGATTTGAAACACAAGGCAAGCGAATTGCAGTATGCTTATCAAAAGTTGAAAGAGAAAAGTTTGGGACTCGAGAGATATATTATGAAAGCGATTAAAAAAATAAAGAAATATACAAGTACGGATAGTCTGGACAATCCAAACGATGAGTTAAAGATACTTTTGAAGAAGTACATCTCGAGCGAAGAAATTTTACATTCAATTGAACAGAAAATAAATGTAGAAAATATATGAAATTATTTTGCGATATTGTAATACAAAATTATTCTGCTGTAATAAAATAAATTATTTTGTAATGGGAATAAAACATAAAGGTGATACATAATACTTGTCCATTCTGTTTTTCATATTTAATTGTCTTAATCGCAAGAAAAGCGATTTCCATATTATTCGCACGTAATATACAGAGGTCTATCTTATCATCAAGATAAGATTTTAAATTTCTATTAATATTTATAAGTAATTAAAAAACTTCACAAGACTTATTATAGTGATTTAAATATCTCTTCAAACATTCTTCAGTATATCATGAAAACTGTATACAATTAAACTCTAAAAAATAATTAGAGCGATGGTTACAAACTTTTATAGGTATACTAAGTTCCCAATATTTCGAAAATTAACTGTTATAATTTACTGTTTTAATTAACGTTATTATATAATATAATTATTATATAATATAATTAACTGTTATAATTTCGAAATCATACAGCAATGAATCTGAGTTCATTTTATAGCATGAAACTTTTACTTTCATAATTTTAGATTCATTTTTCACAAAAATGTTTTTATATCATGTAGTAAATGAGAAAGCAAAGATGCTATTCTTTTTCGTGTAGAGAATGCTATAAATTCAAACGTTTCTCAGAACATTGAAAAACTTTTTTTATGACTGAATCCATTATAAATTTGAAGATTGAAGCCTGCCCTTTACAATTATCCTCTAAAACTTGTTGTATGATTTTTTTTTGTCAAGTTATTGAACTTTGAATATTAGGGTTTACGACCTTCAAAGTTCAATAACTTGACGAAAAATTAAAAATAAAGTTAAAATAAAATTCTAAGACTCGTTAAATTTTCGTCATTTTCGATATTTATGCATTATATAGTAAAATTATATAGTAACATATCTATGAATATTTTATAAAATATTTAATTTGCAAACAGTATAATCTGAATATCTATCATTAGAGTTTTATATATATATACTCATACTAATCAAATTTGGCGCGCTTTTTCTATCAGTTAAAGAAAGCTGTGCAGTACGCAAATAACACAATGCGCAGAACGTGTTTAGAACTATATATCCACGACAATATTCCTTTTCGAAAAAAAATCATTGCTTTGTTAAAATAAATTGAAGTTATTATACTTACTACGAAAAGCTATCCAATTTATCGTCATTGCGAATTTCGAAACACTCCTCACAATTTCGTGATATCTTCCTAACATTTCAGAATTTTTATCATGGTAGTCCTAACATTTCAGAATTTTTATCATGGTAGTCCTAACATTTCAGAATTTTTATCATTGTACTAGTCATCTGTACAAAAAAAAAAACAAAATTTTCAAACAAATATACAAAAAAAGAACAAATTATACAAAAATGGTCAAAGTCAAATGCCATTTTGAAAACTCATAACGAGTTGGTAGTAAGTAAACAATCAAAGAGAAGATAATTTGATGATCAATTATAATATGTTCCATTAATTATTAAATAAACATATACCTTAATTACACAGTAGACATGATTAACGTAGACATGATTAGTAAAAAATAAAACACCACACATCTATGTAAAGTATTTAAGACAACTGGATGATGTTCCTCCTTGCTTGCTGTGCTTCCCTCCTATAACTGATACGAGAAATTATATCGATCATAATGACGTGTTATATCGATCATATGAATATCGAGATATGCGATCGTTTTATTAGCGCTGCAATCGTTGAAATTGCACCTACCTTAGCCTAAAATCATTGCGCGCGCATTTCGTATGAAGATACACTGTACAACTTGAAACAATAAATAAAAGATTCTTTTTCTCTATGAAGTAAAATAATTAATGTAAAAAAGTATTTATAATTTTATTTCTTTAACTTTACAACAAGCACGACGTCTCAACCTAATGTCGTAATTTTTACTTTTATCGAATTAGTGAATTTAATTTATTTAATTTTGCAGTGCGTAATAAAATATGCTTCATATCTGAATGAATTTACTTCTCAAAATAATTTAAAAAACCTTTTCTATTATAAGGATTGCTCAAAATGCCAGATATTTTCTACACCTCGTCTATAGTATTACATGTAGAGGTTGGTTATTGACAGGAATTGTATTTGCGTACAATCTAACGTAACATATCAGTGGAAAAATAATCATTATGTCGCAAGTCAAAGGTACATTAACAAAATTATAAAATATATTAAATTTATTTTATATTATTTACATTATTATAACTCGTACATCGTTTCTGTTTACAATACAACATATACATCAAATCCATGTGATATATTAATTTACCTTATCAAATCTAAACATTTATAAAAAAAACAATGATAAATAATAATATCGACTATTTTAGCAAAAAATATTACAAACTTGACTTTCTTATTTTATGGTTGAACAAAGGTGATGGAAAGAGTCGTGGACATCGCAGCAACAAGAAAATTAACATCGATGATAGAAAACAAGAGAACGTGGAAAATATGGACGAAAATAGTTTAATTGTACAACAATTTCAAGCATATGCGGCTGAATTAGACGATAAACATGATCGTTTCGAGAGAATCGTCAAAATTGGCAGAGACATTAATATAGAAAGCAAAAGAATAATTTTTCTTTTACACACCATAGATAAGAAAAGTAAACAAGAAAGTGTGTTATATGAAGCTAATTTGAGATTGCAAAAAGTTGCACAACATCAATTTAAAGCTATTGCATTTGAATTAAAGAATCAAGATCCGTATCTTTATCTCAAAGGTTATCGTAATGGTTTGGAAGAATACATAGAAGCTGTTACATTTTATCAGTACTTAAAATGTGGTAACATGGAAAATTGGCTAGAATTGGAGAAAACACTTACTTATACATTTCCTGAGAAATCTAAAACCATACAGATTTTAATCACTCCATTTGAATATATCTTAGGGATTGCAGATCTGACTGGAGAATTAATGCGTCAATGTATTAATAACTTGGCATTGGGAGACAGAGCTAGTTGTTATCAAACATGCAACTTTGTTAGAAATATATACAAAGGTTTCCTTGGTTGTGCAAGTGTATCAAATAGAGAAATACACAGGAAACTTTCCACACTTAAACAAAGTCTCCATAAAATAGAAAGCGTTTGTTATACGATTAAAGTAAGAGGTTCAGAAATACCAAAACATTTGCTTGTAGATGTGGCTACTGAAGAATATGCAGACAGTGATGAAGGATATCAAGCCTATTAAGAAACTAAATACTGTGGACCCTTGAATTCTAAACACTTAATTTGAGTTATTCAAGTTTCAAATTAAACTTTTGTCATAAATTGAATTACTTTTGCAGAACACCAAAATTTATCAAATATAAAAAGTGAAGTTGTAGAAAAGTTGTTGCTTATTCAATTTCAATGATTTTTGAATAAAATATCAGCATTTTGAACAACTTTCTGTATGTATAACCGACAGTTGGATTTAGTTTCTGAGATATTTGCAAAAAACTGTTGATATCACTATAATGAATTCTGCATGGCCACTTAATAAAGCTTGCATAAAATTAAATTTATTTTCTGTTCTATAGGTATAAACGTTGCAAATAAATGGTATATACAGTTATGAACAAAGATTATAAACGTCAGAAGACATTCATTTGTTTAGAAATTATTTGTAATATGAAGTTGTAAAGTATGATATAAAAATGAAAGCAATGCCAGCTATGCTTATAAGTGTGTCACAAATAGATAAAATTCAATATGCTGGTACTGGCAATTTTTTGCGAGTATCTCGGAAATTAAATCCAATTGCCGATTATACAGGAAAAAATTGTTTAAAATGTTGATTTCTACAACACATTAAAAAATCATTGAAATCAGAGAGGAAATAACTTTTCTGTCTAAAAAATTTTAAGTGCCTATTTTTATATATATTTATATATAACATGTTTATTTAACATTTTAAGTGTTAAATAAATTATATTTAAATTACAAAGAAACAGTTTTTATATCAATTTTTGCGATAACTTGATCGCAGTTAACACTTTTAATAGTTAGGTAATTAAATAGCGAATGAAGGAATTTTTCTAATATTCAACTCTGCCTCTGACTCATGAGTTTTGATTGAATTCCAAGATTGAATTCTCGAATTTTTTATTTGAATTTCAGTTTTTTCGAACATTAAATCATTCAAAGATCAAGGGTTCACTGTAATAAATTTGAATACTTAAAAATAATTACATAAAAAAATATAATCATATTATAATTATTCTTAAGTTGTTTATTTAACATTGTTTTTATACATCTGATATTTGTAAGAAATAAAATTTCTTTATACTCACTTATCAACTTCAATATTGCAAAAATATTTATAAGATATATAATTTTTATATTGTCATGTTTCTTATATTGACATATGTTTTCATGTAAATATAAAAATTTATGGCAAACATGAATATAAAATTAAACACACAATTAAATCTATATAAGTAATTCAAAAATATCCAAATATTTTGAAATGAAAAAATATTTATGTCTTAGTCAGCAATATCATTTTCTAGTTCGCTTTCATTTTTGTCAGAATACATTTCATTATCATCAGAAGTTTCAATATCAGAAGGTTCATATTCAGACTCATCAACAGATTCTTCAGCAGATTCCTCTACAGATGAATCTTCCATTCCACTTAAAGTATCCAAAGATTCTTGTACTTTAGTTCGTTTTGAATTCTGTTTCTTACGTTTATTTGTAATATTTGTATCACTATGTTTAAATTCTATTTTATGCTGAGGATTTTTACGATAGCATCTAGTACCATAAGGACATTCTTGTCTATTATCAGATATATCATAATCAGAATCTCCAGGATGACTAAATATATTTTTATGCTGCGAACTTTTCCTGCCAAAAGATTTTTTCATAAAACATTTTAAAATAAGAAATAAATATGTAAAATTACCTATAGCATTTCTTTCCATATTTGCATTTGTTTCTTCTAAAATTATTTATTGTAGTATTGTTATATGTTTCTGATTCCTGTCCATTTGAAATATAGGATTGTGTATCTTCTACCATTGTATCTATTTCATTGTCTTCATTTGTGCAAGGTAAATCTAAATTCTCCTTAAGACTTAAAATCTGTTCACTTGTAGAAGGTTTATTGTCCTTTATATTCATATTTTGAACTTTATAATCTTCTTTAATTACAGATGATTGATCTATGTTATGATGTTCACACATTAATGTAGAGTTTAAATCCTGTATTTTATCTTCATCATTATTATATAATAAATTATTTTCATCTATAACAGTTTTTTCAACATTAATTTTATTTATATCACTATTATTATTTAATATTTTATCCAATGCACTGCATGAAGACTGTGAATTATCTCCTTCTCCTGAACAGAATCTTTTATCATTTGTAGTATTAGAATCTATATCTTCATCAGCCTATAATGTAATTATTGAGAAACGTTGGAAAGTGGATTATATCACATTATCATTTAAGATATTAATTTAATACTTTTCGTTTTAGTAGAGAGTCTTCATTATTTTCCATTCTCTCAGGCACTGATATAATTTTAAACCAACATTTATCTGGTACCAGAGTACAAACATCTCCAGGTTTTATTGGAACTGTAACACCCAATTTAAGAAGTTGCCATCTCGATGATTCAATAGACTTCATATAACATGGTGCAATCTGATACTAAAAAATAATTCCTATAGAACACTAATAAATAATACATTCAATGCATCTATACATAGCATTATTAGATAATTTACAAAAAAATATCTCTGATTCTTTTATACTTTTATGAAACACTGCATACAGAGTAATAACAAGGTTAGAATATAATAAAAGTAATAAAAAATGATTAATTTTAAAGCAATTTTAAGTAACTATTTACTTTCTTTCGTCTATTTTACATTTGCATGTTCTAATAGTTTACACTTTCCAATTACAAATTACAAGTCTCTTACAAACATTTGTGATATTAAACATATTGAAATATGAAAAAAATAGAAATACTAACTTCTTTATATATGTTTTATCTCTTTATGTAATAATAATAATAATGATAATGATAATGATAATAATGATAACAATCACAAGTTCCTCCTTACCGGTGTTATTGTCATTTCATTGTCAGATATTAAATTTATTACTGCAGCATGTTTTATAACTTGATCATCATTACACTGAAATTCAAGTTATATAAACTCAATATTTATAATTCATAATAGTTTTATGTTAAAAAGCTACAAATTTAATTTAGAGGCGATATATGAAAAAAAGCTTACACATAATAAGGTATATTCATCAACGCATGCGTGAAATATATACATATATGTTAACATATATAATATGTTAAAATTTTTAAATTTAATGTTTGATTAAATTAAAGAATAATTCAACATTAATTATTTTGTTATATTTTTCTTTTACGTAATTGCTATACTTACTCCAGTTTTTACATTTCGGCCAATAACATTGTTACCTATTTGTAAATCCACTCTTTGCACCAGGTCGTTATCTACACAAAGTATTTGTAATTTTTTCATTTCTCTTATTTATTAAATTCCCAGAAAATTTATTAAGTATATTGTATACAAAATTTTTCATATTGTGAAATCAGTTACAAAATAAAATTTCGTTGCACTAGTAGTTACAAAAAAAAAATGTAAAAACGGAAAACAAATAGAACATAATCGCAGTCGGCTAAGCAGACAGCGTTAAAAAATTTAATTAAATTAAATTTGTATGAATTACAGTTTTTTATGAATCATATATAATCATAAAAAATAAAACTTAAGTAACTACGTTTTTGGAAATAATATAATATTGGGTAAATGTGTTATAAAGAAAAATACACGACGGTAATAACAATTAAATTTGTTTCATTTATAATTACAAAGAATGTACACCTTTATAAATAAATGAAGTAAAATGCGAAAAGAATTAGAAATTTAATGCGATATCATAAAATTGTTTTAGAAAATATCTCTTAAAAAAGTCAACAAATAGGAAATGATCGGTCATTTTTATGTGCATCTGTATAGATATAATCAGCCAGACTAGTGAACCACTAGTCAACCAGTTCGCAATAAAATATTTCTTCGCATCGTTGTATCGATCTGTATTCATAATATTATATAAATTGCGTCTACAAATTTTTTCGATATAAAGGAATCTTGTTCGCTTTACGAAACGAAAAACATCTTCGAACAATACTAATAGTTAAAAAAATAAAAACTTTGTGAATTAGAAAAATTTAAGAAATATATATGTATGTTTGTCGAATGAAATAATTTTAATTAATTTAATTTATAATTAATTAATAAATTCGATACTGCGATTTCTGATCAGTACTGATCATGAAATAAAACATTATTTATTATGGACTCGTTAATTAGTTTACAATGTAGGAACATTATAAATCTCCGATTCAATAAATGAAATATAGTTTGGTATCTAACAGGCCAACCTCCGATTATTTCCGGCTTAATAACGCATACCGATATAAGAAACAGTCAATCAACAGCTTGAAAATTAATTATTCGCCTCAACACACGACATTAGCATAATTCTCACTTTCGTTACTTACAATTAGGTAATTAGTCAATGTCAGCATACGCATGTATCACAGTACATCTCGAAGAGCTTGAATGAAAAAGAGCAATGTTACATATTTATTGTTTATCGAAAAGTAGACGGTATCAAGCGTGAAGTTTCAAATAACAAAACAAAGCTTGTCAATTCTTGCCTGAAATACCGACAATTATCACGAAAGCTACGATGCTGTTATTATTGCAATAACATTTTTATGTTTATTAATTTAACATAAAAACATAATTGTTATTGTTTTTCTTTACATATTAAAACATACCTTTCAAAACAGAATTACCTCTGTCTCTCCATTAATTTTATCTGCATAAAAACAGAAATTATTAATATATACACAATACGCATATATATTGAATAATTCATTTACTTATAACATAAAGTATACGAATATACATAAAAATATCTTTTGGAATACTTTTGATAATTTTATAAAAAAATTTCAGAAAAAGTATAGTATCGCCAAGACCAGTGATTCTCAATGATTAAAATATGAATTGAATCCATAATGTTCACAATCGTAAAATATTAATGATTATTTGAATGCATGCCATGACAAATATTATTGTCCAAGAAACACTGGTTCACAATTATCTAAATCATATAGTTTACTTACTAACTTTGTATAATAATGAATAAATACGTTTTATATAATTACAATTCTGTATTTCGTTTGTATTTCGTCATTAAATTAATAATATTTTGAAAAAAATGCCCATGATAGATGAAAAAATGCATCATCGTTTCAAACTGTTTAAAAATTACAACAATACAAATCGTTTTTACATTCTGACGTTAATATTTTAACGTGTGTATATATATGTATATATATATATTTCTTTAATTATTTATTTTTATAAAGTAATAAATAGTATCGCCGTATGGAATATGCAATATGAAATACTGTCTATCATTAGAATATTCAGTAACTATTTGTTCATACATTCACAATTATTTGTTTACTGGGATAGACTTTCGTATCTGAGAACTATATAAAAATATCTATTTATTCGTTGTAAAAATGATTCATTGTTATGTTTTAATAAGAATACATAGAACCTTTGTAAATTGAATTAAAAGATATAATATTTGTCTCACAAGCTCTTTCAAAAAGCTCCATACAGAGTTATAATTAGATAGAAATCTAAAATAACTATTGTAAAAATATACAAGTTATTTTTTTAGTTAGAGTTTTAATTAATTATTTATGACCAATATTTTGTAGCTCTCAGATATAAAGTCACTTTTTACACTACGTTTTCAACTGATCGTACATCGACGATGCACTCATTATAGATTTTCAATAAAGCGAACAAGTTTCTCAGAAACATATTTGTGTAACCACATTATAGAACAAATAAAAATTTTCTTTATTTAACTTACAATCTTATTAAGGCAATTTAGTTAGCGATAACCCGACTATATACCTGAACTGCATTAACAAGAAGTGAAACATAAAGAAGATATAACATATATTTTCAGTAAATATTTCTTACAGTTAACGACATAAAAAAATAATATTTGCTAGAATTAAATTTAAAAACTGAAATAACATAAATTCTGTTTTGTATACTAGCTAATTCTCTTTTTTTTTTTGTATATAATATTACTCAAAATAAAAACAATTAATACCTAATAACACAAATATGCAAATTAAAATACTGTTTAAAATATTTTATATTTACATATTGCTCTGACTGATTACAATAGTTGCACTGTTTTTTAATCTATGCCACAAGAAGCTAACTATTTAAAATCATTTTTCTACATAATTATAACTAAATATTGGTAATATAAAATTTTTTGTCAATATATATAAGCATTTAGTATTAACACCATTCAATTGAAATTAATTTTCCTAAGTGGGTCTTATTGGAATGATTTAGTACAGTATGTAAGATCAAACATACATATGTATACATATATACATGTACACACAATTTATGTATTACTTTCGCTGGATTCTTTTATAAAATTTGTATAACATTATGAAATTTGAACGTCTTCATTGCGTTTAAAAAAGAAAAAATAAATTAGAAAAGAAGGGCAATTCACCAAAAATAACTTACCAAATAAAAATGTATTTTTAAGCAATCAATTGTTAGATGCTTTTGAAATCACCCATTTTTCAAACAACACTGGAATAATTTTCACTTGGCCATACATAATACAAGTGACGATAATGGGTATATGGTTGAAACTGCATTTTGGAAGATTGCAGTGTACGCATTAATGGGACGTATTTTTCTTCGTGCTTTGAAGATGTATTAATATCTGGTTCTGGCTATACTATGGTACCACCCCCTTCCGCAGGACTGACAACGTGGAGAGCATTTCCAACCTGTCCTATTCCTGGCTGTAATTAAAAGATGCACAAAAATTCACTACCAAACATAATTTTATTTGTCTTCAAAAAAATTCTGCAAATATTGGAAGCATTTGGAACATAAATACAATTTCTATAAGTGCACAAGAACAGCACAATAATAGCATAGAGTTATAATTAATACACAATTTAAAAATGCCTTAGCAAGGTACATACTACTATAACGAGCATATATAAAAACATAGTATACTACTTTATCCGATCAAGCAATGAACAAGTCAAAAGAACAATAAATCATTATACGTACCATGCGATAAACTTTGGGAAGACTCATCCATGATTCTCTTGCATCAGCCAAAGCATGGTACAGAACATTAATCTTTCCAATCAAAGTAAAAAATTAATGTCCCACCGGCTTAAGAAACAAGCACAAGCATCTTCCGATAAAATTATAAGACTGTCACTATAAAAGAAGCAATGCATACTATATGAAAATTATTACAAAAATTTTGAATGGTTAAACCACTATAACATAAAGGAGCATAAGGTTTTCGATGATAGAAATGCTGTATGCAAAACACCAGAAAACTGAATCTAACATTTCAAATTTATACATCTTAGAACAAAAAAATATAATATATAAGTAATATAGTCATTCAAAATATTATGGTATTGAAATAAGTTGTAAGGACTTGTATAAACATATATATATTTATAAATATATATGATTCAATTTTTCTTCTGGAGCTTCTGCATTGCATTTTGTATAAAACTCAAGCAGGAAGCAAGCAGCAATATTTCATTCAAAGTTTTACTTTATTGTACAACAAGGCAATTCATTGTTTTCAACAAAGGATTAAATGTCATATCATTATAATCCAGGATAATAGTTTAACTAAATTCATTGACTGTCTATCATTTGCTAAGCTATATAACATTTTACAGGAAAGAGAAAAAGGGTATTAAGGGGCCTGCCCTGTTACAAAATCTTATGGGGCGCAAACAATATTACTCTCAATGATGCAAATCAAATATAAATATATTCTATTTATAATCATACTAATATATTCCTTTAATATTTATATTGAATATATTTTGACCAGATGATCATTAGGCACAAATATAAATGCTGGTTTATACTATGAATGAATATACCACTTATGTTCATGATTTGTATTATAACATTTGTAATATATCACTTCCTTGATTTGTATTATTCAATACAATATTATTATGAAATAAATTTTAAAAAATAATTTTTGAATTTATATTTTTCTTAAGGATTTAAATAAAAGTATATAAGAATTAAATGTAAAATGTTGTATTTTATGTATCATGCAATAGAAAAGACCAGAAATTTTGTGAAAATAAAACATAAATTGATATATTATTTGTCCATTCATAGTATCATCCATCCATATATTTCTGTAATTGATATACAATACAGATTAAAAGATATTACTAAATCTTTAATGTATTCCAATGGCACCTTTTAATATAATATATACTGCTTTGGATAAAATGTAAAAACTAGCATTTAATTTGTAAATACAAGATAAGAAATACATTCATTCTAAAATAAGAATTTTATATACATATAAAATATATGTATATATATACACACACACATACATGTATCATATATATACATACATACATATATGATGCCACAAGAACAATGTTCATTATAATACTAAAGATGAAAAATAACAAAATCACCCTTTCATATTTTTCACATTTAATAAAGTTACGTGTCTAAAAAAAACATTTTTCACCTAATACAATTCAACAATGACAATAGAAAAATTATCCAAAGTATTATTGTATTTTTCTTTCTATTTTTCTCATTCATTAGTGATAATGATTTCAAGTTTTATTTCTATCTATATACAAATTGGAATTCATTACTAAAAAATCCTACTTCACAAAATTGCAATAACAATTGAAGATGGATTACATCATAGATCATTAGATCGCAGGGAATTAATGTTGGTGTAAGGATTGCTATGATGATGTGGCCTGTGCAGAGTGCTGCTGATGGTAAGAGGACCTACCATGTGACCAGGCCTTGCCCATGTGTAGACATATCCGTCTTGACATGCTGTTACGAAGCAATCTTCCCTAAACACTAATTCAGTCAATCTTTCGTGTGCCAACTTCTTGCACACCAGTGGTTCTAGCACTGGGCACTCATCAAATCTAGGGCACCAGGCAGTTCCTATCAATCTCATAGGATCGTCCATCACAGAACTAACCTTCTTATTTGCACCTACTAAACTTCCACTGACACTGTTCAAATTACTACTTGTATTTAAATTAGTGGTAGCTTTATCACCACTACTGTTCTGTATTATTGTGCTATTAGATGCACCACTACCTCTCATAGTGAGGCTAAAGTTCCTTTTATGATTATCACCTTTACGTTCACCAAAACCAAGGCCTGCTAACCTTTGTGTCAAAGAATTTACAGTTGACACTGCTGTATTTGTACTCATGCTATTATTACTACTATCATTATTACCACTCGCGTTTTCTTTGCAATTAATATTATTCAAATTATTATGTTTAGAATTGTTCAAATGGTGATTCGTTGTCGAACCATTTCCACTGTTGACTGTTCCAGATGTAGGAAGAGTACTAGAACCTGCTGCAGATGGCCTTTGTTTTGCACACATTGGTTGTCTTAACACATCTTCTGTGATATCCCACAAACACAACTGAGTATCTTGTGATACACTACCTAACCTATAGCATGTACCACCAGACACTCTTAATTCTGAACCACAAGAGTTTCTGTTTGAATGAATTCCTTGTGAGGTTGTAGACAAACGATTGGCCTTCTCATGGTAATGATTATGGTTATTGTGTGGTAGTGTTTCATCATCTGAACCACTAAAGTCTGGATCATGATCTCCATAGGAAGTAGTATAAGGATCAAAAGCTACTACGCTTACCCAACTATGATGACCTTGACCCCGAGCTACCACTCTCTTTTCATGAAAACTCCAAATTGTCACAAGATCATCTTCACCGCCCACAACAACATATCTTCCATCTGGAGACCAACAGACACATAAAAATCCACCAAAATAACTTCTAGCTGAACCCACTAACTCCATTGTATTATATTGAAATACTCGTAGGAATCCATCTTGGGAAACAACTGCTAAATTTGAACCACATGGGCTAAAGGCAAATTCGTTTATACAACATCCTTCTGCACCTATTACCCATCTATATAATGGATTTCTCGTAGATTTTGTTTTACAGGTATATATAGCATAACCATCCCCAGATTTAAAAGATTGATAGTGAGGGGCTGTGGTACCACATAAAAGTTCTTCATTATATAAATATAGTTGCCCAGAACTATGGGATACCAAGAAAAGATTGTTTGATCCAGGAACCCATTTTATACACGTCACTTTACTTTTATCAATCAATCTCTGAAACATTAAAAGATACACATTTTCTTATTTAATAAATAATAAATAATATATTTTTAAAAACGTCAGAAAAAGAATTATATAATTACTGACTAAATTTATTTAATTGGTCTAAAATTAATTGGATTAAAATTTAAATAAAATTTACAATAATTATTAGACGTGAATAATGCTAAATATATTTTAGTGTAGCATAGAGTATTAAGTCATTAAACTATTATAATAACTAACATCTTTATTAATCATGTTTCAATAAAATAAGATATTCATGTCATAAAAATTGGATAAAATACTAACAATATTTTGGCATAAGTTTTTTAGTAATAATTCTATCATACAAATTATTGTTATATATTGTTTACATTTAATAAATGAATTCTGACAATTTTAGGATTGTACCATGTACCATTTTTACAATCTCCTTACATATTCAGAAAATTTAATTTAGACCATATATCATATTCATACATTGATATAATTTGTCATTTTTAACATAACAAATTACTTACATCTTCATTATATAATTTACTGAGTTCCTTTTTTATTGGATCTATCAGTTGAATTTGACCTGTAGAAAAACCAACCAATAATGGTGCACTATCCGCAGTTGCAGTTGTTTGATTGAAATTATGGCAAGTTGGATTAGTTCCTTTGTATAATTTTTTGTCCACTGGTTTATTTAAGTCCACAGCCTGAAATATTTTCATATACAATTAACTCATTGTATATTTTAATAACTTATTAGAACTAAGATACATCATACTTAACAAATTTGATTTATTATATCTATTATAATATTTAAATTAGTTATATCTATATAAAAGTTTATTAAAATCAATGTTTCAAAATTAATAATAAAAACGTTTACATTAAATATTTGCATTATAATTATGTATAAATACTGATTATAAATTTTTTACACATACTAATATTTTACCAATTAGTATATAGTTACTTAATAAGTTAAATATTTAAGTAATAAGAAGTTAAATATTTAACTGGTTAAGCTTAAAAAAAAGAGAAAGAGAAGAAAAATGAAAGAGAGATGACACTAATATTATAGTTTAAATGTAGTACTAATAAAAAAGTAATTATAGATAAAATAATTAACGTATCTGACGTTAAATCAATCCTCTAATTAGAAATAAGTTTAATATAGTTTTAGATGCAGTTAATATATAAAGTAGAGGTAACTCTATGTTAGGTGTGGTGATGATACAAAGATGGAGTCGATACGCGTTTTCGAGGTTAGGTTTCAATGAATCCATGCTCAATTAAATATAAAGATAATAACAAATGTATTAGTTACGAAAAAAATTCGAATTACCTTTTTAACTCCTCGATAGACATAAACATAAAGCTCTTTGCCAAAATTGAAACACATTCGGTCACCAAGTCCTTGTGTACCCGTGGGATCTGCTGGATCCGGTAAAGTTACGAAAGACACCCTAACGGATGCACTTCCTTGACTATTCGTGTAACCGACCCTGTTTGGTCTTGAGTACTCCGACAAAGTCATTAGCTTGTAAGTTCCTTCCCGCGTGACAAACTGTGTTTTCAAGTCCTCCTTCCCTCCTCCATCCAACTGCACAGCCATCTTACCACCAGCGGTGCGACGGAGGAGCTCATCAGACACGAAAAAACTTGCGTTGGTTTCTGCCTTTCTACACGTCTGTCAATAATTTCTCCTCGGAGAGCTTACAAAAGCTGTCAAACACCAACTAGGCAGTCCCTTGTATTGAAAAACTTCCAGATAATCACAGCTTACCGGTTCTGCATACAACCGCTGCTAAGGGCGCTCCAAGTTCTATATCGAAACTGCCCGTCGTGCATTTACGACCCGCAGCTCATACTCTCAACCTCGTATAGGATAACTCCGTCCCCACCATGCCCCTGATATTCCCTTTACCTCCATGTGATAAGCAATGTGTAACGTAAAAATGAATTCGTATACATTGAATGAGTATTTTAAAAAAGAAATTTCAAATATTTAACTTGAAATATACATATGTATATATGTATATATATCGTAAGAAAAATTACGTATCGGCATATTCTGTTGAAAATCTCAATAATATCTATCTACATGCGTATAAATCGTTAGTAATTTTAATATATTTTTAACAATATCAAGATGATGTTAGATCATATAGAGTAAGATTTTTATAAAATAGCGATATAACGTAATATCTAATACGATCGGATATGTTGTATGTGTCCCATTAATATACGTATAATTATTCTGAATATTTTCAATTTTTTGTAATTCAACGTTGCGATAAAAAAATTAAATAAAATTAAAGAATGCACGGCACTGTGAGCGCTGTGTTATTATTGCGCGCGCAGCATTGCCTGAATTCGTTGACTCTGACAGCCTGTCAGGAACCGGATATTTTGTAAACAACCCGAGCAAAGGGTTAATTAATTTTGTCCACTTTTTTCTACTTCCTGCATTTGCCTTATTTCACCTTATGAAGAATGCATATTCAATTATCACGGACCATTTTAAACTATGGGTGTTAATCATGTCCCAGATAGCCGGTAGTAAAAAAATGGTATGAGTATTTCTTTTTAATATGACAAACTATACAATACAATATTTATCAAAATATATTATCAATATAAATATCAAAAGCTTATATATTTTTTTGTTATTTATCAGTTGTCGACTACTTGAAATTCTGATTCGCATGATTGTAGACAGGAAAAATGGCAATTAAAAAATTCAGTTAAACACGATAATTTATCTATTAAAATCATTAGTCACGTGATCTAGATAACTGAGAATTTGCTTTAAAGGTTTCTTCCGGTTTTCCGAGTGGTAATTAATTTCTAACTGAAAATGAATTCAAATCTTGATTCGTTGTTTTATGTATATACGAGTATTTAACGACACATTATGTACTTAATAAAATTTTGTTTAACGACAGCCACAACTATTTATAAGTATGTATGATAATTATATGTCATTATTTATTATAAGTTTTTTAATTCAAATATAATGTCTATTAGCATTAAATAGTAGAAATAAAATATAAAGTATTATTACATACGATTATTAATTAATTAATAATTAATATAAAATTATATTAGAAAATACGTATTACATATAAATGACAAAAATATTGTTTTTTACTTTATACTATCTCGTCTATAAAATATATCTAATGTGACAAATAGTTTTTTGAAAGTGAAGGAATAAATTATATTATTGAATAATATAGTGAAGTGCATGCAATTTAACCTCGACGTTTATAACCTATCTAAAATTTGAAAAACATATCGTGTATAATCAGATTGTGAGACTGGGTATTATAAGTTAAAATCTTATATACTTCTTCAAATATATATTATAGTTTAATTTAGATATGTAATTTATCTAATTATAAATGTGTATATATTCATCTATGTGTATACTGTTCTAAACATTAATATTCATAGATTTTAAAAACATCGACAGAGACACGTGAGTGAATTTTTGTTTATTACTTAGAAAAGTTTTGTTAATGTGGATTGTTAATTAATATACGGATCGTTTAATAATAATGGTACGTAATAAAAGACCAGTTCGTGGAGGAAAAAGAAAATTTCACCGGTTTGATAATCAACCGAAGCCGAAAAAAGGTAAATTTAACCTAAAAGAGGCTTCATATGTCAAAGATCGCAATGCAAAAAATAAAGAAATCGAGAAACGTAGACAAATGTTGGAAGAAGAAAAATTACAACAACAACAAAACGCAGAAAGTGACGATTCTGGCGATGAACAAGAAAATCCATTACAAAATTTATTATCTTCATTTTCGAATACTACCAATTTACAAGTAACTGCTATTGAATCTAATTCAGAAAGTGAGAATTCTAGTGATGATATTGAAGAAAATGATAAAGTTAGTGACAATTTAGAAGTTCACTCTAACAATACAGACGAAGAAGCAGAGTTGATGAGTGATAATGAAGAAATAAAAATGAAAGAGGTCGACGAAGAAGATCCCGAAACTGCTAAAGAAGATGCTGGTTATTTAGAAGATCCATTTTCAATTCATCTCCACAATGATTTGAGTGATGAACTTTATAAAGCAGTTTCTAATGTTCCACAAATTATGGAAACACAAAAGATCACGTGGCCCGTTTTAGGCAATCTTATGTGCCAAATACCAAAATCCTTAGATGATACAAAAGACACAATGAAAGAATCAAAGATTTCTGTTTTAGAAAATAAACAGTTTGCACAGTATTGTACTATTCCTCAATTGATTGATAATGTAAATTGGAATAAATTATACATAAAGTCTCAAATTCAAGATAATCTTGCCAAAGCAAATTATTCAAATATAAAGGATAATGTGAATATAGATTCATCTCCTTTGACTCCTTTACAAAGGGAATTATTTTCAATAATAAATAATTATCAAGATTTATATTATCCTGAAAGGACATTTTCTAATACAGATCAAATAAGATTTATATATTGTTTACATGCAATTAATCACGTGTTGAAAACACGAACAAAGGTATTGCACCATAACACAAAAATAACAAAGTCAAAATGTACAAACATGGCAGAAGTACCAGATGAGTATAGAGATCAAGGTCTAGTGAGACCAAAAGTTTTAATAATAGTTCCTTTTAGGCATTCATGTCTAAAAATTGTCGAATCATTAATATCTATTCTAATCGGAGAAGATAAAGGTGGCTCGGTAATGAATAAAAATAGATTTATGGAAGATTTCAGTGGTAACGAATTAATAATGCCGAAAAAAAATCCAAAACCTGAAGATTATGAATTGACATTTCAAGGAAATACAGATGATACCTTTAAGATAGGAATTGCTATTACAAAAAAGACTTTAAAACTATATTCAGAGTTTTACTCTTCTGATATAATAATTTCATCCTTATTAGGTTTAAGAATATTAATAGGTGCAGAAGGTGAAGCAGATAGAGATTATGATTTCTTGGCATCGATAGAATTATTGATTCTTGACCAAGCAGAATTGTTTTTAATGCAAAACTGGGATCACATGATACATGTATTAAATCATTTACATTTACAACCAAAAGAATCTCATGGAACAGATTTTTCTAGAATAAGAAGTTGGTGTGCACATGGATGGACTAAATACTATAGACAGACATTAATATTTTCAAGTATTCATGTACCTGAGATTTATGGAATATTTAATAAGAAATGTTACAATTATGCAGGGAAAGTAAAAATAATAAATCCTATTTCTTCTGGATCTATTTGTCAAGTAGTTGTACAAATTCCACAAGTGTTTCACAGATTCAATGCTTCCAGTCATTCTCAAGCTTTGGAATGTAGAATGGAATTCTTTATATCAACTATACTTCCTCAATATAAGGATAGAATAATGAATCATACATTAATTTTTATACCATCTTACTTTGATTTTGTGAAATTACGAAATTATTTAAAAAAAGAAGAATATAATTTTGTGCAAATTTGTGAATATTCCAAAGATGCAAAAGTAGCAAGAGCAAGAGACATGTTCTTCCACAGTGATGCACATTTTCTTTTATATTCGGAACGATTTCACTTTTACCGTAGAATAAGAGTGAAAGGTATAAGACACATTATATTTTATGCACCACCAATCTTCTCTCAATTTTACACAGAAATGTGTAATTTAATGCAAGAAGCCTATCAAAATCCACAATCAGGTTCTGAAAGTAACATGACGGTTACTATTTTATATTGTAAATACGATATTATGCAGCTTTCTGCAATTGTAGGAGCTGAAAGAGCAAATAAAATGCTTGGATCAGAAAAATCTATCCACATGCTTATGACTGGTGAATAGAATATATAAAGTATGTAAATATATTTTGTATATTTATATCTGTATTAAATGTTATTAATATTGTAGCTATTAAAATTATTAAATATGTAAAAATTTATTATAAAAACTTATAGTTTTATTATTAATAACGAAAAACGTCTTTATCTTAGCTATTTTTCTTAATTTTTTTATTAACATACGATTCTTAAATGTATCGAAAGAAATACAATCTTACAGTTACAGTTGTTCAAAACGATCTTGTTCACGAAAATCATTTTATTGTTTGAATTGTATAATTTCGCAATATTAAGATTATTTTAGTAAATAATCATAATTTGTTTCAAAAATATTCTTTTAATATTTTATAATTATTTTATTAGTATTGACTAAATACTTGTTATATAAGTATCACGATAAAACTAAAAGTCTTGACAGTAAAATTTAATTCTTTTTTTAATCATTTTTAATACTCTTCTAGGAAATTAATTAACGTTAGAATGCATTTTAGTAGATATTTCTTTGGTTTCTGTACTTAAACTAGTTTGTAAATCCTCGAATGTTGTTGGCAAAGGAGTAGTAGACGATTCAGCAATCTCTGTTAAAATAGTTAACAAATCCTTTTGTCGTGGAGTGGTTGTGACTTCTGACAGAGAACTTTGCTCGTTCGCCACAGTTAATAATTTTATCGTCATTTTTTCTGTCTGCGTTTCTGAAAAAGGAAAAAATAATTTTGATTTTATCGCCTTGAATTAGCCTCTATAATGATTAGCAATTTTGAAGTAATGAATTACGTATTTCTATATCATTGAATGTGTATTAACGCGATAACTAATTAGTTCAGAATTTGAACAAGAAGTCGATTTTAAAACGAATAATATCACAACAATTGAAGGATTTTAGTTATTTAAATCCTATTTTTACCATTCATGATAGAGGGAGTGGTGTGAAAATTTGATAATTTTATATTAGTACATTCTGGTTTTGTTCTCATCGTGATAGTAACGTCTTTAGGATCCCATAAAAATGTATAATACAATGATAATAAGATAGCTGCCATGCTAACAAATATAACATAGGCCACCACCGTCAATACTCGTACCACCTTTTGTTTGTGCTTTGGCTCATAGAGCTTGTCTTTCCTTTCGTCGCCTGCAAATCGGATTTCATTGCCTGCTGGTTTATGATCACGATTTCCCAATGTACGACTGATGCTTGCCATCACGTTTTGAGCGCTCATTTTGCGCGGTAGTTGCATCCTCAACGTGTTGATATTTCAAAGAAATTTTTTCTCGATTTCGATCATTAAGTTTATAAATAGGATTTATGAACTTTCAGTTCTGATATAAAATTTCAGTACAACATTATAACGTTTCTGTTTCTATTAACCGCAAAGTCGTAAAAGGGCCGCAAACCATGGTGTTTCGATGTAAGGTTTCAAAGGGAATATCCAAAAAGACATCGTTTTCATCGAATATTACGTATTTGTAATTTTCTTGCTCCTCTATATTTACGAACGGTCAGTTAGGTTTGCGAGAATATTACTGCAAATTCCGCAGTTTAAATATATCTTGTGTTCAACACTCTTACGCAGAACGCTTTCGTATCCGACAGGTTACGTGTTTGATCGAATGTTTTCTACGATTTTCCACAAATATTTTCGCAGTCCATGTATTATCAATACGAATTCGAATTCATTTTTATCGATTCTCGAATTTTCGTAAGCGGTTTGGTTTACCGGTTGGGCGTTTCCAAGCGGAAAGATGTAGTGGCAAGAAAGTGTTTAAACTTCACGATAATTTATCAAAAATGAAATCAGTTCTCGAAAATGTAATATTCAAAGGATTTTCATCCACGTTTTCATTATCCTACAACTATTTTTGTTTCTTAACTAGCGGATCAACGGTTCTCACTAATACAACTGCTAAAACAGACTCGTCCAACAATATGTATCAACGGGTTTTCATTGCGCAAGTCTCAGAACCATGACTCATTGTGCTTCGTTTTTCAAACTTTAAGGGTTGCTCAACTTTACAGGATTCATTGACAAAAACGTCCTTAAATCAATGTAGTAAACACAGATTCATTATATCTATTCACCACCAATCGAAATCTTTCTCCCTATGTTTTCTGATATGTACATGCTTATTTTGATTTACCCATGATTGAAACATTGCCTCTAAGTGGAATAATATTTTGTTTATTTTAGTTTTTTTTTAGTTAATAGAGATAGTAAAAGTTTAAATGATAAGAATTTCTCTATCTGATACATATATAAAATAATATATCAAATTAAAAAATGTTCGATAAGATATAGTATAAGTATATCGATTTCGAATTGAAGTGCTTCCGTAGAAGTGACAAAGAAACGATTAAAAATGTTGCACAACCACTTTACGTAAGTTTGAGCTATTTTAAAATTAATACTTAGACATGTCACACTAAATAGGATATATTCACAAAGAGTTCCATTTAGGTAAATGCGATCGTTTCGATGGATATAATTCGAAGGTTACAAATGGTAAGAATAGAGCCCATAAACTTTAGTTAGTCAAAGCTAACGGAGTTTTCCCTTAAGAGTAAGGCGACACTGAGGATATTCTCGTTTTACAGGGAAGGCACGCCTTTATTTTAATAGCATTTACTAAAATTGTTCTTCAATCATTTCTCAGATAAAGAGGTCATTATTCGATGAAGATTTCATATATCTTCAAAAAAGTTTTAAAAAGAAATAGTGGGGATCATTTTTAAATATTATATTCAAATATATTATTTGAAAAGGAGATGAATTTACAAATAAAATTGTTAAAATCAAAAATAGATTAGACAAGATTTGTTCAAAGAAATTGCAAGATCTTTGTAACGATGCAACGTTAAAGAAGCCATAATGGATCGACCTGACCCTGTTCTGGTCATTACGTGGACAATACGGATAATCATCGTAGGCCAATCCACTGACTATTTTCTTTCTAAGGTTTTAATTCACGTTTTTTGTCAGAGTTGTATGAAATATTCGTATACTTTCCTTTGAAATATAATTGTATGTAAGTATATACTTACGCGCTTGTAGAAAAACTAAATAACAATCATGTTTGTCATTCAAATAAATTATAAAATATATGCTACCAGTACTATATATTTGGAAGGGTAATACGATTGAAATGTAAAAAAGCAAATTATAGAAAATTTATTTACCTTTGAACTTCAACGCAATGTTTGCTAGTTTTACTGACGATTGATTTGATTGTTCAGGATGTTCTGGATGATTTGCAAATTCCGAATTACGGAAAAAATCTAAGGTTGATTGTTCATTTAAATCGGTTGCTTGACTTATATTGTTAACATTATATGTACGATCTTCTCTACTTTTTTGGATATCAAGATCTTCTTCATTATTTATCGCTGGATATTGAGGCGTTTTAACTTTTACACTTTTTTTATTAGGCGTATCTGCTTCTGAGTTAAAATTTGACAAAACATCCTTTTTGTATTGATTGGTAACTATGTTTCTCATTAAACTGTGATTTAATCGAAAAATATCTCGAGACGTCTCGTACACGGAATGGTTTCTGGTATTCGTAAAATGATCATTATTCACTTCATCTCCAGAAATAGTCGAAGACTCCAGTATCTGAGATGTACCATTATTACCGAACATACGATTCATAATTTTAGAGGAATTTCTTGCATCTTTTCCACTCGATCTTCTCGTCAAGTTCATCGTCTTTTCTTTTTTCGACGTGGTATAATTTAAAGAATTAGATGTCCGGTTTTCTTGAGCGGAATTTTGAACAGAAGACTTTGAATCATTGATTTTATTTTTGAAAGACTCGATTAGAGACTTTCTTAATAGAAACAAAGATTCTTTCAAGTTTTCACGATTCTTTGAATGATCGTTATTGACAAATGTTTCTGCATCATCAAAACGATTAGAGAACGAAATGTATGTAGCATTAGCGTGCTGTCCAGGTTTACTTGGTTCATCTTGGATAATTTCTTGATCGCTTATTAAAAATTGTATTTCGGGATCGGAAAGTTGACTTGGTCTTCGCAAAAGTCGTGGATTAGGTGGTTCCCAAAGAAATAAGTAATACGCACTTAAAACGATGGCTACGAAACTTACTGAGAACATATAAGCCATCACAGTGACCAAACGTATTATTTTTTTGGTGCCTTGATTTTCATATATATCGTCTTTCTTCGAGGCTTCACCACCAGGTCCCTCCTGAGCAGCCCCATCGCTATTTTCTTCCTTACTCATCGTAACTCGATTTTTTCTTTTTTTTTTTAACTTTAGCACAAACTACAAATTACAATTTCGATTCAATTTCTTTTAATTGTATATCCATTTTCTTAATTTTTCTTTTTATTCCCATTTCTTTTAATTCTTGCCTATCGTTGCCACCTTACAGAAATATAAATTTCACAGTGATTTTAGGAAAAATTCCACTGAATCGACTCACATATACAACCAAAACCGAGATGTATTAGGAAATCTTCTTCATTAATTTTTAATGTTTAATTTTAGAAACGTATAAATGTAGATTATGCAGTCGATGTTTATTTTTCAATGTATTCGTTTACTGTTACACTTGCAGGTAAAAATAAGAAATGAAAGCTAGTGTATCGTAGGACGCGCTTCGGCAGCAAAAGCTCGTAAGACTGTTCTGAACAAACGTCCGTCGAAAAGTTTCTTCCTTCGCCACGTGTTCAAACCATGCGCAAGCGTCCTTAAGCTAATACGTAACATATACAAGATTACCTTTCGTTCGTAATTTATTTGACGCTTATTCAATATCTCAGTAAGGTCTAAAGATATTTTTATTGAAATATGATAACCTTTATATTTGATCAGCATTTCCAAATATTTGTAAACTTAGATTTTCAATCGTTTTTAGAATTCAATCGTTTCGTCCCAATTTTGAGCATCCCAAACGTCAGTGTTTTTTTGCACCAATAAAGTTTGAGAGAGTTCAGAATCTTCTGAGTCTTTTCCCGAATTTTTCTCCTTCTGTTCGCATTGTAACACTGATTTTTCTAACACTACTGTTTCTGAGGATTTTGATGTTTTGTTTGTCCACGAATACATCAACCTTTCATTTTCTTCTACCTGGTCGTGCAAAGTATTTTTGCTACAATGCGAAAACGATTGTTTCATATTATTACAGTTACATGTTTTTAAAGAAGTATTAACAGCGATTGAATTTTTTTCAAACTGATTGTTCTCGAAAGTTTTCGTACTGCAAGCATCATCTTGCTGTTGCTTCGAAAGATTCTAAAAACATTTTAGACAACTTAATCATCTTAAACAGAATTTATAATTATTTCTTATATGAAATAATGAATTACTTCAGAAAGCGAGTTTGATTGCGATGATAAATTATGTGAATTCGAGTCTCGAAATTGCCCAGAATTTTCATCGATTGGAGGACTTGCTGTGTATTGTAGATTTGGAACACATTGCTGACTGCTCAGAATTGCAAAAATTTGCGTCAACAAATCATTTGAACCTTCGGAGCAAAGTATTGGAATTGTCGTTTGAATACTTTGTCGTGCAATCAATGAATTTAATGCCGGCATCAATGCCGGAGCGTAAAGTAATACTGCAAGTCTGTGAAATAGGAATCAAAATATGAAGAGGGATTAAAAATTTCTTGTACTACTCCTTGTGCCATACCTTAATAATTGAATGGTAAAACCATTGGGATCCAACATAGAATTCCACGTGAGAGGTTGCATAATAGGTGTGTAAGCCGTATGAACATTACTACGTGGAGTTGGAATTTTTTTATGTAGTTCTTTCTTCTGTTTCTGTACTGTGCGCGTGAATTGTCTCGAGGAATCGTTTATATAACACGTTCTTTCACAGGATAACTTCTTCGCGTGGTTGTTCCAGTAATTGCGATTACTTTGAGGTATTTGACGAACATCGAAATTATCTTTTCGATGCGCATCTGTATTTTCGAAAAATTTGTTTCTTTTAAACATGCATTTTTCTCTGGCAGGAATATTCTGTTGTTGACAGTAGAATGTAGATTGATCGGAAATATCGCTATTAAACTTTGATCCCATTACTGGTCGAAATTCTGGAGCATATACAGTAGGTTCAGTCTGCGTATGATCTTCATGTTTGACATCGAAGTTAGTGTAGTACGACGTTTCCGGTTCATGTTTCTTGTCGAAGCTTTGGCATGCTTCCATCGACGTCTTTACGTCGTTGATAATTACAATAATTCCGAATCATTTATAAAATAAAATAGTCTTCGTGTATCTTATTATATTTAATTAGTCTAGCTTAGTAAAGAACTTGCGATCTTAATACCTTCTGTGTTTCGAAGCCACCAAAATGTTTTCTCGGTTTACCAAAAATAATTTTCGAGTCATCAGAATCAGGCTTATGGATTTTGTTATTCACCTAAAAATACATTAAGAAATATATTTTAATCGTATATTTTGATATTATTCGATATCAAATACTTTAGAATTAATTTGTTTGTATTTCAATGAATTGGTCAATTGAGTTGAATCCTGTGGGAGAATCACAGCAATATTGTGCATCGAACAAACTGCAGTTGAATTGCCAGTTAATATTTGTCGTTGAAACGTGTTACTATCAGGCTCTTTTATAGGGTAAATATCATTCTGTTGATTCTGAAAGAACGTATCAGAAGTGCGGACAATCGTGTTTTAACTTGTTAATTTTTTAACGAATACCTGTGACGAATTTTTGTATTTCATACAGTCTGGATCACCTAAAATCTTGCTAATTGAATCTTTATTTTTTTTCATATGTTTTCTTCTTGATAAAATCTTATTTTGCTCTTGATTTCTTTTATATTGATTTTTTGAAGAGGTTTCAAAAAGATGTCCATATTTTGTAAGGGAACATTGTTTCCAATTTACATCTGTTTGCGACTTTAGAAGAATGAAATTAAACATGAATAGAAGAAAGTTAGGATTAGATAATTAGAAAGATAAATGATTAAAATACCGATTGATGTATGGTATTGATGTTACGCATAATTACAGGAATCAACATTTTTGTTCTTGTTAATTCTCTTTCCATGATTAGGTATCTTTCTTTCATTTGCCTTATATATTCCAATAAATATCGATTAGGTATGTTCCCAGGATTACTAAAGTATAATTAACAATTTATCATATATTACTTTCTGACAATTTGTTTAAATTAATAAAACCAATTTCTTATACATATACTTATGCATACACTAACGTTCGTAAATATAAATTATTTGGTTGACCATGATCATCTTCCAGAAGAATGAAATTTAAATCAAACATCAATCCATCATTTCTTAAAGATGGTATATTCACTAGTGAATTAAATGGTACATTCTGCCTTTGGTTTGCGGAAAATTGCCGAATATATTCGTTACGTCTTTCATTATATTGATTATCTACAGATTCTAAAAATGTTTGTCGTCCAAACATACTTGTTAATTTTATTCAAACGAATTTACAACGAATTTTGATGAATTTCGATTATAAACGAAATTATTTTGTATAATCTATTATATAGGTTGTGTTTTCCATTGTATGTTCCATTTTCTTTTTCTTTTTTTTTTTTTCTTTTTAAGTATGAAGCTATTCTATTTAAGAAATTTGAGCATCGATTTAAAATTGCCAGCAGCTACAGATTATTATATTTGAATACCTTTCATATTATAAAAATCTTTTTAAAGATTCAATCAACAAACAATCTATATTTAACAATTGTATATGGCACTTAATGGGACAATATTACATAAATATATATATGTATGTGTACAGATTTATTTCGTATTTTAAAAATAAAGTTCGAGGCTTCATGTGTATATTTGTTCAACATGATTAATGTCAGCACGAATACAGAAATTTAGTATTCTTGGATTATTAGCGATTATATTAGCATTTTACTTTTACAAACTTTTGTTTAATTTTTTAAATTTGTACATACATTATATTTGTATAAATTATATTTTATATAATTATACATTATATTTGTATAAATATAATGTATGTACAAATTTAAAAGTATATATATATATGTTTACTTTTTAAATTTACATACACATACATATGTTTACTATTATCCTTGTATTTCAAAATGAATCAAAATATTTATTAAATAAAATCATTAATAAGTACATTTTGAATATATTACTATATTAAATGTTTTTCAATTAATTTGAAATTGGTCAAATTTCGTATGATGTTTATGTACAATTTCTGTTAGCTAGTACTATGCATAGTAGACATTTTGATCTTGTGTTGCGTATTACAAGTATGATCTGTTACATGTAAATTAAACTAAACTTTAAATGATTTATATCATTTATCATTCTACGGATTAAATAATTCCGAGCATGTTTGTTCGGAAAACATGTTTTAAACGTTACAAACAAAAATGTTAGTTTAATTCTGGTGGTGAACGGTATAACTTCTTTGTTTCTTTTACCATCTTTTTATGCTGGAATGGTCAGTCTTAACAGAGATTTAAATACGTTAGGTAGAGTGAGTATACAGAAATTGTATTATTCATCATATTATTGTAGTTTTTCTTTATTAGTATTGATATGACGTAAACATAACCTTATTTTATGATTCTTTGCTATTCGTTTTTTGAACTAATTTGCATTATATTAACATTATAATTCTATTATAGACTTTTACATGCCATTCTCATGTATATTGTACTGAAAATTGTATGAAGCGATTATTTATAAATATACATTTATTAGGGAGGGGTATTTTTTGATTCGTCTCACAATATGGATGATGAAGAGTATCTTCAACCTATATTAACTTCTCAAGAAGAACATTTTCAAAAATTAGATACTGTATCAATTGTGTCTTTTCCCCTTATATTTAGTGTAAGTGTCATTTTCTTTGAGTATATAGAGGATTGTATAGAGGTTTTTGATGCAAATATTGTGTGTTTATTTAGGTGTCTTTAGAAATTACAGGAATTATATTTATATGTGCGTGGCCTGAAGAAAAAAATAAATGTGATACATATTTTACATATTTATATCTTCATTGTGCTTATTGGTTGATAATTATGTTGACGGATCATTTAGTAAAAACAAAGCACCATAAACTTCGTATTTATGGATACCTTGATTTTTATCAATCAACGTATCAACAAATAAGAACGCCTCTTTTCATAGCATCATTGTGGATAACATGTTATTTACTGTTGGCTGTGATTTTACACCACATGCACAAAGTTAATTATGAAGAATATTGTCGTGCATCGGAATGGTTTACTCCTCTAAATTATATAGTGTTGTTAACCACAATAGAACTTACAATTATCATACCAGTTTATATAAATTACATCAGTAAGTATATAAAAATATACTGAAAAATTTATAATATAAAAAATTTCAGGAGTATAAACATCTTTTATTTTTGTAGAAAAAGTTTTGAGATTCAATCGATTACGTCCACCACCTGATGTTTCTAAAGAAGAGTGGCTATCTTCTTTTACTCAAGATACATATGCAGGTAGCAGTGAAGTAGGTTGCCGTCATGGGGGATCTAATTTGGAAGAATTACTTGAAAAACAAGCAGATTTGATAAGATATTTAAGAGATCACAATGTTAAATTGAGTCATAGAATAATGTTGTTGGCAGCTCAACGTGCATTGCCTTAAACATAAAATTGTGGTCTATGCAAAATACAAGCCTCAGGTAAAGTCCTTTTCATATTTAATTTTTTAATATTTTATGTAATTTCATTTATTCTTGTTGTTGACATTTTTCCACTTTCTTCATATCTGAATACATTCATTCTTAGTATTGACAATTCACTTGCATGTAAGGCTTGTATTACTAACATTTAAAAGTTTTCTTATATAAATTATTAGATAAGAATATTAAATATTCTATATCAATTTTATTACCTAATGTTATTAATTTGAAATTAACTTATATTCACTTAATATAGTTATTATTAAGAGAGATGTATAATAAGAAATCAAAGATAATTTCTGTGATAAAGAGTGTATATATCCAATTCAATAAAGTATATATTTTTTCCAATTATACAATATTTATAATTCTAATTATATCTAAATACACTTTACATTACTTATAATACATATTTGTTTATATTGCTATAGTTAGGCTAGCAATTTTTCCAATATATAATATTTATTTTCTAAGAATATATACTACAAACATTAGTATTGCAAACTAATATTATAATAACAGAAACAGTTATGCATTCACTTTGCATTTTTTGAAATGAATTTGAAGTATTATTATATTTTTTATCATTATGTTAAAGAAATATATACTTTTAATACGGAAACTAATTTTTTCAAATTATAAAATATATTTCAGACATTATCTTAAAAAAAGTAAAGAAATTAAACTTTTTTACCTCACATGTTCGATTTATTACATTGAGGGATTTTTTAGCAAGGTTAACACATATGCTAAGTATTTCTATTTATATACTTTTTTTATATATGTATATGTGCATATTTCTATAAATGCCTAATAATACCTAATTTATATCAATAAAAACCTGACGCAATGTGCACGTGGAGACAAGGAAAATCATTCTTGTGATTTATTGGTCCGTATTTAACGTGAACCTTTAATGTTTTATAAGACATCGCAAAATAAGATTCTCAGTAATGATTATTCCTTTTACTGTATAACTACATTATATAAGGCTTCTCGTGGATGAACACCTTAGACGATGCATAATATTAAAAAAGAAATCTATTTACAGAAAGTTTACGTGTATTACGGCAGGCTTAGACTCCTATGCTATCATATGTATGTATATAAAATTATTTACTTGTACGTACAGAACACTCAAATATACAACGCTATAAAATGTAGAAGCTTGTACTTCGTCGAGATGTACTACATGCTTATGATTTTGAAATTCATGGAAATGAATTCCATGAATTCAAGTTCTCCTTAGAAATGAAAATGTTCTATAAACGATTGTGTATTAAAAACAGTGCTAAAACCGAAGATTCTCACTATTCGGATTAGAACTATACCTTGTTCTTTGTTTTTTCGAAAGTTTGTACTACACTTTTAGGCCAGCCATTTTTGCTGCGTATGTACATCGGATACATTAATTCTATTATTTCGAGGCTTGAAGAATGTATGCCGAGCGCTTTTTTATTATTGTCTTACAGAAGAAGTTTTTCAGACTTCGTGATAGACGCGGGTCGAGATAGTCTTCTGGAGCTAATTAATTTTGGACGTTCCGTCAAATTCTCCTAGTATAATGAGCAATATAGCCGAGTTTCAATCGATCATTTTTATTTTTACAGATCCGCTGTTTGCAAACTAGATTGTGTTTTAAGAGATTGTGTTTAGAAACGAACATGAAAACGTTATAACGCGACGTTTCGGATAAAATTAAAGTTCGTTTCACATTTAAGAACTAATCATCACCAAGATTTTTCTCGTGTTTGTAAAGTTCTAATTAAATTTACTAAGAATAAGCAGCTGTTGAATAAGAATTTCATTTCTAATTTATATATTTTTCCATCGCTTTCATTCGGAGCAACGTTTTACATTATGATTGCTTAAAATTAAATCGTCGTAAATTTTATTCTACAGCAATTAATCGTTTTCAGACCATAGAAATATGCATTGTTTAAAAAATAGTTTTCTCTTACATTTTAACATCGTTCTATTTCCTATTGAATCGTGGTATTATTTGTATCGCACAAATGTATTTTGAAACTCGCAACACTTTTCGGAAAATTTTCAATTCGCCATCGCACTCAAAAGAATCGGCGCGCATCGCAAAGGCGCGGTGGTCCCCAATTCTACTTTACGCGATCAACGATAGAATCACGCGTGCGTAGCTCCCACTACGTTTCCGGTTGCTGAAAGTTGCTCCTCGGCCTCCATCATCTTTAACTTTCTCACTACTTGAGCATGTTCTTCGAGTAGCCTCGCGAATTCTCCTCTTCTGGTTTCCGCTTCCACTTGCATCTGTTTAATCTTCTCCCTAGGCCCGCCTGGACTGTCCAACGGGGTTTGTGACGATGAATTCTGAGAGCTGGTTTCGTCTGACAAACCATCTGAGTTTTCGCTCGATATCGAATCAGAATCGACGTCATCCACGATTAGGCTGTAAATTAAAGAGAACATAGAAACATACGATATTTCTTCTACCGACAATTGCTACTTTTATTTTTATACTGATTATTGATGTGACTTTTATTTCAGGAGGAGGAAGTTAGTTCTAAATTCAAAAGAAAGAAAGAAATAACAATTAAAAAGTGAATTTAAAGTTCGATTCAGTTATTTTTGAATAAAATTAGTATCGCTGGATACATAGATATAGCTGGATATATGTATATATATACACGAATAAGAGTAACAACAATCGCGACGACACAATTCTCTATTTTCAATTTCAATTTTGAGAATGCAGTTGGTCTTGCCGCCAAGGAGGACGTGATTTTTATAGTTGGTCTAAACTATCGACGTTCTGCCCTGCAGCATTCTAGTGGCAACAATTGTCGCTTGCGTCAATGTTACGTCATTGGTACTGAAGTACGTAGTCTAGGCTATGGATAACGAATTGATTTTACGTGAAATACTGTGCAGTAGAACGTCGATTGTCCGAACGCCGATTATCCGAAACATCGATCGTTTAAATCTCGATTATTCCAATATAGGATGAATCTAATTATATATGTATATTTATATTTAAATTACATCTCTAGCAATATCTATATTTGGGGGCACGTATCCTTGTTTCAAATGCCCTATTTTAGTGCCTTGTTTAAATGAACAGTACTGATCTCATTTATACCATGAATATTAAAAGAAAAAGAACGGTGCTAAAATTGTAAGATAAATTAAATGTTATTGAATGTTTAAAAAAGGAAGAAAACTTTTTTTTTTTATTTAGCCATAGAATATGATGTTAGAAAATTTACAATTAGGAACATCAAAAATAGTGAATCAGTGTAATTATAATTTTAAAATAACTTGAGTTATAAGAGGTTTCTATAGAAGCTTTAAAATAACAAGTAATAATAAATTCGACCGAGTTGTGTACAAATGGACTTTGCATTAATTTAAGAGAAAACTGCATATCAAGTTAAAAAATAATAGAAGTTTTAAAGCATCTACTGATTATTAAATGTATTCTTTTACATAATATATTCATATTTGAAATTAATAATTTCGTTTAATTTCTAGTTAATTTATGACATAATCACAAATTTAGTTTTCTTTCAGATTTCCGAAAAACCGCTTATCTAAAATGGTTTGTTCCCCAATTAGTTCAAGTAATCAACGTTCTACTGTATTAGAATTCCAAAAATATTTAAAGAGGAAATGATATATATTTTATTTTTTACTATAAAAGTTGAGGGAAAAAGAAAAAAGAAAGACAGGAAAGCGAGAGTTTACTCATTTCCGTGATCTATGATGCTGTATACAGTGATCTCAATAGAAATATGTAATATATGAATTATTATCATTAATCTGTAAGATCAGGCCTTGAGATGTTAAAATCGAAAAAACTGTTTAGATGGTCAGATTTGTTTATCTTGAAATTATTGCAGGACCAACGAAACTAAAATCGAATTATTTGTGTATCAAATTGAATTAATAATTCATTAAGATGATTATATTATTGGCTGTCGAACTATCATATTATGCTGACTTTTCTGGTAAAACGGAAGGTCATGTTGGATATTTACTCCCACGAAAATTCTGGAAATAGCAAGCTTTCGAATACGCGTTTGTGGAAATGTGTGCATGATTCGATTAGAATAATATACTGTTAACGTTAACTCTGTTGTTTTCCCAATTCTATCACATGATTCTTTGTATTTCTTTCTTGTTTGTTTTTCATCATACAACACTGATCAAATTTATTTGATTTTATAAAGATTTACTATTGCTTACCTGAATGCAGCGTAAATTTCTCTGCCCGATGCCATCGTCACTGCGATATCAGGCAACGACCCTGAAATAAAGAGTCCTCTGTCTGTGAAATAAATTCATTGATTGTAATGGAAAATTCGAGCATATGAACAGATAAAAATTTATAGTAAGATAATTTCGAGCATTCATTTTTAAGAATCATCCTATTTTTCTTGAATGACAGGTAGCTCCATTCAGAATTCTTATTGGATCTTCTGTATCGAGCTAAAGATATTAAATATTTAATTTTACGACGTAACTCATTTTACCACGCGATAGAAAATTTGCACGGAACAAAAATATTAAAATGAGTAAATGATTTATGAACATTTTAATAATCGAGTGAGGATTTTCCAAAGAAATATAACCATGTTATATTTTATACCGTAGCGCATATTTCTGGCAAAAAAACGTGATGTGTAAAAGAAATTATTTACTTCAAAATAGACATTCATAGATACAACTACTCATAGTTAATGAGATAAAAAATAGCGATTATCTTATATTCTTGCTCATTACTGAAAATTCAATGATTTCTTATTGAAATAAGAAAATAAGAAAACTGATTTTTGTCAGATCAAAATAAAGTCAGTTTTCTCCGCGGTAGTACAAAAGTATATTGTCTGATATTAACACTGACACGCCATTGTCTACATTTATCATTTATAAGGCCAACTATGTGATTTATAGTGATTTCCTTACGTAAATTGCATCGCTTCGTTTTATTTAACAAAGATCGATTGGCGTGCCATTGTTGTATCCGGTTGCCTGTGGTCGTGAAACAAACGATAAAGATTCTAAAAAAAAAAAAAAAAAAAAAAAAAAAATACGCTTCACAATAAAAACGTTATTCCCCATAATAGCCGACTATTTTCTGTAGACGACGTATGCAAATTTATCTGATGGAGGCGAACCAAATTGAGTGCATTTACACGTGTCCGCTTTACACGTCACACGCTACGTCATGAACCACGCAAATTTCAATTATATTTTCCTGAATGCATTCCGCCCTTGCTACTAATAGCAGCGTTTAAAAGTCCAACGAGGTCGGAAAACGAAAATGAACCGTGATAGAAAGTGTATTATTTGCGATAGCTAATTTCGAATAAATCCCGATTATCGGCGGCCAGTGTGAATTCGCCAGAATAATCGATGATGTATAAGGAAGGTGGTATCCTGATCTGTCTAAAATAGAATCACGAACTCGAACACGAGGAGATCGAAACCTTGGCCCCATAGAGTCGAAGCTTGCGTCTGTTTCGTTGATAAAATGATTAATTAAGCACCACGTGAACTAAATATCTCCTGTTCAAGCATCAGGATCTTAATGAGCAATCACTTTGGCATTTGACCAATGACGCTACATCATATGCAGAGGGTGTTAATTGCGATTAAAAAAAAAAAAAAAAGAAAAGGAAAAGATGCGCGAGAAGAAAGTAATAGGTATGCTGTTCGTTGTTGCTAAACATACCGTTTGACTATACGTATAAGCGTTTCATGGCTAAACGCACAATTTCACAAGCAATATAGAAAGAATTCTCTTTATTTGGTAGAAACTGGGGACCGACCTTCGTAACTACACGAGAAAGAGGATTGGAACTCGAGCCGAGGAGTGCTTCGCGACCTTAGACGATGCGACCTGCACACGAAATATCCACGAACCGTGACCACTTCTGCCAGCTAAACGTAGAGAAACAAAGAAGGTAAGAAAGTCACGAGCTGACAGAGAGGAAAGTATCCTCTCTCGTATTATTACAGCGGATGAACGTCAATGCCGTTTAGAACCAGTTGTAACGTTTCTACTCGAGATTCCTCTGTCGATTTCAAGCTGAACAGTTTCACGGTGGCCTGTTAAAAGCATCTCGCTCTAATTGCATACCAGAATCTTCAGTCCGAACGTACGCGTGAGATAAGCTAATATACAAATGTCTGAATCGTGTTATTACCGCGTGTCAGTTTCAAATGACAGATTTCGTTTTTCGCTTTTTTTCTCTTTTCGTTTCTTGAAATAAATTTCGCAGATCTTAATGAGACAAAACGGTTAGACGAACAAAGCCTTTATTTCTTACGAAAGCGGTGTTTAATATCAACGGGAAATTTCATTCAGAGATGAAATGTAATTACTTACCTCTGACCATCTGTGCTCGGGAAGTTTCTTCTGTATGAGCAATTTTCCTTGATAGGTCTTCTCTATTAAATAAAAGTTAAACAAGAGTTTGATAAATTCTCTTCTCTTGATAACTATGCGGGTGGGATTGAACAAAAGGTCCGTAAGAAAAAGATGGTTTCAGTACGTAGAACAGTGAACGCATTCGAAGAAGCGTTAGAGAACACGACGTTCACTACTCGAAAGACTCGCGCAGACTGATCTGCTTGGCCTCTATCGTCGCGCTACAACCTCAACTGTAGGTTCACCGGAGAAGGGGGATTCAACCGACAAATTTTATTTCATACTACCCCTGCCTTTTCTTTCTCGTCTCCCTTCTTCTTTCATGCATTCAAGAAAGTCCCATTTGAATGTTACTTGAAAGATATAGTTATTGCCACTCGAATATATCATTGGTACTTTTGCAAAATTACCAACAGCGAAACGATATCGAGCAATCTTTGAAAAATGTCCAATCTTTCAATCGGAACTATGAATCGGCATAATCGATCGATGAGTAACTCTTACAAAATTGGCTGCATTTCTATTTCTGTACATCTTGTTTTTAACTCCGTCGATCTATTTTTAAACGATTGATCCTCGTTGTTGTTAAATGATTTCATAAAGCCATCGCCGAGCATTCGTGCATGAGCAATTAACAATTGCCCCGTAATTGTTTTTCTTCGCGATTCTATTGGTTAATGGCGCGGCGCTTTGCGAAGCAAAAGCCAACGAAGGGGAAAGCAATTTTCGATCGAAAATTGGATTGGGGAATCGGGGATGGAGGGTGACGGGGGAGGGGACGAGGAAACCCTTTTTAATGCGACAAATTTGCGATGAGAGAAAGTTGACGATTCTCGAATCGGTGTTTCTTAGAAGCGTGTATTGGCAGCTTATTTAACTAACAGATGAATCACTCGTAATGACGTTCATACTTCTCTCTGAATTTCGGTGTATCTTCTGCGTAATAAAATCGTATTTTGCACGTGAAATCAAAAGATAGGATGCTGCCTGGATTCACGGAAATCTCATTGGAACAGATGCCTAAAAAGAATATAAAATAAATAATTCACGAATATTTTTTTATTATTTTCGATGTTTTGTTTCTAAATCCACGTTTCTGCTTGCGTAGAAGTTCAACACTCGATGGTTCCGTAATAAACAACAATAAATCTTTAAATTTGCAATTTCTTCAAGATAACACGATCGTCTACCGTTGTTAGTCGATGCTCAAGACGCTCACGGTGCATTCGGATGCTGTAATGGCTCGACCATTAATGTCTTGCACAATGTAATATATTTCGAGCGAAAGGGAATCTTTGATTATACGTCCGTGAGAAAATATCTGGATGATAATGGGCGCGTATGTGCCAGGAACGCGAGCGATCTATGTCGGATTTCAGGGTCACCACGAAACGAAGACCATACAACTCTTCGGGGAGTTCGGTGGCAAATTATTTCGGTTGGTCGCTAATTTTGTCCTGGTATGCCATATCGCGCAGAGAGTGCGGTGGTTAACCATTGCCACGTACGAACGAAACAGCATACTCGTTGTCTGCATCCTTCCATGCTTATCTCCCAATTCTTTTCTTTCGTCTCTCGCACCCTCCTTTTCTGCCTCTTTGTCTCGGTGCTTTCGAGAGCGTTTTCTCGTCGATTGACTACCTATTTTCGCTTGCTAAAGTCGCGGCCAATATTTTCCTCCTGACTGAGAAAAGCTTGCAGATTCAACGAGAGACGTGAATTACACCTCTCTGAAGAATGTAAAAATTTCTGCAAGAAACGTACGTTTAGAAAGACGTTTTTCCAATCAAAATAGCGTCAATTCAAAGAAAATTTGATCCAAGCTAGGCGGATTAATCAATAAAAGGGTTAATTCCGTGACAAAGTACAGAATAAGTAATGCGATGATTATCTAAATCTAAATTGTAAAACACTGTGAAGTTAATAAACGCAATGTGCGTCAGCGATAACGATCGTCGAATACTTATGTTTGCATCTGTGTCTCAAATCAGGAACAGAACAGAGAAGAAATTGTAAGGTCGTGTCTTTTCTAAAGATGAAAACTGTCTGTGAGATAAGTATGTACGTCAATACTGATACTGTATCTTATCGAGCTCTCCCGTTTTTGCATAGATCGTAATTTTCGATCGCCGTGGAAAATCATCGTTTTCAATATTTCTGTCTTTAGAAGATTTTACAATTGAAGGAAAACAATCATTTCGATCATCGTTTATATATATGTGTATATATTCCGTTTTTTTTTTCCTACGATTGAACTACTTGCCCTCTGATTAATCCGACTAAAAAAATTAGAAAATCATTTTCCATTAAAGTTGTTTTACAAAACAGATCTTCCTGTTTATGTAGGAATTATGCAATTGCAAACATCATAGACTCACATATTTATTGGTTTATATTTTCTTTCTTTTTAGTTTATTTCGAATGATAAATTCCACTGTCACGAACTACTCGAACGGAAAGGAATTAAAATCTTCGTTACTAGACCTTGAATTCGGAACCCGACTCAACGCATCAGACATTTGATATTGAGGTTAAATGTTCCTCTCTGGTAAAGAGAAGAAAGAAGACGAACAGTTTGTTTCTTTTAGTAAAAATTGCGAGGGCGTCGAGAGATTTCGTGCGTACTGAATCGAGTTAATAAATCCGAATTTTTTCATTCAACATGCAGCATTCATACATATATATATGAATATATTCTAATCGCTCGTATTTGCTTTCCTTTGAATTGAATATTTTCCAAGTTTTTTTTATCAGAAGCTACGATTTACATATTTCCAGTAGTAGCGCGAAGAGAAATCGATTCTTTTTAACGTGATTCAAATTCTGATTATCCAGAGAGATGAATGCAAGCAAATATTTACAATGTTTATCAATGAGTTAATGAATCAATATCGACGAAACATTTCGAAACTCACACTACGATCTAACACATGTAACATAAATATTTTCCAACAAAGAACAAGTATGTATGAAAATCTTTTCCGGCAGATTGGAACGTCCGGTCATGCCACGACGTACGCTGAAAGTCTATAAGCTGCTGAAGAGTATTTTTGTCCGTGGATATTATCGATTGGATATACCCCTGATTCGTCCTCCCTTTCTCTCACACATCGAACGTATAATTCGAACGTATAGATTCTTCTCTTTATTTTATTTTCCTGTCTGTCTACTTGTCTACCTAATGCTAAACCAGTAAACGAGTACCGTTTTAGGTTTACAAACATGTAATCGTGTTCATACGAATCTGCATTTCATGTTCGCAAACTAAACATGTTCGTCCTACTTCTCTTATTTAACTTTACGATCAATTTCGGAAGAAAGAAGATAATTACGTTTTCCCTCATTCATAAATCATAAACGCCTCCAAATATTCTGTCGTTTACAGCATTTACTACTTTGTAGATTTCTCTCTCTGGAAAGAAATGATCGATTCGATGTATATACAGGATTGCTACGGGAATAAAGATATTTTCAAGCGGATCTAAGTCGATTTCGGTGCAATTTGCGGGATTAAATCGTATTAGAGAGGAAGGGTTTGACACGGGTGGAACACGAGGTCGGTTCACAGTTCGTAAATTCAACGATGAGTGACGTGTCTCAATTGTGATTCACTGCAATGCGTCACAGTGAATAGAGAATCTTATTCTTGGTTCATCGTGGCTTATTGTTCGCAGTCACCTACTTTCATTTGCCCAATTGTATCGTTTGCTTCGCGCAACACTCTATGAACTATGTGTCTGTATGTATTTCAAAGCAGGAAATTTCACTCGATTCCCTCCATAACGTTCGCGAAGGCATTTATTTTTCAGTTACAACGTGCTCGCATTTCTGAAAGCCTTCCTCAATTTTCGCTGCCTATCTAGTAAACAAATGGACTTTTTTAAATAAGTACGCTGTCATCGGCTCGAAAAAAAGTTCTTGCTCGCGATTGACGGAATTTTACCAGTTCCTATTTGACCGTATCATGTACTATAAATAGGTTTAAATAATCACGTGATGCTTGCATACTGACGTACACGTGTATAGCATTGTGTAGAGTATTCTTTTCCGAATGTTAGAATAATTTCGAGTATAAACGGAGATTGTTATAAAGTGAAAGTTATCCAAAGTTATATCAACGACTCGACTAGTTTCATTCAGACTTTCTTCCGCATGCCTTTTCAAGCTTTCATCTTAAACGCTAAAAATTCAATGGCACTCGTTTCTTTTTTCTTTTTCTTTTTTTTTTTTCTTTTTGACATTCCTCTTAGAGTAAATTGTATAATTCGTAAATCATCAACTTCGTTTAATAAGCTATCTCCGGGCGAAAAGAAGGGCGAAAGAACATTTCAATTTTTTCTTCCTCCATGCATTTCGTCAGATTTACGATGAGTTTCGAATATGCTTGGCTCTCGCTTGCCAAATGGTTGCCCATAAAAATATCTTCTCGGTAGACACTCTAAAAAATGGAATGTGAAAACAAGTGTATAGCTTTCTTGTATTTGTTTACCATTTATTTTTCGCTTTTACGATTGTTTTTTATATCAGTCAGTATTTACGCCACTGGTTTCGCGCTAAAGAATCGGTAAAATAACGTAGACTTGTAAGAGGAAGGTTGGAGTAGTACGAAGTGAGATTAATGGACGAGAGAGGATGAGAGACCCAACTTCAATACCAAAATGGCGGAGGCCTGGAGGGTTGGAGGTGGCACGTGTTTGACAGCCTAACCCAATGGCGTAACAATGAATTTATACTCTTTCAACTGTTTGCTATTACCTATGATACGTAGCATCTAGATTCTAGATCAATCGAGATGCAATGTTGCGAAATGAAATGTTTAAAAGTTTAATCGTTCTACGGTTACATTTGGTCTCTTATTTGATCCACTGACTTGGTTGACGCTGCCAAAAAAAAAGCAATATATAACTTGAAGTAAATCTTATTTTATTGATTGATAATCAATAAATAAAAAAGAACTCTTCATTCATTACGATAAATAAAAAATAAGGATACAATTGTATTAAGATTGGAGCAACGTGTTTCTCTTTTATTTCTTACGTACGCTTGAACAAAAAGTACAGACAAAATTTACGAGTAACCATTAAGCTGTTGATAACTTCTATTTAATTCGTACGGGCCAAGCATTTTATCCCGTCAGGATTATCAGGAAAATTCTTATCGCCGCTTCCTGAATTCTACGCCTCTGAAGCCCGACCACCCCCGCATGCCACCCCAAGTACACCCCTAATGACGTCATCGGACAGTGGCGCCGACAACTCTGCACTGACGTCAGTCCTGAACATTGGGCAACTAAGTTACCTTTGCTCTATGAATTTCATCTTTTAGCTTTCTTTTACGTAAACGTAGAACACAACAAACAATACCTTTACGATCTTAATTCGCTGACCATTTTTATCGATCCTTTCGTGTCTCCCCACTCGATTTATTAGAAACGAACTTCGCTTAGAATAGACTAGAGTTTTGCATATATCGTGCCATTATCGAGTCGACGTAAAGCAGTAGCTCTGTCATCGATTCATCATGACGACAGCAATGACGATCTCGCTCGTTGGTAGTTACCTGAGCTGCAGTTGCATTCATTTCGTATCGATTCGATTCACTGATTTATTTTTCGACTTGAACGACAATGTTATATCGATGTTTTTTGGCCGAAATTTTTTTTAATCTTTCGTATTATTTTACATTGCCGATGAACCATCCATACGTGTTATTTCTCACCTTTTCAACTACTTTCTTTTTCTGGATTTTCCGTTCAAAATTCGGGAATTCTTGAATCACCGAGGAGGAACAGTCGTTGTATATTTCAAGAGAGAACATGGTTCCATCGGTAAATCGACTTTTCTAAGGTCCCGTTTCTGCTTACGTTTGCATCGAAGTATTCACACAAAGTATTCATTGTCAATGCCATGCACGGGACAAGGTGAGCGGTATTACGAAACTAATTGACAAAGATCTTTCAGCTTTGCACATATTCCAACAACATACAGGATGTTTAATTGAAAATGGTAGAACATTTCACGAAAGATTGAAATTGTCGATTAAAGAATATTTTAACGAAAGTTTTTTGCTTCGAAGGGGAACATTATATGGTGCAAATCGATGAACTAACAACGTACTAAGTCGATAATTAGCTTAGAATTATTATCGTTAGATATGAGACGACGCAAATAGGTTGCTTTTAAAGACTTCCAAAAATATCGCTCGAATGTTTATTACGATTGACGTTCGCGTGATAAAGGAAGAAGAGGGATGGTGTATTATTTACATATTTAGTAGCCGAACGATCGAAATTGCTAAATATTTTAACGAGTGACGGAATATCAAGGTAATCAATATTTAGAGGAAGTTCATGAAAAGATTTTAGACTTTTGCCATTGACATCTCTCAATTGAGAACTAAGCTGTTCAACTCACGGTTGCAACACGTTCAATCTGCGGCCACAAATTTACGCGTGTGTACGCACACAGGCATGTTTGTGCTTACGTAGCATCCCGCTTTCTCGACGTCTCATTGTCGACGACGATTCACTTATACACATATCGTTCTCTCCAAACGAACGCGAATCCCTCTTTTTACTGTCACGATGATGACGTCAATTCTCTCTAATCCCGGTGCTCATTTCCGAAAATTATGATAGCACCGGTAGGCCAACGTACCGTCGACGGACGTTTAGGACGATCATCGGTTTCCTGATTACGACCCTCCTGCCTTTTACAAATGATTTCGCCTTGTCGCTTACGGCTTTTCGTTTTGAAAATCAACCAATCGACGATACGATCAATCGCGTGACATTTGATTTAGTATCATTGGTCATTTATAGTTCGTCACGAAAGTCTACGTACAAATTTCAAACGCTTGAGGAAAACACTAGGATTTTTAACGTTTTACGGACATTGATTTATTTATTACTCTTAATTTATCATTATATTATCTTTGCGTGCATTAATTTTGTATTTTTCTTATTATCAAATCTACTATATAATCACTACTCCATATGTATTAAAACAATTTAATTTACAAATTGACCAAGGTTCATAAAATCTAAAAAATCCTTTTCTGTTTTAAATATTTGAATTTTGATAGATGTATGTACACTTTTCCGATTAACTATATCTTTTGTTTACAATTAAAACAGTATAAGAAATCAGATAACGTTTTTCCTTGACAAAATCAAATATCAAATAATCGAATATTTTTTAATACGTACGCATTTACATGTTAAAGACGTTTTATTCGTGTTTTATTTGACGTGCCTACGAATGTAACAATCTTTGCTGATTGTATCGTATTTTCCACTCTTTGTTAGCATTATTTCTGAAGAAACGATGACGATTCACTATCACTGCTTAAAGTACAAGATAATAAAACAATCTGTAGATATGCGATCATCGATGTTTTTTTAATATCGATTTTCCCAGACTTTGTAATAGCAACGATGTTACGTAACATTAGTCAAGGTCGAGGTATACTCGATCGTTTTTCCTACGAAAGTGACCTTATAATTGTGACGCTTATGTTTTTAACATCATCGATTAAAAGAGTAATATCAGCGATGAATTTTTGACGAAGATAAGGATAGAGCCATAGATCGGTACAAATCGGCACTGCGATAGTATAACGAACCATTAATAAAGGAAAATATACAGGTGATAATAATATATTCTTCTCAAATACTCAAATGTTAATATTTATTACTGTAGAAGTGTAATCGAAATAAATATCGTGTGAATATAATATATACAGAACTGTTAGAAATATGAAAAGTACAGTGTAAATTCAGTATAGAAACATCATAGCAATTAATAAATACGTAAATTTTTTTTTCCTTTTTTTTCTTACAAGCATGCTGAAAAAGACTATCATTCAAAATATTGCAGATATGTATATTTAATTTCACGTAGTTATTATAAAATTCCATCGATTTTCTGTTTCTAGTGTAACCGACATGAAGTTAATGGTTTGGTATAGCTAATTGTGAAAATTACTTTATGGAACTGACCTTTACCAAACGGTACAAGCCAAAAAAAAAAAAAAACATTTATCTTCTTAATCGCGTGATTGATGAGAAGGACACAAAGAAAGTTGGTCTTGTCGACGCATTAAGAGCCGACTTAGGCGCATTTGCGACAATAGTTAAGACATCTTAAAATTCAACCATAAGCCTACTTCCACAACGTCTACGAGTATACCTGGGGTATTTCCTGAATCAGCTCGCATTAGACACGTTGCGACCGCTCGCAATCAATAAAGTGCGTTCATGTTCAACAACGTGAAATAACACAAAATAAAGTGCAGTTTGTTTCCTCAACAACCTAGACTCCCTAAATTAGCGTACATTATTTATACATTACGTAAGACCTAATAAAACATTCTCTGATACTGGTTTCTTTCACTGATCAAGTAAAATGTTGAAATAGAAGTGTATAATGACGTGATAATTACATAAAATAAATACAATCATATATACAATATTCTTTATGTAATCGAACATTAACTAAGCAATTTCTTCGTCCGAACAAGAAATCATCTTTTTCTTTTTTTTTGTTTATATTTTTGGCGCTCGATTTGCACAGTTCTATTCCTGATCTATTCGTGGCTTATAATAGAACTACGCAAACAATATAAAATCGCTTAACAATCGACGCGATGTTAAATAAGTGCAGTCATTCATTGCGAGGATCATTTTAATACGACATTTAACACGTTGACTGCCACGCGAGATTTATACGTTTCGCCTCATAGGACGGAATATTGAATTAGAAAATTAGAAAATATTTTAACACGGATAAGACGAAAATATTACGAATTAGAAAAAGTTACAAAATGTTATGTGTAATAAAATTACGTATTTTTCGTTCTATAGAATTTAAATTTGAATTATTTTGAACTGTTCGTAGAAACAGAAACGTCATTGATGGCCATTATGGTAGTCAACGTATTAACCATAAAATCTTTGCTATCGGCAAACCAACAAAAATCGATGCCCTCGATTAAGTGGTTTTATCTCCATAGCAACAAATCGTACGTGTATGTACGAAATTTGCAACATTAACAATAGATGCGCAATGGTTCGAAGCTGATAAAGAAAGAAAAGACTTGAAATAATTTCAACTGAACGATATTTGACGACATTCGTAATCGGCGAATGTTCATCCTTGTCGATTTAATGAGATGATAATATAGTCGGAACGCGATAATGATTGCATGTATGTATTCAACGATTGTAAGTGATGCAATTTTTGAGGAACTTCTAAGCGTTTTCGTCACCCCATTCGAAACACTCTTCGCCGCCAGACGTTACCTCTTCGATTTTTGGCGATTCTTCGATCGCGTTCCCACCAGTTACGGGTCTACTTTCTGCTCCATCTGGTTCCTCGACGAAAGGATCCTCCGACAACTCGAAGTGTTCTTCTTCATGCGCTTCCTCCTCGATCTTTGTGAAAAAATAAAATAAAGTTATATTATATTAACGTTACATTAATATTAATATCATGCATTATTCATTGCAATATTTGATGAGGCTGATATTTACCCTTGTATCATCGTCTGTAATTGGATCATAAGGCCTTTCTTCCCTTTCCTGATCAGTGAGATCGCATGTAACCACATCGTCGCAAGAATGATCGATGTCTTTCACTTCGTCTGCGTCGTCAAACGTAACATTCGCTAATCTCTCTTCTTTTTCTTCCTGTTGACGAATCTTCTCCTCTATGATGGCTTGCTCCTGTTGTTTCAACAAAGCCGTTGTTTTTGCTTCTGCTATTTTCCTAAATACACAAAATTATATATTTTACATCGTGGGTATTCAATTCAACTCAGGAACATGTGTTTTCTTCTCAGAGGCTTGAGCTTCTCAGGCTTATAGGCCTGATCCACACGTTACCTTTCTTCTTCCAGTATTCTTTCAGTTTCTAATCGTTCAGCTTCCAGTTTCTTCTCCTCAGCTTGCCTTTGAGCTTCAGCTTGCTCTTGCTCGACAATTTCATCGAGATGAGCTACACGTTCCTGTGCTATTTTCAGTGCTTCCCATGCCTTTAGCTCGTCGACTTCGAGTCTCACTCTTTCCTCTTCCGCTGCTTGTCTCTTTTCCTCCTCACTCCTAAAACAAATCATCGATATGAAACGAATGAAATGTTCTCGATGCTCCATTATATTGTGTCAGTGCGTGAGTATGAGATGCTTGTGTCCTATAGCTTTGAAAACGATTGAACAAGAGTTTGAGAAATTTTGGCGCGCGTATAGTTACAAATCGATTACTAGGTTACCTAGCCGAGTTCAATGTTATGATCGTTTCGCGAACGATTCGCGGTCAATACTGTTATTTTAAATCGTCAATTTGTTACATAATATTTTCACACGTGCCAATTTTACTACCCACCTTGCCTCTTCAGCAGCTTTAACAAGATAAGTCTCTATTCTCTTGATCGCCTCCTCCTTGTCTTGTTTCACTGAAATAATTACTCATTAACGAAGTGTGTTCCATTGATTAATAAGTCTTGAATGAAACGTTTAATCTTAGATCGATTCGAACAATTCACGCGTGGTAGATACACACGACATTTTCAAAGACCGAACAAGGAATTAACGTTACGAAACGGATATCATGCAACATAGAATAAACTGGTAGACAACAGTAATCATGTTCTTGTATTTTATACTCGCCAGCTTGTTCGGTATGCTTATCCACGACATTTTAAATCAATCAGTTCTTAGAGAACTTCTTTTTCAGGTCAACATACCGTTTTCATTCGTTGCCTCCTTCTCGTCTGTTTTTTCCGACTGACTTACAGCTTCTGTAGCTTGTGGTTCTGAATTCGTTTCCGGTATAGGGTCTTGTTTGGATTCTAGCCCAGATACCGGTTCTTGAACCACTTCTGATACTGGCTGCTCCACACTTTCCGGTGGATTTTCCGATTCTAGCGATTTTGCTGATTCTACCGCAGGTGGTTCAGGTTCCTTCGCGACTTCTACTTCCTTCGCGAGCTCAGATTCTGGCTCGTTCGCAGCTTCAGCCTCTTTTGCAGTTTCTGGTTCCGGTTCTTTTACAGGTTCCGGTACCTCCACAGGTTCTGCCTGTTTCGCAGCTTCTGGTTCTTTCACAGGCTCTGGTTCCTTTGCGGATTCTGCTTCCTTCACAGGCTCTGGTTCCTTTGCGGATTCTGCTTCCTTCACAGGCTCTGGTTCTTTTGTGGGTTCTGCTTCCTTCACAGGCTCCGGTTCTTTCGCACGTTTGGCTCTTTTCAAAGATTTAGGTTCTTTTACTGGTTCAGGTGCTTTTGCAGGTTCAGGTTCTTTCACCGGTTCAGGTTCTTTCACCGGTTCAGGCTCTTTCACAGATACAGGTTCAGGTTGAGCTGTGATTTCTGATACAACTTCAGGTTCTTTCACAGGTTCAGCTTGAACCTCTTTTACCGGCTCTGGCTCTTTCACAGACGTTTTGACCGCTTCGTCTTTCGTTTCCGCTTTTTCCCGCTTTGATCCATGTTTATTTTCTGGTTTCGATTCCGTTTCTTTGTCTGTTCTAACTGCTACAATAGATACGAACGATCACGACGCCACGTTTTGTTACGAACACTGGGCATTTCAAGAAGAATTTCGTACCTTTCCTCAGCGCTGACTCGTCCAAATCAGGTTGCAATGCTCGCGCTAAAATTTGTCAAACAACGTGAACAAGAGCATATGGGATAACATATGCGACTTTAATTGTTAACACATTCGAGACTGATGACACAACCACATTTAATATCCCTACAATTAGTAGCCAAAGACGCAACATCTGCGTCATTGATTGAGACCTACGTTACTACTCAGTTCTTGGATTGTAACCGAAAAAGTCATTCTATCGATAAAGTCAGTTATAGAATAAGATCTCTAAAACATTGTACAATATAAAAAATGACTATGCTAAAAGCCGTTAACGTATAAAATACTGATGCATACAGTAACATATCGGACACATTTGTCTGCATCATTGCTTAGAGAGAAAAACAAATTAACGAAAAAAGGAAAAAATGTACAATTGTACATACATGTTTTTATTTTTAGATAATATTTACACAGTTTCTGAAATAATAATTTATATACCACGTACAGTAATATATAAATTATTAATATGTATATATATAACGTGTAATAAAATTTATAATTGAATTTCGTTCAAATACTTCAATTTTATTGAAAACATACAACGTTAAAAACTGTATGTGATCTAAATAATTCTTGACAGTTAATCACTAAATGAAAAAATATCGGCTATTGGAGACAATATTTTTAAAATCCGTTGGTCGCGAATGTGTCAACGAAAATTAGCGAGAAATTATTACTGACCCTTGCGTAATTCTCTTTCCGTCATCGGCATATCTTGCGCTACAGAATAATACGAAACATAAATAATTCAATTAACGATAAAGATTTCCTGCGAGGCTATATTTCTATATCTGAAATAAATACGAACGTAGACTGAAATAAACTTGAAACAAAGCTTGCGACTAAAGCCAGAGGCGTACTCTCGGGAATTGTTACAACGGGAAAATGCCATTTGTTAATTCGCCATATTCTACCCACAAGAATAGAAAGTTTCTACCCCATAGAAAGCTTCACAAAGATAAAGCAAATTAATATACGATGGTGTGCGACCAATGAAAATTCGGCGATGAAATTATTTCTGATATCGATAGTATTTCCTGTTACGACGAAATATTAACGACGTGACACGATTTTGCGCAGGAACGATGAATCGGGTTATTGCCCCCGTTTGATTTCAGTTTTGTCACTGATCACAGTGGCGATGATCAATATGATGGTCGATTAATGAAAAACACACGGTATACTTAACATGTTTCAACCTCAATCGCATTTCTTCCACCGATGAGAATTGGACGAGCCGTTTTTTGTTACAAATTGGGTGAACTCGTACGAGACTTTTCTGTCCCTTTTTTGGTACAACGCTGCATGATACTGCGCGATATCATTTCTCTGCCGTTATATAGTATCGTTGCTGTTACTATATTGGAAAAATTAATGTTTCGTCTCAACACCCGAAAAAAACCACTCAGCCTCACTTCAGAAACAAAACGTCAGCCGGCCTAATTTATTAGAAATGTTGGTAAAGCACGCATGGAGTCTTACCTCGAGGCAACGCGTTCGCTCGTTAGCCAGTTCTTCTACTACTTTCCAATTTTTTGTGCAAGGGAAACAATTGACGGTGCTGTTTTAATCATCGGGTATGCTCATTTTATTTGGACACTTTTTTTTTGCAAAGCTCGGACAGATTTAACGGTACTAAACGTACTAAATGAACATTAATATCCAATATAATTGTAGATTAACTCGGGTCGTGCGTAAAACTTTGTGTCGAAGAGATCAAATTTTCAATGGAATAGGACGACAGGGACGATCGCTCGTGTTACGAGATTACGATCATTCACAAGGACCGGATCAAGTAGATACAAATGTCTATCTTTTTAATGAAATCTACAACTGTCGATCTCTCGGCTTTTTCACTCGTGCAAAAACACTTTCAAAAATAAAGATTTCACACGTGATCGATTCTTAAGGCCCCTGTACGCTTTAAAACATATTGCTATACATGCATAGACATTTAGGTTTCATGCTGCAATATATGTATATAGTTCTGTATCGGTGATTCGACTAAAATTATTATATTATGTTATATTATTAACTAACTATCCATTGTATAAGTATAAAATACTATATACATACACATTAATAGTTTGTATTTGCTCTTATCACATTATGTATCATTTCCATATATACTCTTGCTACCCTTTTCCTTCTTTTACTTCTTTTTCTTTCAATTTTTTTTTTTCATAATATGAGATGAATAATTTTTAAAGATCCAAATGGAGAATTTTCTCTTGCAATATTTCTTGTAACTACTCGTTGCGTATAATAATTCTACTTCTCTTACAGCAAATACTCAGTAACAATAAATAATAAAATCACACTGAGTTAATAAAGTCACAAGTTGAAAACTCTAATTGATTCATTAATTCCTAATTCAATAGCCAAGGACTATCGAAAATCTATCTCTCGGGTTTTTTATTTTTCGTAATTAACACATTTCCTAGTTATTGATAATAACTCTAAAATTGAAAAATAATCCGATATTTTGAAGCCTAATTTTGAACATTGATATTACGTTTCTGACTGATTGCGAGAATCACAATAATGTGAAGATAAACTGAAGCTAATGTAGATTCTATGAAACCTAAGTGTCGACACGTATCACAACATGTTTCTACGTGCAATAAGGATCTTTAGAACGAACAACGTGCTATGAACCATCTCTATATAGAAGTCTGGAATCCTTCTCTAATCTGTTTCCAAATGAAAGGGCTGTACTTTCGTAAATTTAGAAATTGAAACGATATTTTAACGCGAACGTAGTCACTCCTCGGCGGGTGTCTCGTTTTCTTTCTCCTCCTCCTCCTTTTTGTTTTTCGTTGGATCTTCGTATAGCTCTGGAACCCGATCCCTCCATCCTTTGCCTGAAACGTTGAAAAAAACCCGAACTGGTTCTTCTCTCTGGCATTTTTACCCGCGTGTACGCGTCCCAGTCATCTGGTTCTGACACTGGAGTTTGCCTTCGTGTGTAAGATCTTGCTTTCGTTTTCAGTTTCCAGTTTCAAGCCGTGTCGTGATCGTCGTGATTGCCGTTTTATTCCGTTAGTGTACGCGCGAATTCGCGAATCGATCACGCGCGCAATTAACGATACGCGTCTATATACTTAGTCGAGTATGAACAAAGAAAGAAAAGAAAAAGTTTGACACAAAAGAGCAAAAAGGGGAAAAAAACGACGTTCTGTCTCACACCTTCGTCGGTACATACATATTTCATTAGACACAATATATAACAGAAAAAAAGTATAGCAACGAACAAAATACAAGGAAAAAAAAATGATAAAGAGGATACTACGTGACGAACGAGGAAAAGTACACTAAAATATAAAGAATAACACAGCACAGCAAAAATTCAGTCAGATAGGGCGGATCAATGGCAATCCATTCAAAAAAGAGAAGAAAAAGTAGAAAACCGAGCGGGGAAGAAAAAACTAAAAAAAAAAGGTGCACACAGCGGCGTCATATGGCCGCTTTTATTTTCCAAAATTTCCTTCGTGATATATATTTTGATGACAGCGATGCGAGGAATGCCAATGTTGAGTAACATCGAACATTCTAATTTCTAATTTCGTTCCATCGACATCGTATAGTATCGCGAGATACTCACGTTGATCAATCCTATAGATTGAAATGCAAAGAAAAATGACAATTACAAATTTGTTAAAATTTACCTTTAAATCCACAACTATCTATATTATATAAATCCTATTTTTTGCTGAATATTAATTATATGTCTAATTAATGAAATTCAAAACAAGATGGAGTTGATAAGTTTGGCTTCTGAGGAGCTCAATTAATAGTATATATTTTGGGGGAATTATTCGTGTTATTCATACATCAAACCTTCCTCGCTATTCCTATTATTCCTTCATATTTCGTGTTCGAATACAGTAAAAAATCATTCGTTCGTACCGTCACATGTACAATATCGTACATAAATAGTTGAACACCTAGTGCGATTCTATCGAATGATTGATATTGATAAAAGTTAATAAAATGTTCTTCCACTATATTTTCTAATTGACATCAAGGTCAACTGCTCTGAAGGATATATCTGTATCACTGAAGTTCCATATTCATTTCTAATAAATAGCTAACGCTTCATCAACAATTTATATAAATTTTGTCGAAACTGACTGAAGACACATGTTTCAATTCAAATATTTCAATATCAATTAAGATGTCTGCAAAATTTATCTACAGTCGCCTTCAATTATTGTTGTTTTATTTATACTGATTGGTATTAGTAGCTGTTCCATTAATCGTATGTTATCAAATTAAAAGCACTCGTTTGAATTGTATTTTTATATATCTGCAATAATCCAGAGCTATCTCAAGTATTTATGTACGATAATGTCTCAATCGGCAAAGGAAAAATGATGTATTTTCGAGTCGTCTGTGTCTCATTGTCAGTTATCGTGTTCGTAGTTGACGTTTTATTGTACATGTAACAGTCGCGTCGATATAACCACCGAGTAAATTACTCACAGGCGTTAGCCGCCGCTTCGCGATTCTTGCTGTAGTAACTCAGAAAATTGACATCGTTTTTGATGTCCGAGGGACGTAAATCGGCAACTTTGAAGTAGGGTTTCCTGACCGACTGCGGCTTGCCGGCAACATACTTAACGCAAGCCAGATTGCCGAAGTTACCTCGATCGGGCACTTCGTACCAGGAAATCGGCTCTATCGATGTGTCTTTCTTTGCGTTCTGCTTCCCGGAGATCAATCGACGAACGTAATCCCCGCTGCGCATACGTTCTGGCACTATCTCTTCCGCGAAGTCGCTAAAAATTAAACGATTCTTATTATCATGCCGTCAGACGATGCATTTTCGCGTGTCGATCGATACGTAATTCGATCGCGTAACCCTTTGAGTGCTCGCTAAAATCGCCAATAATTTAAGAGTTTAACATCGGACGTGGAACATACAACAAATTAAGAATATATTCTTTAAACAAATTAAACTTTTTTCAATCTCCAATACGAACAAAACACTCAAAGGATTAAAAAATATTTAGTATCGTCCTTTATTGTTTTCGTTCTCGTTCTAACCATATAACAAATAATCGTTATATGCGTGAAGGTGGGATTCCCTGTAAGCGTCAAACGGACGTCAGACATATTTATACCAATACAACGAAGAAATCATTATCTTCTACTTCCTTTACACGTAATTTTCAATAATTGTATTTGTTGTATAGATAGAAAATCTCGTGACGTTTACGCCTGATGCTTACAGGAAATTCCACCTTTTAAATACCTTGCTACGGCTCGTGGAATGAAGACGTGAACTCGTCGAAGTAGGGAATCCACTCTCGCACGTATTTCCCTCGCCTCGTCGTCGAAGTACTGCGAAGAGAGACACGTAAAATATAACGTCGAAACGGAGGGCCGTCTCTCATACGAGAACGGTATAATTCATTTATCTACTACAATCTGTTCATCGTTTTGATTAATCCAGCTAGCTGATTAAACTCTGAAATGAAGAGACGCGACAAAGAATGCGACACGAGACTGTGAGTTACACGTGTTACAAGCATAGCGTAGTTCTTCAAACACAAAGGAATTCGCACAGTGTTCGAAGAATTAACGATGCTCCCAGAGTCAAGTGCGACAACTCTTGATCGTGAACGTGAAAGATCTCCCGAGATACGTATCCACAAAAAAGACGACGCGATTCCGCCAGACGAGGATGCCTGATGTTGCGTGTCGAAGACGAGAAATGATCGATGATGATGGCAACGTGTCGATGACATGGATGATGACACTCATGCTTTTAATGGCCACAAATGATGAGTTGCTCTGTGTGTTCCGTTGAACAGATATCACGATGAGATACGTGGCAAACTTACGATGTGATCCTTGGATTGTAGATACTTTTCCGTGTAGGATTCGGTCGACGGTCTCGTCAGGTTGCGTATCCTGTTGATCTCAGCTGCAAGGACGCTGGGACGTACGCGCGCATGAACTCTTATCGGTATCAGCGATGGTACACTGCCGCCATGGTACACGGTATGGTACGGCAAGTGGATTACAGTCACGAGCCGTTTATGAGCCACGTATGGCATGCGAGGAATGCTTCTCAACTAGAGGCACGAACTCTGCTTTACTAATTTGTCGGCTAATTGTTACGTTCCCAGCGGCATCAGCGATAATTAGCTTCTGTGACAAGCGCACTCTCCTCAGGCTCGTGCAAGCGTTTTTTTCAACCGTACCGCCTTCTTCTTTCTCTCTCCCTCTCTTCCCTGCACTTCTTTCTCCTCTATTCTTTTTATCATTCATTCCCATTCGTTCTAACTCGTTCGAGCGATTAGCAGCGGCACGCTAGGCAATCGATTAGACACAGTCATCGTGATCTCGGACGTGCAGCAACGACGTCTAGAGGCAGCAAAGCGTTTACCTTGCGCATGACTGCACTAACAAGGGAAGTTCGGCAACTGGAAGGCTCAAGAACATTTGAAACTTTGCGCAAGTCGTAGTCCACGTAACGACGTAACAATTTAAACAGTAGTGAAAATGCCACCCTTCATATATGTATTTCGTATATCCCATTTTTCATGCATATTCGAAAAATAGATATTCACATAAGGGTGGTTTTGCATTACGTTGTAAACGGGAAAATACATCTTCCGCCTTCCAGCGATTACAAACTCTTTTTTGAAAATTTTTCACCACATAATATAGACTTCTTTTTTACATCTTATATTACATCATTTTCCAGCAGGAACAAAAATTGTTATTAATTACGTTTATTCAAACTTCCAATTTTTTTTTTTAATTTTCCAGTTGCCAATATTCGCTTGTGATGAGAATCGAGTAACGTGATACATATATTTCTATAGATCTCCTCCATGATTACGAAGATGAGTAGCGGTAGATGAGTTTGATCAGTCGAAGAGGACCATTCGGTCAAATTTTAACAATCGACGTATGATTCAAAAATGCGGATGGAATAAGCAGAAAAGCGTCGTACTGATGTGCACATATAGCAATAAGAAGAAATCCGGGTGATTTGAAGCGATCGAGAAAATGAAGAGCATTCTTTCTCGTTGGGAAAATTATAGCCAGGTGAACTGTTAAGTTACACGATCGCACTTGTCGCATTGCGCATTCGCATTTCACACCGTGCCGTGTGTGAACATCTCGCAAACGAGCTTAGTAGTCTTGTCCGATAAGCGTGAACACCATGCTACTTACCTGAAGAATCGTGGAGATCGGTAAGACTATCGGCCGGTCCTGCGGTTCCCGTTTCGGTTGTATTTACAGAGACGTTTGTACGTTTTGTATGTTTCGTTTAATTGGTTTTTTCGACGATATTGGGCGTAATCCAGCAGCGGCGAGGGACGGAGGAGTCACGTAGGAAGCAGAATAAATAGAAAGAAGAACAACACCCAGTTAGTAATGTTCGCCAGTATAGTATCCTTTTCGGCACTCTTTCTTTTTTTTTATCTTTCTCTTTATTTATTCCATTATTTCCTTGTTTACACACGTGCGTGTTGTCAAATGGTAATCATCGGCGTCGAATCGATACTCTCGATAAAAAACGATACGTAAGAAGAAAGCAAGGAAAAGTGTACCTTTTAGCACGAGAGAACGTGAAGTTACAATTTCCGATCATTTCGCGAACAAGTAATTTGGCCGATTGTCGCGTTGTGTGTCTATTGAGGTGGGTTTAGATGTTAGTCACGGTTAGGTACGGTTTGGTACACAAACGTGAACATTATACTCGCATTATGTTCGAATACATATATTGTAGTTCATACACTGACTCCGTAATTTCATTCAACTGCAAAGATATGAAACTCGCTTTCATTAATTCACACTAACCATTGCACACGCTAGAAAAAACGGAACTGTGCTTGCACGGATACAAAACTGTTGACGCACTGTTGCGAAAGCAAAAGAAAAAAAAAACACTCCCACACGTACAATTACAAGACAAATTCTACACGTCGGATGAAAGTTAATAGAGTATAAAGATTACTGCTAGACAAGTGAAACCAAATTTTGACGAAAATTCTGTCGAATTTTTGTTACTCGATTCGAGAAAACAATTTACAAAACCAAAAGTTTTCAACATATTCAGTTTAACCATTGATTTAACGATTAGCATGACTAGATTTTAGGACATCTAAATGCAACTACAAAGTTTTCTCAATAATATGTGAGTAACGTGTTACAAATATCGTAAGTAAAGAAAAACCCTGAACCCCATCTTCCTATCGAATCACTCAGTTCGAATCGTGTTAGTTTCGAGTAGATTCGTGTAGATAATCAAAAACATAGGAAGACGGTTCTTTCGTTTCACCAGAATCAATCTATATGTCAAAATGTAACTCAAAACTGAACTTTAATCCCTCACTGATATCATTGGACATTCGAAGCCGTAAGACATTATGTCACTTGATTTTGGAATTTTCAATTTGATTTGATTTGATTTTAATTTATTTCAATTTCTGTCAGAGAGAATAAAATGAAATACATCTGGATCTCTTTTAAATGGTGGAAGCGTTTCAAACGCAAAGAAGATCAGTGTTGAAAATAATATTTTTTTATAAGAACTCGCGAAAGTGTTCGTAGATTTGTCGATATCTTTTATAAAAATATATACGAAATATACTGTCGTGACAGCGAACTGTTATGATTAAAATTTTTAACAATTCTGAAAATGTACACAGAAGTTACGAAATATTTAATATTTCGCAAAAGTCACTTGAACAGTCACAGCTCGTTATATCTGTAAACCTCAATATTCAAGCATCTTTGACACTTGTAATATGCTTAAGATGGCTACACAATAAATATTTTATATCTCCTATATACATTTTCAGATTCAGTCTCAATTTTTAACAATATAATCAAAAAAATAGTCGTCGCCAATTTGTGAGCCAATTTTATTCTAACTTGTACAAGATTTAGTTTTCCATTGCGTCGCTATGAGAAAAGAGCCAGTTGTATCATTTTCTTATTATTTTTACAATGTGATACGAATTGCTGTAGTAATCTTCTGTGGCCTCATGATACCGCTTGAGGATTAAGTTCGTTCTCTAATTAGAATTGGTGAAACGAAACTATCCGATGGCCGTTCGGTCGGGATTTTAGACGCGATAGGAGAAATGGCGGTAAGTGGTACCGCCAGGTAAACGACCGGAAGTGTGGGACTCGTAAGAGGAACGATAGCCTCCGGGACCGCCGCCGGTCGATGTCCTATACGACCTCTCGGTCGAATACGATCCGTACGGTCCGCTCTCCCTCTTGACGACGCTCTCTTCAGTGTGGCTAGTCCTCTGCGGACGGCGGCTGTACGGATCTGTAGCGGAGGAGGAACTCGACGAGCTGGTGTTGGTGTAGGCATAGCTGTATTGCTCTTGAGCAGCCCTCACCCCGACTTCCGGATAGTCACGGACCACATAATGCCGAGGCGTCTACAGATTCGGGTTACATAAGGTCAACAACGTGGAGAACAGGCATTTCCGGAGAACAGAACTTTATTTCTTCGTCGGAACTCTTTCGAGAGGTGCGTGGAAAAAAATATATATACTCTTCTCTCTGCGCGCTTATTTGTTTGAAACGTATGACACAATCGTGACGAGGCAATAAAAATTGAATCAAGCGATCTTTCACGATCTTTTCTTAGAGCGATCATTGGACTTTCGAATTTCAAACATTGCACAACTTCGCGAGAAAATGAATCTGTCTTTAAATATTTATTTTGTTTCGATTGGTTGATGAATCGGCCGAACCTCGAATCGAACTTTTATATATTCGTTCTGACATTTCATTTTATGTGACTGTGTTGATCGGCTCTGTTCTCCGTTTCGGAATAACATGTACTGAGGATAAGGATATGTCGTGTGTCACGGAACAATAGCAACGAGATAACAAAAAATACAACCGATTCGTCTCGTCTCTTAACGTTTTCGTTGAACTACCGATTAAGACATCTTTTTCGAGACACGATTAATGATCGTTGCCAATGTTACTCTTTTTTAGAATTCAGACGAAGCGATGGACGTACTTTTTGGAGAATATTAAATTTGAGGGATGTTAAGTTTGGGTTAGCGTGAATCTATAAGATAATCGCGCGTGTTACGATGCGGAAGAAGATAGTAAAAGGATCGCTATAAGATGTCCCGCGATAATATATCAATCTATCTGTAGACACACAACGTGCGGGCCAATTATAAACGTAGAGCGGTACACGTATGCATTAATAATGTCTCCTTGCCGAGATATTCAGGACACTCTAGAGTGCAACGTTGAGCAACTGAATTAGCCTTTGCCAAGAAACACATGGATAACGTAACGTAATAGTGTGAACGTTATGTTCGTGTTCCTCGCTCATATGTATGCACAAGTGCATCTCGGTGTCTCATTTCGAAGTTAGTGTTCAAGCTATAAAAATTGTGCTTTCGTATGCAGTCTCTTTTCACTTTACTCAACCACATTAATCATTCAGTTTAATTCAAAATTTTTTATTCCCTCTCCCATCTACATAAATTACTGATATGTTCGTGATACAAGCGTCGATAATACTGTTAAGCTAAGAATACTTGAGAGATATTTTCTTTTTCATAAACGGTTCGGGCGTGATTATTATAGAACAGGATATCGTTCAACTCAAATTCCCCAATCCGTTTAAATAAACGTATCTTGGGAATGAATCCAGTAAACATGCTTTTCGGAACCAAAGCACTTTATTTGTTGATGTGCGTACAAAGGAAACGGAAAGTAAACGAATGATATACGTATAAAGCAACTATTAAAGAAGAAAATAAGATGTGCGTCTATATGTATCTGTATTCGTGTTTGTTAAAAAAAAAAAAAAAAATAACAAAAATATTAAGTTTATCATAAGATGAATGAAATGAATACTGAGTACTACAGTTATTATTATAAAATTCGAATTTTTCTTGAGAATGTCACTCTGAGGGAATGCCGAGATAAAATACCTTGATAAATCGGTAAATATAATATGTAATACGTATTTTTATTTGAAGGGTAAAAAGGTTTCTAAACCAACGAAAATCAATTGTCTTACTATTCACCACTGAATTAATTGTAGTAATAAAATTTAGTACAACGCTGACAAACATATGTCTACACATAATCCTTATACGTTATTCACGAACGAATTTGCAATAGAAGAGAAAAATTCGAGTCACCAAACGAAAAGTAGAGAAATTGACAAAATAGTATATGCATTCTTTTTAAAGATGTCTTTTAAAATTTAGACTCAAATAAACTTTATAGGATGTATTTTCACAGGCGTAGCTTTTATCTAACGTCATACTAAAAACACATGTCGCAAATCCCTGAAATAATCACATTGGTCTCCAAAATAAATAATTTGTTCATCTACGATCAAAAAAAATTTTTCTCATTTAATAACATCAAGCTTGATTAAGGAAATTTATTTTAAGTATCAAAGTTCTGTAATCACTTTGTTCTGTAAACGGCTCAATTTGTATTTTGCTTCCCATTAAAGTAAAAAAACCATCTGTAGATTGTATGCAGACATATTTCTACGCGCAATTGTCCGACAAGCTCTATTACTACAATTATCTGATCAGGCTTAAGTTGATATTGAAAATATTCAAACATATGTCAGTCATGTCAAGTTCGTAAATTATCTTTTTATGATATTATTGTTCTCAATCGATTGTTTCAGGAGCCGTTGTTAAAATCGGTACCAAGAAGGCGTTTGCAGTGCCATCAATATTTTGGCGTGACCACTATGAGTAGGAGACATAACGTGTCTTTTGGTAGTCGCTGGTCTGGAAAGCACTCCTTTTTCGAAAACGTGACCCTTGGTCGCCAATTCAGTAGCAGCATCCAGGTTAACCTTCGACACTGCGCCTCCATCCACTAGCTGTCGAGCATGGTCCTCTTTCGCGGGATTTTTGCCACGCACAACACCCTCCTTGTCCTTCAAGGTAACATACTGATAAAATTCCTTCTTCGGATCTTGTTTCTTGCGTCCCCAAACGGTGAACGGATCCGGTACCAAGGATGGTCGTGGAACAAACGGCACTTTTTCCCACGGGAAGTAGTCCTGCTTCTGCAAATGTCATCAGGTTCGCGATCTTTTCCTCTTTCCTATCCGAGATCGTTCTTTTTTTCCCGCTTTCGTCGTCGAGCATCGATCAAAAACTTCGCTCCATTCGATATCTTCACTTCCACACCATTCTTCCGTATTGCGGTCGATCGATAGCTATGCTATGTGTATCGATCGCTGATACGTTACACTAGTACAAGAGCATGATTTTTTTTTCTTTTTTTTGGCTGTTTAAAGATTTGTGCATCTGTCATCACAAATTACGATGATGAGTATACAAAGAAAGTGCGAAACATTATCTTCTTTCTCTTCGTCGCAATGATGCTTGACGCGAGTTTATTTTCTGCCACAATACGCGTTTTATATCTTCGCGCGAAAATAGATCAAAAGCAGTGGGAATGGTATACAAGGAACGCAACACCCGCGCCCTCGTGTTCGCCTCCGCACATTCCGAATCGCTGATCGAGATTTTTACGACACAACCTCTTTTTGTATCATCTCTACAAATACATTGGTGATGCATGGATTTTCTCCTTGACATTCTTGTGCAATCGTTTGTTTCGCGAGTTTCCGTAGGAATTATTTCTCCTCGTTTTTCCTTTTTCAATTTATTAGAAAAGCGTCGCAAGAGACACGCGCATCTAATTGTTTCTTTTCTTACGAGAATATATATATTAATACATTATTGAGGATCGATTATGACACAAAAACAGTGGATTTTCTCTTTCTCCTTCTACTTTATTAGGCTGGAATGACATTCGATATTAACGTAAGCAACAGTACCGATTCCGAAATGTTTCGGACAATATTCACGAAACAGTGAGAAAGAACGAACTGTCGTGAATAGCAGAGATTGCAGGGTAAATATGGTCAGCAGCAGAAATCACGTATGAATTTCCGTGACGAATTTTATGTTTCGTGGTGGGAGCGAACGTGGCTGGTACGTGGTGAGTCTAAATTAGGGCAGAGTAACGCAACACCGATGCTCACAGATCCCCTCTACTGAAACGAAGAAAGACGAAAAGTATCCTCAATAACATCTTCAACCACCGAAACATGTTTCTTCAGTCGGCTGTGTCGTTTTACCAACCTCTTTGTCATTGAAATCGTTCGAGATGCTCGAGTTAAAGGCCTCGGTGAAGATCTCTCGAACATAGTTAGAATTACCGAGGAGCGAAGTTATTTAGGTCAGCTTTTAACGGTACCATTGATGCATGATCAACAATGGATCGGTCCAATGATCCAAACTGTCGAAGTAGACACTCAATCGCTACACGCTGTCGCGGAAAATTTCACTAATTTTCCTCGACAAGTGATTTCTCTCGTTTAACATCGGGTTCTCTCACTTATTCAGTCAAGGTTGCAATTTATTCAACGATATTTTCAAGTATACTCAAGTATAGATTGGTTTCTGCTATATAGGAGACACGCCGGTCCAAATACGTTTTCCTGTTCACGGATCCAAAATTTGCCGGGTCGTACGGCATCTAAGTTTAACGCGACGGAGTCCCGGAAAATGGCTGCGCCGCTATGAATAGGCTTTTCTCTAATTTCCCTGCTCGCAAATCGCTTATATCAATTTCCAATTTTTCATTTCGAGATAGAAATAACTGGTAAAATTTGGTAATTATCAGCCTCGATCTAAACGCCTCTCTAATTCCCCCTGCTCAGAAATAGCTCGTATCAATTTTTCACTTCAAGACAAAAATAGCTCTCGTAGTAATTATCAATTTCAAGCTAGGCTTCTCTCTCATTTCTCTGCTCGCTAAATATACTTATATAAACTTTCAGTTTTTCACTTCAAAACAAAACTAACCATTGTAATCTATCAATCTCCATCTAAGTATCTATCAATGATAACTATAATATATAATTAAGACTGATTGTTTATTATTTGTCTCTGTCGTATTTCGGATTAGTAGCTATCTGATAGTAAAAGTTGTGACTATTAACCTGTGATTATTCGTTTCTTCGATAAATAAGTTTCAAATCAAAAGATACATGTTTCTCATCTAGATTTACAAGACAACATTGACAAGAATTGACACAAACAGGCACATGAAACAATAAATAAATACATAGAACCGATAAAACCCTGGTTACTTTAGGGTGTAACATATAACATACAAAACAGACTGAAACAAACTGAGCACAACGTGGGTGCTCCTTGAAAACAAATCATTCAAGAAGTACCTTTTTCCTTTCTTCGTCAGTAAAAATCGGGTAACTCGTGCCAGAGCTTATACGCTGCATGGTACAAATGAATTCCGTAAACTGGAAGTTATTGCCGTGCAGTTACACGTTTAACTCTCTCCAACTGATATTACTCGATGCGCACTTGATTCGTATTGTCAAGTTTGCACGTTAATTGGATGTATACAGGTTGTACCAACAGATAAGATCGCTGACAGATCGTGTAATTGATTCGTTTTACGCGATTATTTGTTCGACTTGTGTGGAGACACCGAGTGCATGTTTCGAGGTTCGAAAGATTGCTTAAACGGCAACAACAATGACAACAATGGTAGCAACAATGGTAGTAACAGTGATCGGAATACAGTGTGGAAGTAGAGACTTCGAAATGCATCGAATTCGATCCGGCGACAGCGATAACGATTTGCTTAGCGCGATTATCGTACCTGTCGTTGATCGATTTCGTTAACGAACGAGGTAATCAAGGAGTGTCGTTGTTTCGATCGTCGGGGAGCCGACGTTTCGCTACTTAATACTCAGTTTATTTTATTGTTGATATTATTTTCAAATCGTAAATGAGATAAAACGCAATTTGATAAAGTACAAATTAACCGTATAATTGAGATAAAATACCACGCTAGATAATGGCGGATAGAAAAAGAAAGTTTAAAATTATATTTTCCATATTCACACGTGTATAAATAAAATTTCTATCGAACATTTTCTTTTGTATGAAACATTCGCTTATTTTAGAACGTACAGTTATATTATACGTTCGTTTCCTTCATCAATTTTCTTCTAAACTTTCTTTTTCGGCCATCACTTTTCAAGACAGAAATTTACCAGGAAAGCGAAACGTCGACTCCGGATCGTGCAAAGTCCGAACAAGGGTGGCTCGGTTAAAAAAAAAGTGTTTCCGTGTTACACTCGACGCTCTTATTCGACGTTAGTGCCATCCAGCAAAACATTATTAAGACATACTTCATCCCGCTCTTTCAGCAATCCCATATACATATACTGACCGTGACGCTGTAGGACGAAACGAGAGGCCGTGAGTAGGGTCGTCGAGTTGTGTAGAAGTCGCTCTCGTAAACCATTTTTGTTCCCTCTTTCAGTTCGTTTTTCTGTTCCTTTTCGGTTAAAAATTCGGCTCGTTCGTCGTCGGTGCTACGTATGCCTCTCGTTGGAACTCTCGTTTAACAAACGAATTTGCCGCAACGTAATCGGCTGGCTGTCTTATCGTGAACGTGCTGTTAACGTGCGCACCAGAGTGTAAGGATCCGCTGCTGCGGCCACGATGAAGGTTCGTACGATTCTACTCGTTGGACGAGACTTCTCTTCGGCTTCTGCTACCATCGGTTCCACCCCACTTTGCTCCGTCTTTTTCATCCGTTCAGTATAGAGACGAGAGAGAGAGAGCGAATTTTAGGTGTACATACATGCGTCGCCTCTTCTCGCGATGTCTCGCGGTCACCACTTCGATTGCATCATTTTCGGCACACGGCCTGATGCATCGAAAAAAATAGAATTGTGTTAAGGTTGCTACTTGTCAATCCCCTTTCGGTCTTCTCCTCCGTGATCCTTCTTTTCCTCCTCGCTTTCTCCTTTCCTCTCTTCTCGTGCGAGATCTTTCACTCGAGTGTCGATTAATTTGACGAAACGCTTTAATGAAAAATAGATCCCAATTTTTATCAGATATAGTATAAGTTTAATATATGTTTATATACATTTAAGCGTCGGTTGGTAGACTGCAGATTTTTACTTATATTGTGGGAAATTGAAAGTGCGAGAATGCATACGATGCATGTAATATATGAAGGTATATAAAATATCCAAAAGAGTATTTATTACAAGTTCATTGTACAAAGTATCCTGTATATTCATGTACAAAGTGTACTGTGGATAACTAACTGGATTCTATGTACAAAAAGAAGAAAAATCGAGTTTGAATATATATTAATAGGTATGTATATATGTACATATTTTGACTTCTTTTCGTAGATAGAATAAATGCCTGTTCATTATTTATTTCTGACCAGTCCAGAATTAGTTCAATTAAAGTATAATTGATCGATTTTCAAATTTAATTTCCTCGAAAACGAAGTTTTCGATGGAAAAAATTTTATTTTCTCTTCCCGGCTCATTTTTGCATACAGAATCATCCCCCAATCAGTTATACATATTACGCAAGACACTGTCTATAAATACCTTGTAGTAAATAATAGAAATTTCTATTTAGATTCCAACTTTTTAACATAAAACTCCGCTGTCTTATTTATCACTGAAAAAGTAAATTTCTACTTAATGTAGAATCTTGCTCCTTTGAACGTAAATTATAACGCTCCTTATAACATAAATCATACAGAAATTATAGTAATATTAATATCTACTTGTAATTTGTCGATACGTAAATTTTATAAGAATGTCCACGGAATTGAACATCCAATGTCATGTTTATTTATTTAACAATAGACGTTATCCGCGATTATTCTGATATTACATCACAGATATTATTGGCAATTTGCCAATGATTTGCGCTAAGTTCTACAGTTGGATCAAATCCTAATTCTTTATTACAAAAAAACAACCTGTCTCTCTGTATGACGTGCTCTAGATTCCGACCTATGCTAATAAAAATATAAAAATAATTCTCCAAAAATACAAGTGACTCTTACAATGGAAAAATTTGCTAGAATTTGATCGGTTTAATGTCGAAATTAAAAGAAGAAATTTGTTTCAAGTTGCTTTCATAACATTTGAATCTTTTGAAAAGAAATCTCGAGTTTAGAGCTAAAGGGAAATGGTAATAATGGTAATAGTTATTTTTGTAGTCTGCCAAAAGAGGACGGCTATATATCTTATAGAAATGGGACGAAATCCGTTCGCGTCACTAGAACTAGTAATAACCAAAGGTAAGCTATTAAAAGTACGTTTATTCTTCTATATATATATATATATGGCAGTCGATATGTATAATACTATTATAATGTATAATTAAATACTATTAACGTTTTTAACACTTCCACTTATACATCTAATTGTCATAGTACAATTGTAACGCATCATCAAGAATAAAAAACAATAAAATATTTGCATAACTTTTTAACATTTTTATTTATACATCTAATTACTACAAATTGTAACAAATTCACAATGCAATACTATTACAATTGCGTTTTTAATTTTCTTATATTCTTCTATTATATTATGTATTATGTATTATATATTGTTAAATCAAAAATTTGGAAATTTGAAAACATAATTGAGATAAAATTTTAGCTAGACGAAAATGTGTAAAAGTATTCTTAGCGTAGAGTAAAATTACAACAGTGATTTGAATTGAAATGAAATTTTAATATGAAATAATAAATGAAATGTAAAATAAAATATCATATGATCGTTCGATCCTAATATAAATATTGTGGAATTTAGAATTATACTTCAATAATATATAAATATATGTATGTTTATTCTTAAATACATTATGGTGAAACTTCGTTGGAATGATGATTATATAGAACATAGAATAGAATTTATAATTATAATATTGAATATTATTATAATAATTTGAATAATTATATTAAAATATAAAATATATTGTGCTCTTAATTTTTTCTAGTTTGATTGATTAAATGTATGTACATGATTTCCTTTTATTTTTACTTATTTATTTAATTATATATATTATTACATTTATTTATTTAATTATATATATTAAATAATTTTATTATTTAATTATATTATTATTATTATAACACTATTATATAATTTTCAATTAAAACGAATTAGAATTCATATAAATAGTTTATAAATAAAAAGAATATCACAAAACTTGCAATATCAATTCTGTAAATTAATGTTTCTTTAAAATTATTTATTTAAGAAAATGTTCTTTAATTACGTTACGTGATTCATGACGATTAATTTATAGAAATCCTTATAATACTATAAATAATTATTAATTAACGTATGTAACATAATTAATTTTATGTAATTTTAATTAACTATGTAATGTACATAACTTCATTATAAGAAATAAAGAAAATATAAATAAGTTTATAAAATAAATTATAAAACAAAAATATAAATTGGGGTAAATATAAAAATATAAAATAAATTATTATACTATATAAAATTACAATACGCATTAACATAAAATTGTAGTACATCCGTTTTCTACGAATGCTTTCATTGTATGGAGGTTTATCCTTTAAATAAAAATATTACGAGATTTAACAAGAAACTATAACAATAACTATTTATTAATATTAATGTATAACAAGATTGTATAACAACATTTGCTTTGATTGATTATTAAAAACTAAGAATACAAAATATTTTCTTCATTCTTCATTTTAAATCAACGTCGCCGCTTTTTTAAATACTCGCGCCGCCAGAAATCTGTAGCGTTACGTAGCGGTGAAATGGTGGAACTAATTTATATTGCTGTCCTTGTCGCACGCTGTTGCTCTCCTTGTCTACCACGCGTATATATCTGTCCTTGTTACACTCTATTGCTCTCTTTGTTTATTGCGCGATATGTCTGTCCTTATCGCACGCTATTTCTTTCTTTGTCTCGCGCGCGAATATGTCTGTCCTTGTCACACTCTGTTTCCCTCCTTGCCTATCGCGTCTAGATGTCTGTCCTTGTCGCATGCTGTTGCTCTCCTTGTCTATCGCACAGATATGTCTATCCTTGTCGCACGCTAGAGCCCTCCTTGTCTAATAACGCTAGATAAGGAAAGCAACAGTGTGCGAGAAGGACATCCTGCGATCTATTGAAAAAAAAATTTAACTTCTTACACACACGTTTTTCAAGGACAAAACACACATGGAAAGAAAGCGGGAAGCCTAATTTTAAGGATGCATATAAAAAAGTTCGCAAATTATTCCCCTTAATTAGGTTTTTTTCGTAATTAGTGCGAGCTGTCACAAAATGGACATGGTGGTGCCATCTAGCGATAACTCAGTGGTACTAATTATTTATAAAAATGCTTATTTCTGCATTTTATGGGTCAAATGGGGTATGAAAAGAAAGCTAAGAACCTAATTAGGGTAACGGAATCACAAAAGTTCACAATTCATTTCGCTAAATTAGGTTTTTTCGCTTATGAAAATTCCTCTGTTTTTGCGCCGCGTTGTGGCAGACCAGTGGAACTAATCGCTCTATAACCATATATGGAGAATAATTAATTTTAATTTTTCACGTCACAAATTTGCACAGCACGAGCGTATATTTCGAAGATAATACTATCAATTTCGTTCGCAAATAAATCTGAATCTAATATTTATTATAATTTGCGAGAAATTATGCACTCACTACTGTCACTACTAGTCACGTAAATGAAATTGAAACATTCTTTATATACGTAAACTATACTTAAACAAACCATAGAACGCATGCTAAGGGTCTCTAAAATCGAAGACGCAACCATAACAGTTCACGAATGGTTCCTCTGAATTAATTTCTTCTCGTAATTTGTGGAAAAACTGTCATCTGTCAAAATTTAGAGGCAGCGGTGGCGCCATCTATTGATAACTCGTCGGTACTAAAAACAGAAGTACCGGGTTTTAGTACCACTCAACTGTCCATAGATGGCGCCATCGCTGTTTTTAAACATTTACACGTGACTTTTTCCACAATTTAAGAAAGCGGTGGCGCCATCTATTGACGGTTGAGTGGTACTAAAACCCGGAACTTCTGTTTTTAGTACCGACGAGTTATCAATAGATGGCGCCACCGCTGCCTCTAAATTTTGACAGGTGACAATTTTTCCACAAATTACGAGAAGAAATTAATTCAGAGGAACCATTCGTGAACTGTTATGGTTGCGTCTTCGATTTTAGAGACCCTTAGCATGCGTTCTATGGTTTGTTTAAGTATAGTTTACGTATATAAAGAATGTTTCAATTTCATTTACGTGACTAGTAGTGACAGTAGTGAGTGCATAATTTCTCGCAAATTATAATAAATATTAGATTCAGATTTATTTGCGAACGAAATTGATAGCATTATCTTCGAAATATACGCTCGTGCTGTGCAAATTTGTGACGTGAAAAATTAAAATTAATTATTCTCCATATATGGTTATAGAGCGATTAGTTCCACTGGTCTGCCACAACGCGGCGCAAAAACAGAGGAATTTTCATAAGCGAAAAAACCTAATTTAGCGAAATGGATTGTGAACTTTTGTGATTCCGTTACCCTAATTAGGTTCTTAGCTTTCTTTTCATACCCCATTTGACCCATAAAATGCAGAAATAAGCATTTTTATAAATAATTAGTACCACTGAGTTATCGCTAGATGGCACCACCATGTCCATTTTGTGACAGCTCGCACTAATTACGAAGAAAACCTAATTAAGGGGAATAATTTGCGAACTTTTTTATATGCATCCTTAAAATTAGGCTTCCCGCTTTCTTTCCATGTGTGTTTTGTCCTTGAAAAACGTGTGTGTAAGAAGTTAAATTTTTTTTTCAATAGATCGCAGGATGTCCTTCTCGCACACTGTTGCTTTCCTTATCTAGCGTCATTGGACAAGGAGGGCTCTAGCGTGCGACAAGGATAGACATATCTGTGCGATAGACAAGGAGGGCAACAGCATGCGACAAGGACAGACATAAGACGCGGTAGACAAGGAGGGAAACAGCGTGTGACAAGGACAGACATATTCGCGCGCGAGACAAAGAAAGAAATAGCGTGCGACAAGGACAGACATATCGCGCAATAAACAATAGTGTAACAAGGACAGATATATACGCGCGTTAGACAAAGATAGCATGCGATAAAGCGTGATATTCACGCGTTAGACAAGGAGAGCAGTAGCGTGTGACAAAGACAGACATACTGCGCGGTAAACTCGTTGTTGCTAGTGGCGCTGTCGTGCAAAACCTGCGTAAATTAAAATGGTAGGATGTGACACAAAAATGGTAAAGGGATCCAGAGATCCCCGAATCGTTGGCCGAAAAAATACATTGCATACTAGGTCTATCCATATACCTCGTCTGTGCTTTAGTCAATGATTTAAGCATAGAGTGCGCTGATTTTTAATATGTCGGTAATTCAGAGTATGGGATGCAAAATTCCATAAGATGCAGTGTCTACTTATATACATCGTCTATGTGATAGACTTTCGGTTGTCACGTAGGTAGTTTATATATAAGTCAGTTACAATTGCGGTTCAGATAATACTGTAAAATAATTTTCGTAAACCGTTCACGCATTAAGAAATAATTTTTTTGTCGAAGCATTGATAGCCAGTGATAAAGCAACCATTGTATTTTACTCAAAGCTTTTCAATTTAATTAACGTATCTCAAGTGAAAATTGAGAAATGCCCATGTTAAGAAGCGAAGCTGTCAGCCTAACACTGTAAACAGAACAAGATTGTATTGTATGATTACTTAACGTTTAAAATGTCCGTGACTGAAGAAAAAATTCAAGAACTAAACAGACGATTTCTGGAATTTATGAACAAAAGTGAGAATGTAGAAGCAGCGACTAAAGAAATTTACGATGATTTGCTCGATGAGGTGTTGATGGGTTTTGTTTTCGACGTACATCGAACTACAAAGACTGGTAGTTCTGACGTTGAAGAAGGCATACCTGATGACGAATCGTATGCTATAGTAGGTGAGTGAAATGACAATGAAAGTATTGTTAAAATATCAACAATTAAAATTTAATAATCAGGTTATGTTTATTTACTAACAAAATGTGTACATATTTAACAAATATTTTTGCAAAGTACATTAAAATAACTTTTAAATGATCATTATTTTTACTATAAAAAATTACTCTTAAAGATTCTCCAGGACTGGACGTGTTTGGTCACGATGCTATCAAAAAATTTCAAGATTGCAATTGCCCAAATTGTGACAGAGGGGTTTCAGCGTTTCGTTTTGCAACCCATTTAGAGAAATGTATGGGCATGGGAAGAAACAGTTCACGAGTTGCATCAAGACGTATAGCAAATAATTCAAAAGATCTTGGCAACTTCAGTGACAATGACAATGATGTTGATTGGAGTTTAAATAATGGTAGGCGTAAACGCAGGAAAGATCGTAATGGTATGAAGAGAACAAAACAACAAAAGAATAATCAGAGAAATGGTGAAACTGTAAATGAACATATTCATAGCAGTAATGAGAATTCCCCATCGAATTATGAAAATATGTCCTTGGAAGATAAACGGATTTTACTAACACAGATCTGTGGAGTAATATCAGAGCATACAAAGAAATTGTGTACAAGATCAATGCGATGTCCACAACACACCGAGGATCAAAGGAAAGAAATGAGAGCGAATTTGGAATCTGGAAACAATATACAACCTAGTCAGGATAATCTTCATGTAGATGTAGATACCTATGAAGAAGGAGATGGGCAGAATTTAAGAGAAGCATTAGCGCGTTGGGACCGCGAAGGATCAAGTCATTCAAGTCCAGCGGATTCTAAATCAACCACGTCATCATCTTCGATAAGTAGAAAACGGGAAACGAAATCAAAAGGCAAAGGCAAAGGTTCCAAACGTGACCGTGGATCACCCATTTCACAAGGAGATTAAAATTAATTCGTTTAATTTTTTTTAATTTTAAAAATTTTTTAACAGGTCAAGTTATGTAATAATAATGTTCCTATGCATTGTATAAAGCTTTAAGAATATATTATCCATCACAAAAATATCTTTTAATTTTATTCAATAGTTTGTTATTTTCAAGAACATATAACAATTACTGCTATGTAGGATATGATTGCGTATGTAAACGATATTTCATTATTTTGCTACTAGGAGGCGCTACATTGAAAATACCTGAACTCTAAGTACATCTATATTCTACATTACTACTTGCTTCATGATCAGGCGTTACTTTTCATTAAACATTGGTTGACGTTTTGCGTAAGGTTATAGTGTTTTAATAAAACGAAATAAATATGTTAAATATTCAAATAAGTACTGCTTCTGGAATAAAACAGATTCTTACTGTTAATACTCCTCTTAAAATTTATGAATTACACGAGCGAATTAAAGGATTAACAGTACGTATAGAGTACAATTGCTTGATTCAATTTGTTTGCAAAAAAAAAAATGTCAATGATAATTCATAAAATTTGTTGCAGGAAAACTTTTACATCGTACATAATGGAAAACTCGTAGATGAAAATGTCACTTGCTATGATGGATATGTTTCTATTATACCGCGATTGTTTGGAGGGAAAGGAGGCTTTGGTTCCATGCTACGAGCGATTGGAGCACAAATTGAAAAAACTACGAATCGCGAAGCTTGTAGAGATTTAAGTGGACGTAGACTTCGTGATATTAATGAAGAGAAAAGATTAAAGGCTTGGATCGAGAAACAAGGAAAACGAGAAGAAGAAGCGGCGGAACGTAAAAAGAAAAAATTAGAAAGACTTTGCACCGAACCTAAACATGAGTTTAAAGATCAGATCTACGAACGTGAAAGATCAGTTCTTACAGAACGAGTTGGAGATGCAGTTGAAGAAGGTTTTAAAATTGCCACTTCTGGAATAAAAAGAAAATACCAGACAAAAGATGAACCGAATAAAAAGAAAATTTTATTAGATCTTGATATTGATTCAGATGAATTGGATAATTCTGATGAAAATGATGAAGATGATAAAGATTCAGAGGTAAAAAGTAATAAAAATAGTAAATAGCAAATTAAATATAACAACATTTTATAAATTAACTAATAAACTGTAAAGTTGCATAATTGTAATTCATATGGTTAGATTTTGTGATCTGTTTAACAACTACGTGTATATTGCATAGCAACCATATTTTAAGTTTAATAACTAGGAGTTTAATAACATATTCTTGTCATTATTCATAAATAAACAGATGAAATTAAATCATTTGTTAATCATATGAATGAATCAAATTCATGAATCAGGTGTAATGAAATCAAAAAAATTAAGAAAATATAAAATTGGTCAATTTAATTCCTACAAGACTTATCTAGACCTTGAGCATTTTATAATTTACAAGAAATATATTTGATTTTTAAAATTATATTAATTTTATTTCATAATATTTGTTAGATAAAATTCATTCAACACTGATCTTATGTATACATCAAAAAACATGATAACTATCAACATGTGATGCACAGGATGTTGCAGAAGAAAACATTGTGCATCACATATGAATATGTAACTTTAAAATATAGGTGTAAAATTAATTCATATATTTTAAATGTTATATTGTACAAATATAATCTTAATACATATTTAAAATAAATGGATATGAAATAATTTTGTTGACATTCTCCTTTACAGTACATTAAAATATTCTCCATGCAACTAATTCATTGGCAAGTTTTACACCTATTGCAAATAAAGCTACTGATGTAATAAATGACTTTAAAAATATCTCTTTGTATTTGTAATGTTGCAGCCATGTATAAAGATCTTTTGTGTATTTCGATCCAATGAAATATAAATAATTATCTTTGCTATATTTGTTTTCAATTTGCATGTGTATTATGTCCATTAGAGCACCCAGGCAAATATAATAGGAAGAGTTACATCTCTTATTTGAAATATGCTGAAAACATAATTATTATCTAGCAAAATTATCTAATAAAACTATAATGAAATTTTAAAATTATTCTTATAGATAAAATGTGTTTAAAACAAAAAATTAGATATTTTATAAATAAATCTCACTTTTTTACTTTTTTCTTTCTCTTTTTTAATATATGCTGTACCTGTTGAGATAGGTAATGATGATATACAGATATGTTTTACAACCATTTTTAATTTTTTCGTTTCAAATTTTATATACTTTATTACATCATAACATAAATTTCAAAATTTTATGTACATACAAAACTAAAGAATATCGAAACCGATATTCTTTTGTTCAATACAAATCGTTTCAAAAAAGAAAAAAATATATTCAAACTTGATGTTTAGTATATTTCATTAATAATTGTTCTTTTATTTTAAAAAAACGTATAGACGTAATAACGTTTATAATGTGTATTTACATGTGATTTATATATTGTTTCAAAAATATATTCATTTATTGTTTATAAATGTACATACATATTCTATATAATCATATGTGTATATAAAACATTCAGTCTGTATTAAATATCAATGTATATTTGACTAATTCCTTTTCGCGATATTTTTTCAAATAGATACAAAATTTATTTTTTGAACTTGAATTTAATTTAACTTCAATCATTTATAAATTGCAAAAAACATTTTTAATCATTTAAAGTTTGAGAAAACATTGCCATGTAAAAAATTTTAAAAAAGAAAAAGATTAAAATAAAAAATTTTTAAATAATTAGTTAATCACTTAATATAGTATATGTATACAAAACTAGTGGGGGAACCAGTTGACCCTGATGCCGGTCACTCCGTTAACGATAGCATTAGATGATAGTTGAATCTCGAATGTGATGGGTGTCATTCTATTTAAATGCTCGTGAAATACACATCGAAATCACAATAGTTCAGAAATTATAAGTGAAAATTAATATTTTGCCTTTTCTCATTGTCGTTTTATGCGTAAAAATGACCAAGTTATTTGTTTTTAGTATTTTGCAAATTTTGCAAATGATGATACTTATTGCAGTCTCTCGTAAGTTATTAATTATTTTTTCAAATAATTTTATAAATACTTTTGTTTCTTCAATATTTTGTAATCAATAATTTGTATGGTGGCTGATTGTAAATGACTGGGCAATAAAGAATGACGATTACAGATTATATACTTATAATTGGTCAGTGTTTCCTTGACTAACACGAGATACAAAATTACAAAATAAGCTATCATAGCGTTCTGATCTTAATGGATACAGCGAATAAAATCAATTTACAAAAAAGTTATATTCTCATGGTCGATATAGTATGAACTACTAATATAAATTATCTTATTTTCGTATTCTGAAGGTAACTTTTTCTCTTAGAATTTCAAGGACAATCGAATTGTCCATCACTTTATGGTGAACCCGGCCAATGCATTGGAATACGTGAATGTCCAGAATTGCTGAATCTTCTTCAAATGCGACCCCTTAAACCAGAAACTATAGATTTATTGAGACAAATGCAGTGTGGTTTCGATGACATTAATCCCCGAGTTTGTTGTCCAATTCGACGTACATCATTTCGTGACGATGAGTCTTCTGAAAATTTTCAACCAAATCCAAATTCTGAGCGACCAAATAACACTCAATATACCAACGATCAAAATGTACAATATGACTTTTCCAACAATCCTTTGCTTCCTACCGATTGCGGCAAAGATTTGTCCCAAAGGATCTACGGTGGAGAAATCACAGACCTCGACGAATTTCCTTGGATGGTGCTTTTGGAATACCTTACATGTACGAAGTGAAAAAACAAAGAGGATTGTTGTATTGGATTAGTAAACGTGGAAAGTAATTAATATAAAATTACATTTTTCAGTAAACGGAAAACGTACAGCTTGTGGTGGAGTTCTTATTAGTCGGCGTTACGTTTTAACGGCAGCTCACTGTGTTAAAGGTAAAGATTTACCAAGAACATGGCAATTGTCAAGTGTTCGTTTAGGTGAATATGATACTAGCAGTGATCGCGACTGCATTCCGGACGATGATCGCACCCTAATTTGCGCGGATGATCCCGTGACGGTTGGAATCGAAGAACAAATAGCCCATGAAAGTTACCAACCACGCTCAAGAGATCAAAAATATGATATCGCTCTTCTAAGATTATCTCGTGACGTTACATTCACCACTTATATAAAACCTATTTGTCTACCACCGACTGCCTCCCTCGAACAAAAATTATTTGTTGCTGGTTGGGGAAAGACAGAAAACGGTTCATCATCAAGCGTAAAACTAAAACTTGTGTTGCCTCTTTTTGACAAAGAACAGTGCCAAAATACTTATGGAAACGCGGGAGTGATGCTGGGTCATGGACAAATTTGTGCCGGTGGACAAAAAGACAAAGATTCGTGCAAAGGAGATTCAGGTGGACCTTTAATGACTATGAAAAGAAATCGCGACAGTTCTGGTAAATGGACTGTTGTTGGTGTTGTTTCCTTTGGACCATTACCTTGCGGTATGCTTGGAGTACCTGGCGTTTACACCAGAGTGATCGATTTTGTACCCTGGATACTCGATAAAATGAGATCTTAATATCTATATTCAAGTCATTCTCCAATTTCACGAATTTCTATATATGTACACATGCGCAACAATAAAAGGAAAGCCAATCAAAAGATATATGTATATTATATACAGTTTAACTAATGAAAGAATATAGTATCTTCCATTCAATGAAGAAAATCAATTTTCCTTATCATTTCAAAGGTTATCTATTTTATAGGTCATAAAAAATATCTTGCAAGATGTGCGTAAACACTTATTTTATTATTTTGTCTTAATAAACAAAATGCTTTTTAAGAAATTATCAGAAACATGATTCGTTTACTACGAAACTTATCGTCTCTTACATGACGCAAAATACATTCGATGCTGAAATTGGGAATCCCGCAGTTATCTTAATAAACAGATTCCCAAGGATAGAATAAGGAAACTTGTTCATTGAAGTAAAAATTTCATAACAAAGGGAAAGGAAATATTTTCATTTTCATGCTTTTCTGGCCTATTAAATGAACAATTTTTACGATACTGCAACATAATCGCTTAAAAAATCGATTATCTAATAAAACAAATATTTATCGTAATATTCTTTTAATATTACTAGTTGAAAGAATTTTCCTCTCTTTGTTCTTTTTGCAATTGGAAGACATCGGACTCAGCAGATGGCAGCAGTTAATACACTGCAGACTTTCGCATTAATCCATTATTCGCAAAAGTAAGAAGTGAACAGTTTTCGAAAGTGGCTGTGTCTATTCATGTCTTTCATTCTGAGTGTCTGTTTCATTCATTTGTCTGATTTAAAACATCACGTTTTCTTGCTTTCGATAAGAAGAAGTAAAAGAGTAAGAGAAGAAATAAAACAAGAAATTGACGGAGAATGTGGCATATTATTTGAATGTTAAAATATAGTACATCATTGTTTCAAGAGGAAGACAGCTTAGACAATAGCTTCGGAATCGACCATGATTTACCATTTGATTTTAACCGGGTTTGTGATCCTATGCGAAGTCACCGCACGTGAGTGAGATTTCTTAAATATTTACTCGCAATATAACAATAATACCTAACTATATTTACTAATTACTATTAAGTGTAATAATATTACAAATTTAATATCCGAACATAACTGATAGATGCCGACGCTCTCGAAGTTATTTGCACTGACTGAGAAATATTAGGATTTCTGTATGGAAAATATACACTTTCATTCAAAATATTCTTGTTTTTCAACTTTGTTAAATGAAAATTAATATATATTATATAGTTATTGCGAAAAAACAAAAAATTTATCATTGGAAAATAAAAAATTCGTTCAATTGATTCATAGCAAGTTTCTACTAAGATCACGTGCGTTATTCATGTTTTTTATTCATGATTATACACAATAGAAAAGTACACTTACAAAATATTGTTCTAAATACTAACAACTCGCGACATTTTTTCTTTCGTAGGAGCACTAAAAAATTTATTTCGAATTTAATTTCACGTAATTCGAACAATCCACTTACGAACGATTCTTTTTACAGAAGATAGATGTACCACTCCAAGAAATACAATTGGTACTTGTATCAATATACACAATTGTCAACCACTGGTAGAGATTCTTAAAAAACACAGACCATTGTCAAAGGAAATTCTTGATCGCTTATCCAGTTTGCAATGCGGATTTGAAGGTTACGATCCGAAAGTTTGTTGCGAACAGGTAAACATAATTATATTCATTATTAAATATATTCCATGCTATGAAAACTTAGAATGAAACGTGTAATGATAAAATCCAACGACTTTAGGCAACAACTCAAACCACAGAAAAACCGAATCAATCTACTTCCGAACCTGCAGACGTCACGAATCATCCGAATTTAAAATTACTGAATCATGATATGTGTGGACCAGTATCGCAGCAAAAAATTTTTGGTGGTAATAAAACCGGTATATTTGATTTCCCATGGATGGCATTACTCTCTTACAACGTCACCAATCAAGGTACAGACTTCCGATGCGGAGGATCGTTAATTAACAAACGATATGTGCTCACTGCTGCTCACTGCGTCACAATGCTACAATCTAGTAAGTCAATCATTATATATCGAATTCATTTGAATCGTAAGATAATGCAATAAAATTAATTTTTATTCATTTTGAAATAATATTTTAGCGTTGAAATTAATCGGAGTACGGCTAGGAGAACATGATTTAAGTACCGAGCGCGACTGTGATAGAGACGCCGACGGTCTTGAAGTTGTTTGCGCTGAGAGATATCAAGATTTCGATATAGAAAATGTACATTTTCATCCAGAATTTTCACCATTGAAATTACAAAATGACATTGCTTTGTTGCGATTAAGTAGGGACGCTGATTTTAGACCGCAAAATGTGCGACCGATTTGTATGCCAATCGGATCAGCAGCTAACTTGATTCAAAAAAAGGTAAATACTGTAATTAAATACGAGCATTTTTTTCAAGTTATTTTTTAATCATATATATTATCAGTACTATGTTTTATGATATAGGTAACAGTAACAGGTTGGGGTGCAACTGAATTTGGATCACGCAGCCTGGATTTACTACAGGTTCAATTATCACCAATGAATACAGAAAAATGCGCAGAAATATATAAAAGGCAAAACGAAATTTGGTATAAACAAATGTGCGTGGGTGGAAAAATGGGTATTGATTCATGTTTTGGAGATAGCGGTGGACCGCTTCAGGCTCCAGGAATATATAACAATAATATGAGGTACATTCAATATGGAATTGTCAGTTATGGACCGCGCAATTGCGGTACTGAAGGATTACCTGGGGTTTATACTAAAATTGTATATTACCTAGACTGGATTTTAGATACTATTAGGGCTTAAAATAGCATGTACAAATGATATTTTTAGAATTAAGACTTTGCATATTTTTCAAACACAATCAATAAATAAATTAATTTAATATTATTACTGTCAATTTTATTTATAAAATCTTTGTTGCTATAAATATTAGTATGATCATACATGAATCTATATATTATTTGCATCGGATAATTTCATTTCTTATAAATTCACTAAAACAATTCCTATAAATTGAATTTTTGATTTATATTCATGTAGTGAAGAAGTATAAATTTAAAAAAGGAAATCTTATATGTTTCTCTTATAAATAAAATTCTTATAATTACTTTAACATTTTCAATCACTATTCCATTGCGATTAATCTCGATTAATAATTGTCAAATTTCTTTTTTTCTGCATTATATTACTTTATGAAGAATTTTCATTGCAATCATTATTAGAGATCAAAGATTCATTATTACATAATTTGTCGCTTTTGTTTTGATCTTCAATCAGCTCTGCAGTCTCGTTTATAGAAACTTTTAACTGGCTACGATCACCTTTCTTTTTTGAAAGCAAAGTTTGAGATTTCGTTATCGACATTCCAGATGATTGTGATATAGATGTATTTGATGAATTTAAAGACTGACTCGCTGATAAGGAAGTACGCGAAGAACTAGCTGAAGATCCAGAATCTGGTCTAGAAATATTTTCGTAATTCATATACGAACTTATAGAATTTAATATTTGTTTATGTTGTTTTTTCTTTTTCTTTTGTTGCAACATTTTTTTACTATTAATATTCTGTTTTCCTTGTGTCAACGACTGATAACTCTACAAAGATATTCTCATAAGTAATTCCTTGATTATTATTATTAGTCTTTATCGATCTTCATTATTTATTTATCTTAAACTCTTAAAAGAAAATAAGTTTTATTCACCTGAGAATGACGTTCAAAAAGAGTTGGTATTTGTGCCACACGATCCAGCATCATTTCCATTTGCAGTCGGTGACGTTCCTCCTGTTCACGCGCTTCATCACGACGAAGTAAAGTTCGAATACTAAGGTCTCTCTCATGTTCATGCCTTATGATTAAAATTTATATAATTATTATAATATTAAGAGTAATTTTTTAGTCTTTATTATTACATAACATCTTCTTGAAAAAAATAATCAAATAACGATCTTATTTAAAAAAAAATTGCACCTCGCTGAACATCTCAAAGCTCGCCATACTGGATTACGGCCAATCAAAGATTGTTTAATTTTTATTGCTTGTTCTCGACGTCTTTCTTCCATTTTGTCCCTTATCTCACGTTCTAATTTTTCTCTATGACATAAATATAAAAGTGATCATTTCCTTTTGTTATAATATAAATCAAAAACACATAATACTTATTATATTGTATATCATACCGTGACACTTGACATCTCAAGATTGCTGCTAAATTACTTCCTCGTATTGGTAAAAAAGGCACCATAGATTTATATCTTTCTAATGGCATTAAATTATTATTTGTCAGTTGCGAAACATTTTTATCGATGTTTTCGTTGTAATTTTTATTTGTATTCCGTAAACGTATGCACGTAGATTTGACGCGTTCTCGTCTAGCCATTGACGGCGGTAAGGAAGAGGACTTCATTAATTGTGCGGCTCTTAACCGTTTTTGTAATTGCCTGAAAATTGTAATAGTTTTTAGTTAATCAATTACAGAAAAAGTTTATTATATATATTATATTTACTATATTGACCTGTAATATTCGTCTTCAAGCATACGATCGTATATTTCTGTGCTGAAAAGATTTTTTGGTACCGGTTTAGCCTTAAAATTTGTATTCGTGTTAATGCTTTTACTACGAATTTCTGGACTAGATCTTGTTAAAAGTCTCCAAGCTCGACGATCACATTCCAGCCTAAAAGGACGTACCTGAGACATTAGGTTTAATGCGCTTTCTTCACGAATTATACGACTCCTACAAGATAAGTATTTCTGACAACTGTAGATTTATTATATTTATAAAAATGAAAAGGAATATATAAAAAATATAAAAAAGAAACAAACCTTTCTTCTTTTTCAGCTAATAATTTGTCATAAAGTGGAATTTTTGATGTCAGTGGGATTGGTCTCACGCGTCGTTTCCTTCGCGAATTTTTTTTATTATTTTCTAAATTTTTACATTTCTGTTCTTTTATTGCTTCTTCTCTAAAATATACAATGGCATATTATTAGCTATCATGACGGTTTAATTTGCTATCAAAAAGTTCTTAGTTTCTTACCGCATAGTAAAACTAAATGGTTTGGGAACAGTAGGATGCCACTCTTTTGTAATATTAGCAGGCAAACTTCTTGTTTCTATACTATCTATGTCACTTTCAATATTATCATTACTGTTTTCCACATTCAACCAGTTTTCATCATTCAAGCATATCTTCTCCTTGCATATTGTTCCATTTCCTTTATAGCTTTTACTACATTTAAAAATGGTAATAATTACAACTTTAATAAAATAAAAGAAATTCATGTTTACCTAATTGTATACCTATTTGTCGAAAGATCTTGGTCTTCTGACAATCCATTAAATTTACTAGAAAGAAAAAGTAAAGGACTAGGAGTTCGAGATTCTTCTAAGTAACACTTTTTACCATTTAATATCAAATCATTAATATCATTCTTACTTTTAATTTTTGATTTTTGATTACACTTAGATACTGAAAATTTAGACACATTTACATTTTCATGATTAATCAATGAATTTTCTAAATTTTTCAGTAATAGTTTCTGTTTTCTTTTCAAGTGATCAACTTCTTGTTTAAACTGCTCATTCGATAAATGATATACTTGATCATAATCTGGTATACTATCCAAAAATTCTAAAAAGTTATCCATAATTTGTGTAGGATCAGATATTCTAGATTCCTTAATAAGTTGATCATTTTCCATAAAATTTATTTTACACTTATAAAAATTATCTTCCTTGCTTTTTTTAGATCCAATACGTTCATAAGAAGGATTTGGTTGTCTGCTACAAGGATCTACTGGAACTTTTACACAAGAATTGTAAAAGGATGTACCTCTGTGCTCTGCCATTGTCTGTTACAACAAATTATCATATCGTTATTAGTTAAAATTTAAAATTTTTATTCAATATATGACTATGTTTTTGCTAATTTTTTTCCTGATATTGAATAAAACATATTTTAACTTTATAATAATTAAACTTGAAAATTTAATTTTATTATTCTTTAATTTTAACATTTAAATGAATGGATTAATGTGATTCATGAAATAAATTATTAAAATATTTTGTGTTACAGAAGATTCAAATTGTTATAAATCATTTGTATATACAAGATAACATTAATACTTACCTTTAAATTTCATCAAAATTTGCGATACTTATTTATAAATTAGGTATAAAACTATTAACATATAGGTTTAATAGTCAGAAAATTTAATTATACATATCATTAATTTACTTTTATTATACGATATATTTGTCAAATTTTTCGAAATTTGACTCTTTAGTATATAAGATTCTAATCGCTACACATGTGTGTGTAAACAACTCTTGGAAAAGATCAATATAACCTCGTTAAATTCATCACCATGGTGAATAAAATAAGACTTAATAAAGATTTTTTTACAGCAATTAATTAGAAATTAGGAAAATTAAGGATATCAACATTTTAACTGGTTAGAAATAATATAAAATACTTTTAATATGTATAAACGTATTAATAATCACAATACATGGATTTAAATTAGATACACATATTTTGAATTGTACGTACAAATTTTATTTATAATTGAATTTCAATAAATTCATACATATACATTTCAAATGATATGTTACACTCGAAAGACTGTTACTATTTAAAATTGACTTATAAAATATCAAATAACAGATACTTATTAACAAAGTATAATATTTACGATGAAACAATATCAAGTATTCTTATTGCACATATATGTGTACATATTCGAATAAAACATCGCAATACTCGTTCAATATCACAAGTACTAATTGATTTGGTTAGTTATTTCCGTAAGTTACATACTGAGACACCGTTTAAAATAAAACATTTAAATAATTTATTAAATAATATAAATTATGTTTACTATATAATAGAAAATAAACATGGCGACTTTCATGAAAATGGTTGCAAATAGTGATATTTTATCAATAGCTTTAAAAAGGTATAAATGTTTTATTCCTAATGGATCAATATTAGTTACAAGAGATTATTCTATCTCTGCTAAAAATCATGAAAACTATGATATTATTATTACTGGGGGTGGTATGGTTGGAACCACACTTGCTTGTGCATTAGGTTAGTTTTTTTATCCTATTTTAAAATGATATATAATATTTTTAATATTTAATACAAAAATTTTATAAATGACATGCTTCATGAGTGTTTTTTTATGTTTTGTAATAGCAAACAACAGAAAACTTGAATGTAAGAAGATACTTTTACTAGAAAGTGGTAAACAATTTGAATATAAATTTGAAGAAAAGTATTCCAATCGTGTAGTTGCTTTGAATCAACAAACACGTACTTTACTTTCAAGCATAGGAGCTTGGCAACATATTAAAGCAACACGTTATTGTACAGTACAAAAAATGCAGGTATTAGAATAAAAATAACAAATATTCTAAACAGTGTTATTATATATTTTGTAATTTATAATATATCTTTACATTAATCTTTACATTATTTATAATATTATTTGCAAATATTACAATTAAACAAAAAAATTTATAGTAGGTTTGGGACGCGTGCTCTGATGCTATGATTGTATTTAATGAAGATTATTTAACTAAAGAAATTGCTTATATAGTCGAAAATGACTTATTACTACATGCAGTTAATAAGCAATTGATAGATAAAGAAAATGTAAATGTAATATATAATTCCAAAGTTGAAAATATTAAATTACCTAAAACGTTAGAAGAAAATGCAGAAATACAATTGCAAGATGGAACGAAATATAAAGCTAAATTGTTGGTAAGTAAATAGTAATAAAATCAATGTTCTATACACTATTATATCATACTGAGTTAGTGCAATCTTTAACAATACTTTCAACTTTGCTAGTTAACTTATCCAAACGTGTAGTAATATTAAAAGAACACCTTTTTAATTCATCAGCTAATTCATTTAATTGTTGATTGTTATCACTAGAGGTACTGCTATAAAGTCGATTTAATCTAAAAATATCCATTTCTATATTATGTGCATTATATATAGATGATCCTTTTGTTCTTATATTCTTATGTTTTCTTTCAGTTACTAAGCAATAGATAGCTTTTATTAGTTCTTGTGGTAAACGTTTTTCGCGGGGATCATTAGGACGAATATAGATTGCACAGTAATGTGGTGGATGTAACAAAAGTGCACCTCGTCTGCATACCTTCATTATTATATTTGGTGCATGATCTAAAAGTTTAGAAAATAACATGTGTTCCAAATGTGCTACTAATTCTGCTCTACGTACTAATCCATCTAATCCTGCACATCTTCTTAATTCTTGTATATCTGATACAGCAAGGCCCATCATTAAATTTGCTAAAATTATTGTTACTAAGATAACAAAACTTAAAAACATTAAATGAGCAGTACCAGAATGTTCAATTGGTGATTGTGTACTAATGAATATGTCTTCAAATTCTAATTCCCCAGACATCATTACAATAGTTTTCAACAGAGCAATTAATGGATAACTAAATGAATCATTTTGAAGTAATACATTAAAACCTAAAGAAAACCCTACTATGAGGAATATATAAGCACCCAGAAATTTAAAGAAATTAATTGATACTTGAGTAAACATTTGGATATAAAGGCCAAACATTGGAAATTTCCCAATTACCATCATTAATAGTATCCAAATTAATAGAATACTTATAGCTGATAAGTGACATTGCCAACCATGACCTTGCAAACTATGGTATTGTTTTGGCATATTTAACACAATACTCGATAGTAACACAACGCTCCATTGAAGCCAATTTTCCCATCTTTTAATATAACTACACACACCATGAGTCATTTGAAAAAATTCTTTACTAGCTAACGTGACAGTAAATATTAATACTGGCCAAAAAAGTACACTTCTAAATTTTTCAACTACAATATATGCAGTAAAAAATGCAACAAATATGGAATGAAATATCAAACTTAATAAAAAAAATTTGCGAATTCTTAACCATTTTAAATAAAGAAAACTTTCACACAAAGGATGTTTTAATACATGTCTTTGTCCAGCTTCCACAAGGCATAGCATTAAATCTGTTTCTCCTCTGCCACCTGATAATAATGGTCTAAAATCTAATCTTAATTCGCAATCAACATCACCTAATTCATGATCATGTAAAGAAATTGCTTGATCCAAGCGTGAAATAAATCGTGGTAATACATCTGGAGTTCTGCGCACAATAAAGCTTAATGCAGAAATGCCACCTTTTGTTCTAGCAGTAAGGTCTGCTCCTTTTGATAATAGCGTTATTACTGTTGATGATTTTTCATTTAAAGCTGCAATATGTAAAGGTGTATAACCAAATTTGTCTGCCTTGTTGACTAAAGCACCAGCCTATTAAAATGAAGAAATTATGTATAGTTAGAACTTTGCACAGTTATATATTTTATATAATATTCTTAAAAATTGGACCTTTAATAAAATTTTCACCATCTCTATTCCCCTAGCAGATTTTGCAACTGCAGCATGTAATGGAGTACGACCATCATTATCTTCGATATTAACCTTAGCTCCAATATTCAGAAGTATATCTAATGTTTCTATAGATTGAGACAAAACTGCTAAATGCATTGGTGTTTGTCCTCTTGCATTTTGTGCTTCGCATGCTGCACCAGCTTCTAACAATAACTTTGTACATTCAGCACTACCTTCCTCAGCTGCTAGATGCAATGGTGTAGATTTCATAGGACCAAACTGAAATCTTACATCAGCTCCATAAGTTAACAATAGTTTTGTGCATATAACAGAACCCAAACCAGCTGCTACATGTAATGGTGTTTCTGTATAAACCTATTTAATTTTCAAATCTAAATGATATGTACAATTAACTAGAAATATTTAAATAATTATGAGTAGAAACCTGTGAATTATTAGGAGAAGCACCTGCTTCTAATAAAGCTTTGACACAATCTGCTGCATTACTTAACACAGCATAGTAAAGAGGACTTTTTCCATATATCTCAGCTTTTACATCTGCTTTTGATTTTATTAAATATTTAACACATGCAAGATCTCCAGTAGCAGCAGCACAATGTAAAGGTGTATATTTTTTACTAAAGTCCCATTCATTTGGATTTGCTCCATATTTTAGTAATTCTTCCAAAATTGTTAATGAAGCTGTACAAGCAGCCAAATGTAATGGTGTCCTATAAATTCATTGAATTCATATTTTAAAACTAGATTTTTTTATTAATAGAAAATCTTACATACCTGCCGTCACTGTCTCTTGCTGAAATTTTTGCATTCTTGCTCAGTAAAGCTTTGACCACCTTTACGTAACCTAGATAACAAGAAACTAGAAGACAAGTATTTGGCCATCTCATGAAAAGTTGTAGTACAGTTGTATTCAAACCTGTTTCATCTTCAGTATTCATTAGTGTATTTTGTACACATCTATATTAAACATAGCTTGAATTATATTTAGTATAATTTTTATTATTATAAATAAATAATTAGTATACCCATCTGCAAAAGGTGTAGGAGTTTTTTGAATATTCTTCATTTTGTTGTTATCAGTGTTTAGAAATTCATGTAAAACTTTGTCCAAAATATCTCCATGCAGTGTAGAAATAATAGAAAGTACTTGCTTTCCTGCTGGAAGATCAGATAGAGCCAAAATAATTTCCTCTGTATTCCATGGCTGTTGATTTGTTATTTGTCTCTCTTTTATATGATATATAACAGGTTCAGAACTATACTCGGAACTTATACTACTTTCTTCCATGTCATTCATCCAAATATCTTCACAATTTTCCTAGAATTGTTGATTATTGTATAAGTATTGTATAGTATTTAAATTTGTGTTCTTACCAGTCCACTTACTATCCATACTTACTATATAATTAGTAGCAGTAGAAGGTACTGGCATAACATTTAATTCTTCTTGAAAATTATGGTTGTTTAAAAATTTATTTAGCAATGGTTTTTTCTTTAAGATTGACATATTATCTTGAATATCTTTTTTCTTTTTAGTTAACTCAATAATTTAAGAAGATATAATATTAATTATGTATTTGCTTTTTTTACCACTTACAAAATTTATGTTATATATCTTCAATTTCCAGCACTTAAATACTATTTTCAGTTTTCATGGTTTGAAACAGCACCACACATGTTCTTTGATGTTTATAAAACAGAACTGGCATATATTTAGCTCTGACTACTTCTTAACATATGTGTATGTGCAACATGATAACAGTTTAAGTTATTAGATTCTTTTTCTTAAAATATTTTTTTGGTTGACATAAGAAATAGAACATAAAATTTATAAAAATTTCTTATAACTTTACTTTTAGAGTATATTTCTATATATAATTGATAACATTCTTTGAGGAAAAAATTGTATTTATGTATTATTTCCTCATTAATACGTATAAGTCGAGATCCAATATTTTAAAAATTTCTTAAACTGTTAATTTATTTTTAATTTAATATAAAATGTAACTATTAATTAAATATAAAAGTAATTTCTGATAAATAATTTAAAATATACAAAAATATAATTTTGTTGATGGCAAATGAATTTTGTAGAAAATGAAATACAAAATATTTTAAAATTATATTTATAATTATTATTAAAATACAGCATAGAATTGAAGTTATTTCCAGACATATTGTCAGTTTCTCTCTCTCTCTCTCTCTCTCTCTCTCTCTCTCTCTCTCTCTCTCACGGTATATACATATATATTTTTTTCTTACCATATCATTTACATTATCTTATATTACAAATTTAATTATATAATAATATATATAATTTAATTATTCTTTATTATTATAATATATTATATCAAAATCAAACTATAAATTATAACAATGTGAAATATGTAATAGTATATATGTAAATAACAGTAATATATATTTTAGATTGGAGCAGATGGTGTAAATTCATTAGTACGACAAACAATGGGTACACAATATGTGAAGTGGGATTACAATCAAATGGCTATAGTTGCTACTCTTAAATTGTCAGAGGTAAAAATTATATTATCATAAAATCATATCAATATATTGTGCTAATCGGAATTAATTAGAATATAATTAATTATACCTTTATTTCAGCCTACAGAAAATATTGTTGCATGGCAAAGATTTTTACCAGCAGGGCCAATAGCTCTACTTCCAGTAATATTTTTTGTTGTTATAAACCAATTAAAATTAATTTAAAAATTTTGCTAATTTATTTTTTTGTGGTTTTATAGTTAACAAATTGTCTTAGTTCTCTTGTATGGTCGTTACCAACAACTGAAGCAAAAAGACTTTTAAAAGTTTCAGAAGAAGAATTTGTTGATAGTATAAATAATGCTTTATGGAAAGTATATCCAAAAGATGGTATAGTTGAAAGTGGTATGCGAGCACTTCAACAATTACTTGAAGGTTTATCTTTACAAACCGGCGTAGTAAAACAATTACAACCATCGGTGTCAGCTATCATAGAAAGATCTCGTGCAGCTTTTCCTTTACAATTTGGTCACTCTGTATCTTATATTCAAACAGGAACTGTTTTAGTAGGGTAAATAAAAATATATTTAAAATGTATTTAAAATTCATTTAAAATATATTTAAAATATATTTTAATAAAATTACATATTTTATATTAATGTATACAAAATATTTCAGTGATGCAGCACATAGAGTTCATCCATTAGCTGGTCAAGGTGTAAATCTAGGTTTTGGAGATGTAACAGTCTTAGTTCAACTTCTTGCAGAAGCTGTGATAAACGGAGCTTCTTTAGGAGACATGACATATTTAAGGAAATATGAAACATTAAGGCAACGATACAATGTTCCGATAATGTTTACTATTGATGCATTGCATCGATTATATAAAGGAACAGCGGCTCCTGTTGTACTAGCTAGAAGTTTGGGATTACAATTAACAAATGCTATCCCAGTGATAAAGGTACGTAATATATGAAGTAGTAAAATTAAATATAATACATATAACATATACACATATATAATAATAAACATAATACGTCTGAAAATAGTAAAATTATATATGATATTTTCGTATTAATTGCAATTTTATTGTTTGTTCTAGAAAGCCCTGATAGAACATGCCTCTGGTCAAATAGGAAATCGATAATACCAACAGTTAATGTAAATATTTATTAGTAATAATGTGGTATTAATAAAACTTTTAATAGTAATTATGTGTTTAATAAAAATTTTAAAATGGAAGTGTAATCTTTAATTTTACTTATGTTCAAAATTATTGTAATACATAACACATAAGGATATCATAAGAATATCATACAGATAGATACATAGTTACATATGTATATATACATGCATATATACATACGCACACGTAACATTCTCAATATTTTTTGTTGTTGATTATAGTCATTATATGAATAAATTGTTTTATTCGTGATACTTCATATTTAAGATAATTTTTCATAAAATTATAACAAAACAACAAAATTAACAATTTAAAAAATTTGTCGAAATGTAACTTCATCAATATATACATACGGAAAAACATCGATATTTAAAGAGAATGATGATCAATACAAATTGATCATTATTCCACGTGAGCAAAGGTTAACAGTTTCAAATCGAAAACAGGTTACCATGTTGCATTTTCAGAAAAAACAAATAATTAAACAAATATCATACAAAATTAATCATACTTTTGAAAAAAAAATTAAAAAATTGAGATATTTTTAAATATAATTCTTCAATAGACAAATTCTGTTATACCTTTTATATGTACATACATAGTTTAGGTTACTCTATAATTTTCAAAATTTAGAAACAATTTATAAGTCAGAAGAACACAAGTGAATTACATAATTTTTGTATTTGACTTCGTTTATATGGTGAGATTATTAAAAAAAAAAGATAATTTTAATTACATCACATCAAATTACATTAAAGTATGTAATTTAGTAGTTATAAAGGTTATATTTACATGATTATGTTAAAATAACATTTTTTTTTTTACTGACTATTATTTCATTTCAGGTTCATCACATTTAAATAAAAATTTACCCAGTTGAGTGATTTTCAATTGATAATGTTTATATCAAAAAAATTGCTAAGAGGTGCTGCTCTTGGAATAATTGGATTGGGTACACTAGCATCTTTAAGAGCAAATGAATATGATTTGGGATCTATAGGTATTGTACGACTAGGACGTGCTGCAATTACTGTTTTTATAATTGGAAGGCATTATAAGAACAAATTGTATGACAGTAATTTAACTCCAAATACTCAAGAATATCTTGATTTAAAATCAGAAGTACATAAATATGGAGCACAAAAACTATTAGAACTTTGCTGTGCCAATAAAGGTGTTTATATAAAAGTAGGTCAACATATTGGTGCACTAGATTATTTATTGCCATCAGAATATGTTAATACATTGAGGGTGTTACATAGTTCAGCACCACAGTCATCCTTTAAAGATGTACTCACTGTTATTAAAGAAGATTTCAAGAAAGATCCATATGAAATATTTGAAAGTATTGATACTGAACCTTTAGGCACTGCTAGTTTAGCACAAGTTCATAAAGCTATATTAAAAAACGGTGATGTTGTGGCTGTTAAAATTCAACATCGATCAGTAAAAACAAACTCTTATGTAGATATAAAAACTATGTCAACCTTAGTAAAATTAACATCATTAGTTTTTCCTGATTTTAAATTTGATTGGCTTGTTGATGAAACTAAGAAGAATATTCCTCGAGAATTGGACTTTACTCAAGAGGGAAAAAATGCAGAAAAAATTCAAAATATATTTTCACATTATCATTGGTTAAAAATACCAAAAATACATTGGGACATTTCATCATCCCGAGTTCTAACAATGGAATTTCTGGAAGGAGGTCAAGTTAATGATTTAAAATACATTCAAAACAGTAATTTAAATCCATATGAAGTTAGCAGTAAATTAGGCCGGCTTTATAGCCATATGATATTTATTGTGGGTTTTGTACACTCAGATCCACATCCTGGTAACGTTTTAGTTAGAAAAAAAAATAATGAGGCAGAAATTATACTTTTAGACCATGGATTATATGCAAATCTTTCAAATGAATTTCGATGGGAGTATTCTAAACTTTGGTTGGCAATACTTGATGGCAATAAAACTGCAATGCAAACACATTGTGCTAATTTAGGTGTTGCAGATATGTATGGTTTATTAGCTTGTATGGTATCAGGACGATCTTGGAATACAATCATAACTGGTGTCCAGAAAACTAAATATAATATGCAAGAAAAAGAGGAATTTCAAAAAGAAATACCAAATTTATTGCCACAGATAAGCACTGTATTAGACAAAGTGAATAGGCAAATGTTATTAATTCTTAAAACAAATGATCTTATGCGTTGTATCGAATATTCTCTCAAAACAGAGTCAAGAATGTCAGCAATGTTGGAAATGTCAAAATGTTGTATACATTCTGTATATGGAGAGAAACTGAAAACCTGCACAAATATGTGGGAAAAGTGGAAAATTTCTATATTTAAACAATGGGCACTCTTTAAATTATCATTATATTATATATACTTAGGAGCATTAAATTTCAATATACAAAATTCTGTTAATTCATTTATGAAGAACGAGTTTTATACATTTTAGTAATGATTTTTTTCTAGAAAAAATATATAAATTTATTTAAATTGAATATGAAATTGATTGTAAATAACATTTTTTTAAATATGCTATAATTTTATTAACTTAAACAAATAGTTTAAAAAGATATTAAGTATTTCTGTATAATATTTTTAATTTATTTTTCTATTTCAAATAAAAAAAGAAAAAATAATTTGTGATAAATAACAATATATTAAACACATATATATATTTTTGTAATCATAAAAATTTATCGTGCCATCATGATTATCAAATAGTTATCCAATTAAAAAATATTTCAAATGTTTGTTATAAATATATATGTACATATATATCATTATATGTATTCAATAATTTTTATTTTATTATTATAATTTGTCACAGTTACATACATTTTGCATAAGATGCAAAACTTTGTACATTTTATTTTTCTTTTATTAGTGAAATAGGAAATAAAATTATATTTGATCGATTAGTGTACCTAATACAGCAATATGACAATAAATATATTTGATCATAAATTATATTTTTATTGCATTGATAAGTTTCGAACTTTTGTTACATCAAATAAAATATTATTAGTATATCAAATTTATATATCTAAAAATTTTACGAAATTATTTATTTAAAATGTTAATTACATCAGAACGATAACTTTCTATTAAAGAAATAGAAATATATATATTTAATGTAAAAAAAGAAAAAAAATACAATTTTGGTTTTAAATAATCTATTCATCATTAGGTAAAATCTTAATTTATAATTATTTAAAGCTTAAACTTATTTTAAATATGATTACTATATAAAGCAAATATATATGTATTCAGTATAAATATGTATTCAGTAAAAAGATATATAAATTTAATTTATATTTATATGATAAAAAAATTAATACGATTTATTCGCTATTTGTTGCGGATTAATTTAAAATTTATTTTTCATTATTTATTCTTAATAATTTATTACAATTTTATTGTGAACTTTTTATGATCGCAATATAAAAATAAATTTAACGTGTAATCATAATTGAGTACATAAACTTTTTCTAAGAAAATATTTCCTGTGTCAAAAATGCGTCATGATTCATCAATGTTTCATCACATTATGAAAAAATAAAGAATATTTATTATTAAAGAATATATATTTTATTTATTTTTAATTAATTAAAAAATGAGAGAAATTATTTATGTATGAATGTATTATATGCGTAGGTAAAAGAATTTGAGAAAAAAAATTAATATTAATCTCGTACTACAATGTACTTACTTTTATTTTAATAATTTTTTTGAATGAAACATATAAATAATTTTTCTTAACCAACTTTTGAAGGTTTCTAAATAATAATTTAATAAAAGAAATTTTATTTTTGTATCATAAAATGCAGACTCGAAAGCATCTTTTATACTTGGGTGTAACAGTTATCTTTAACAGTGTTGCCATATATTGTGATTTCTAAAGAATTAAGTATTTGTATATTAGTTTAACTATTTTTATGCATTTCATAATATTAAAAAAAAATTGAAAGTCAAATCTCGTTTAAAAATCTTATTTGTATATTTGATTTGAATGTAATTTTTACAAAATTTATAATCAATTAATTACTATTTTATACTAATTTATTAAGTTGACATCTTTTTCTGTTTCATAAAATTTATTATGACATGTATTCTTTCATTTTATATTTCATCATATGTATACGTAATTTAAAAACATTGTGAAAACATTTTTTTTCGTTATCATTATATAAATAACTTTTAATCCGTAAATTCTGAAATCATAAGTAACATATGAAATTTTTTTTTTTTATAGTATTAATATAGTATTAATATATACTGTGCATATAATATATAAACTAAAAAATTCTGGAATTATATGTGATACATTAAAAGCTATACATTGATCGAAACAATGTAAAGAGATTTGGCAACATTGGAGAATACTGCAATGGAAACGTGTATGACGTTTGCAGCACGTGATTGGTCAGAAATTAACCGCAGAGCACTTTATACGCCACGAATTATTTCCAATAAGTGAAAAATTTTAGCATAATATACAAGACATGCGTAAAATTTCACATCAAAGCTGTTTCACATATATTTAAAAATAAAATAGATGAAAGTATTTTTCAAAAATTTTTTAAACGTAAAAATAATGTCAAATTTTATGAGGAACTATTTTCTGTTGGTTGCGCGTAAGAATACTACATAATGGTATGCTCAGGGGTATATAACGCCGCCATTGAACGCGGAGCGTCACATTTCCTGAGTCACCTTCAGACGGAGAGAAACGTATCTTGCTCAGTGATTTTACATAGTTGTGACTTTCTTCCATTGTTCTGCAAGAAACACGAGCCAGAGACAGGTTGGTGTACTTCTTACTTATTCAATAATTAGATGACAAAGTTAAGAAAGCTGTATGCAAAACGTGAAAATCGGATCAGCCGATACTTGTGTTAACCCATTTCTCAAGAAAAATAGACAGCTTTGATCAATAACGGCGTCAACGTTGGAAAGGAGGACATTGAATTTGTACAAGTTAACCTGGGGAAACTACGAAATCATCATGGTGACCTCTACAAGACTTCGAGAAATTGAGATCGACAAGCCAAGTCATACCGAACAATTGGCAAATTGGATTAGTAGAGTTCGCTGTAAAAAGTTGCTGTGCCGTCGAAATCGCAAACGCGATTTACGGATTGAAGCAGTCCTGACGTGTGCTCTTTACAAAGCAGAGCACGAATTACGCAGCAAGCAGTTATCTAGAATTTCGAAGTGGCAGCAATTTAAAAAGCAGTTTTTGAAGACTGCAGATTATCAAAACTGTGAATTCTACAATAACGAAGACATGAGAAATTCAAACTATCAAGAAAACAATCCCTGGCAAGGACCATTGTGCCCTGAATTGAGTAGTTTGGACAATTTCATGTCTAAATTAGCGGAAATTAAAGTACCATTGCAGCGATGAAGAGATGGAAAAAAGCAACCAGGTTTGAAAAACCTAGGAGTATGCCAGATCCTGAAGAGATTTACCAGTTTTGTCAAACAAAACGTTCATTCAAAACGACACAAATGGAATGTCGAATGAGTGCAGTATCGTGTACCACATCGATGCTGCGGGAATAGAAGTCGCATTACTATCCTGGTGTATATCTGGATATTTTTTACTTGCAGTCTCTCCGTTTGAGATGGCATTGGGACGGGCGGAGGGAGTTGCAGCGATGCCGGGCGTACCGCAGAATTGAGGATCCAATGTTCTCTCTCTAGTCTCTACACCTTTCATTGGTTTGGTTTGTAAACTGTATCGGAACCAATGCATTTCTTTTTGTAATTATTCTGTAATATACCGATTTTCGAGTTTGGTCAAACGTTCGAAGACCATTTAGTTCAATGTTTTTTTTTTTTTCATAAATATGGCGTTTTATATAAAACATTACTAATGTTTAAACAAAAATTGTGTATACTAAACATTTTAATCTATAAATAATTTTCAGATATCAAGGAAATATTTTTATGTGTAGATTTTATATATTATTTGTTAATTAACAGTTTTGTAAATATTGTGATACAGCAGAACAGCAACCAAAGAAATAAACTATAATAAAAATTGGAAAATGTTGATAATTTTTCTATGATCTTTTAATTCGACATATTAATACCAAAAATCCTTTTCAGTCTGGCATACTACACATAACAAAAATTCTGTCGCACGCAAGAGAGCTGCACGTGTGTCCAGGCTGTTGGTCGTCATCGGCGACATTTGGCCTGTCTATATGTGAGATAAGGAATGGCGAGAGGATTGATGTGGGATAAGCAAAGGGGCAAAATCTATTTTTTAGAAATTGCGCATGAAGTTTTTCTGGCTGAGTCGCACCATGATCAAGTTGCACATAAACATCTCGTGTCTTCGCGCTTCCGTGCCTTGAACATCAAAGCATCAACTAATTCCAAAATCGTCTGACGCGTGATACACATAGGCTTATTGTGACAAACTACAGCAAATTCTAGCAAGTCTTATTTGGTGAGCCCTAATCCTTTTTGTTCGTTACCTGTGCAAATGTATTTTCTCAGGTCCAGAAAAGTTTTTCCAACGTTTGTACCACCAAACCAAGTTGTATGCGAGTTGCTCTGGCTTATCGATATGCCTTGTTTAAACTTCAGTAAGTCGAGCACCATTACAGAGCTGCACATTGTCCCTTTTGATTTATGAGATAGGAGCTTCTGAGGTATGGAGAGTATTGAATGTATCTTTGAATCTAGATGAACCAGAAAGGCGAATTACTGCAAGTAGCACAATTAATTAAAATAATAGGCATGCATATATGTGAGAAGTTGAAAACTTGATAGGAAACTTATAAATTTTTTGTCAGCATTATAATAAATATGTTTGGAGTCATGTTACTAGATACTTGTTTTCACAGATTTTGATATTCTTGCACACCCTCGTTACTCGGTACTAGAGAAAATGAAGAATTGATGTGTTATTAGATTAATCGGTAAAACTGTGGTTCCTGGCAAATAAGGTGCAGGAGGATCATGGAAATAAAAAAAGACTGGTTTATATTACAGTTCAGATCTGAGAAACTGCAATGATATATACGAATTGGGGATTAATGGATACTATGAAAAAACTATTAATGATAGTAGGAAAATGATACATGGAAAACGAACAACATATTCTTAAATTAAATTCCTAAGTATAGCATGTAGATAATATTTTTAATGCTTTTGTAAAACAAAATTACGCGTAATTTTTTTTAATTCCAAGGAAATACATCGTCAATGAATCACTTGTCAGAACACGAATGGAAATATAGTTCGTCCTTAATTAAGCAAAGTAATAATTAAACAAGCTGAAGGTTTGGCATGAAGTTCGTTCAGAGAAATTTACTTTTACCTGATATTAAAATATAGTATCAAGTATCATGCTTTTATAACTATTTTAATGTGTGTTGATATGTCGTTTGGGTGTCTTTTTGTACTGCAGGAATATCCAAAAGATTGTATTTGTGGTGTCTAAGTATCTGGTGTAACAGGCAGTTGATTCTATTCCTGGAACATATTGGATTCGTGTTAACATGGTATGTTGAATAGAATGATTTAGATGTGGGTTGTTGGGGGGGGTGAGTAATTATGTTTCAGCTAGGCTTGGATAGAGAACGCGTTTAATCAATGGTTAAAGGTGCGCTTCAAACACACATTTATAAATGTTGCATACTTTCAATTAAATATTTTTGATGGGAAGCAGTTCTTAAAACGGTAAAAAAGATCATTTTTAAAGAAAAAGGAAGAGGGTTTATGGTGAATGAAGGTAACAAATACGATGGATTATTATTATAAACATTGAATATCATTGGGGAAATCGGGAAATGGGTGCAATTATATTGTGAGCTACAGGCCTGGACTGTCTTCTACTACTATGGATGGATACAATTTGTGTGGCATTTTTCAATAATGAAGAACGTGTGTGAGCTGTTTGTTTCGCATTCAACAATAGAAAATGGTTCTCCAATTTCAGTAATTCGAAATTCTCGCAGTTATAATTGATAAGCATAGTACAATGTAAATATACATTTCATTCGACTGTTGAAGGAAATACTAGTTTGACAATGGAACAGGTGGTTACTATCGGAGGAAGAAACAAGGAAATTGTTTATCCATAATCTATTTTATATTACAATTATCGTTTCTTACATTTGATATTTTAGATCTGCAAGCAGTGATTCAATATTAGTTGAGGATTGTGAAGTTAGATTTGTCCTTGATATTTTTCGTGATTTATGAAAATAGGATGTATATGGATACTACGAGTATAGGAAGGGTGCGAATGATTTCATTCTACAGAGGCAGAGAAAGAGATAAAGGGTGATAAGGAAAACATAACCTTTCTAATAATTTTAATGTAAAATCATTTGAGGTATGATAGTGAGCATGGTAGTATTAAATTTTTGGAAATATGAAATATCCAATTGTCAAATTTGTATTCTGTTTCAATATATTGGGTATTTTGGGTGGATGTTTATAATTTTTGCTTCAGGAAGTTGAAGAAAATTTCATTTGTCAATTTTTTATAAGCTTGCTGCTGGGAAAACTATGCTGTAAGATAAACATTATGTATGTACTATTTAAACGCTATCAGTTTCATTATTATATTTAAAAAGCAAACATATATGATACTAACAGAATGTGTTAAGTGCGTTGAAGATGAGCTTTAATCAGTGTAGTAGATTCAACAATTTTCATCAATCTTCTAACAGATAATAATTGCAAAGTGTGATGAGCAATGTAGTCGATTTTTTCCTTTTTGAAATTTAGAATTATAAAGTCTAATTATTGTTAAGTGTAATTTTTTTACAGATTACACAAAAAATTTGCACACAATCTATTAATCTATCTACATTCAAAATCTTTGTAAATATATTGATCAATTATATATTTTACTATAAACTAATGATATTCAGATCGAAACAAATGATTAATAAGTTGTCTTTTAAATTGTGAAAATTTTCGAAATGTTAGTTTGTCTTAAACTTCAATTTACAATTGATCCAATGTATTTATACTTTTATATTTGTAATTAAGAAGCAATTGAAAATATGGTAAATTATTGAAAAGTTATTACCATAAAAAATTCAAGAAAATAGGTAATTCAAGAATATAGTTATAAATTCTTTTTAATTTTAATAAATCTGGTGAGTGAATTAATATCTCCCTATAAATAATAAATATTTGTGATATTTAATTATAATAATCATTATGCTTTTTATTATGCTTTAGTAGCTTATTTGTCTTGTTAGAAATTGATTGTATATTTTGAATATTCAATAATTCTTACGCAAATTATTGTATGGCTATCTATATCTTATATAATTTTAGTTGGAAGAAGGGGGGAAAAGTAATTAAGTTACTAATTTTTTATTAGTTAGGATAAAAAGGAAAATATTTTTCGCAATCGCAAATGGAATGATAAATAATTATTATCCTGCTTGACATTTTTCATGGATATACAAATGACAAAGTAATAAAACTGTACCAATTTAACATTTTGAAAATTTATGCATGTTGTGACAATTGAAACTAATTTATAAATGTGAGTATTCATATTTTGCTTTGTGTTTTTAAAAAACTTGTCAAATGCTGTAGGAAGAATCCGACTACAAGTTCGATTATATGAAAAACGAATTGAAAAAATTCACTGAAACATGAAACAAAGTAACGAATGTGATATGTTATAAATTTCACAACTTTGTGGAATTCGATTGCGTACAATTTTATGCACCATTGAATGGAACAGTTTTTTTGCATTTTCTGACACAAGGAAGAATAGAATTATTTTATTTTGAATGAAGAAATGACTGAAATGATTCAAAATTTATAACTTCATTACAATGTGTGTACAACAGTTTAAAATTTTGGATATAAAGATATATAATTGATGCTGTGATATAAGGAACTGATTGAAGTAGTATTCCGATAGAAATTTTTTAACTTTTCAACTATAAAAGTAAGAATCGTTCCACAATTATATTACTATACCTTTTTAATTAAAAGTAAAAGATTGAATTAATTTTTAATTTCAGATTTTGATAATAGTCTTCAAACACTTTCGGAATATACGTGGCAATATAATTAATAAAACATAAATATTTTTACAACATAAAATTAAAAATAATTTTTTATGGCAAGATGGAAATTGTAATAGCTATTAAAATTGCATGGAATAATGAGTTGCATTTTTTTAAGTAAAAAGTCGTATGATAAATATTGATAAGTAGTAAAAACAAGTTGATTTATAGAAAAGGATCGATATAAGAATGCAACTTTTAAGGATTATCCTACTATTTGAACGTAGTAAAGGATAATCAGACAACAGAAGTACGACAGAAGAAGAGGAAATATATTGAGAAAGAAATACCTTTAATGGATAAAAAGAAGATAACTTAATATTTGGAAAATATGAAAACGATCATAAATCATAATCATAGCTATTACAATGAATTATATATAAAGTATTAACTTAAAATTTGATAAAACGTCGATGTTCAATTTTCTTCACATTTGAAGAATGTAGCCATTGTGGGATTTGAAGGAATCAACCATTGAAATCAAAACGCAAGATTTTTTAAAAACTTAAAGACGAAGATTACTAATATGGGATTTCGTGCTACCCAGTGAAAACTACCAACACAAAAGAACTTTATAGAATCCAAAGGAGAATAGCAATGTGGAACTTTGCGGCATTCAATTGAGGCTTTCAACGCGAGACTTACTGGAATCTGGAGGAGACTACCAACGCGGGACTTCATGAAATCTGGAAGACTACCAACGCGGGACTTAATGGAATCTGGAGGAGACTACCAACGCGGGACTTGATGGAATCTGGAGGAGACTACCAACGCGGGACTTCATGGAATCTGGAAGAGACTACGAACACGGGACTTCATGGAATCTGGAGGAGACTACCAACGCGGGACTTCATGGAATCTGGAAGAGACTACGAACACGGGACTTCATGGAATCTGGAGGAGACTACCAACGCGGGACTTCATGGAATCTGGAGGAGACTACCAACGCGGGACTAAATGGAATCTGGAGGAGACTACGAACACGGGACTTCATGGAATCTGGAGGAGACTACCAACGCGGGACTTCATGGAATCTGGAGGAGACTACCAACGCGGGACTAAATGGAATCTGGAGGAGACTACGAACACGGGACTTCATGGAATCTGGAGGAGACTACCAACGCGGGACTTCATGGAATCTGGAGGAGACTACCAACGCGGGACTTCATGGAATCTGGAGGAGACTACCAACGCGGGACTTCATGGAATCTGGAGGAGACTACCAACGCGGGACTTCATGGAATCTGGAGGAGACTACCAACGCGGGACTTCATGGAATCTGGAGGAGACTACCAACGCGGGACTTCATGGAATCTGGAGGAGACTACCAACGCGGGACTTCATGGAATCTGGAGGAGACTACCAACGCGGGACTTCATGGAATCTGGAGGAGACTACCAACGCGGGACTTCATGGAATCTGGAGGAGACTACCAACGCGGGACTTCATGGAATCTGGAGGAGACTACCAACGCGGGACTTCATGGAATCTGGAGGAGACTACCAACGCGGGACTTCATGGAATCTGGAGGAGACTACCAACGCAGGGCATCATGTTAACCATTAAGACTTCGTGGGATCTAAAGAAGATTTAACGGGAGATTGTGTGGGACCTTGAGCAAGCCACCAACATAGGACTTCGTGGGATTCAGAAGAGAGCTACTACCAACGTGGGACTTCGTGGGATTCAGAAGAGGACTATTACCGATGTGGGACTTCGTGGGATTCAGAAGAGGACTATTACCAACGTGGGACTTCGTGGGATTCAGAAGAGGGCTATTACTAACGTGGGACTTCATGGGATTTAGAACAGGCAACTACTAACATGGGACTTCGTGGGATTTAGAAGAGGAAATTACCAACCAATGTGAGACTTTATAGGATTCACAAGAGGGCTACTACCAACGTGGGATTCAGAAGAGGACTACTACCAACGTGGGATTCGGAAGAGGGCTACTACCAACGTGGAATTTGGTGAGATTTAAAAAGTGACAGTGTCAAAAAGTCATGAGTGCAGGATTTTGTGAAGATGTAAAAAAAGTATTGATATCATATTATATATATACACAACAAAATAGCAAAGCATCACAGTTATAAACAAAATAGGAATTAATTTTTTACAGCTTAGGAATGCAATTAAAAAATAGCGTCATAAATTGTTAGATCATTATTTTAAACATTGCTTAATCAGATTAATAATAATTTGATCATATAGAATCATATATATTATATATTGAGAAGTATAATCTATATAAGAAGTAACTGTGTGATTATGTGAAAATATTAAAGTAACAATTTATAATATGAAGATAGTCATATATTTTATTATACATTTAATAGATAAGTATTATATTGTAAGAACATATGCAACTTTTGTCTGTGATAATAAAATTTAAGAATTCATGATAGTACAAATTTACATTAATAAAACTAAAATAAGTATTTGAAACAATAATAATATTTATTTTTAAACGTAAAATATTTTTAATTTATGTAGTGCAAATTTAAGCAGAAATAAAATTGATAAATTGAATATTTTGCTCGACTTGATTTTTCATTAACATTTATTATATTAATAAAATTGAATGAACATTAGAGTTTTAATCTTTTTACGTCTTCTGGACGAAAATCTATTCTCATGGAAGCGATGCGTCGAACCTCGGCGGGTGTTAATCTCCATGCTATTGCGTCTGCACCGCAATAATCTGCCAATTCTTCTATTTTTTCAACGCTCAATATGGTAGCTATTTGTGTTAATCGCGCAAATTTATCACGTACAGACCACGAAGTAACAGCGGCTAAGTAACTTGCTAATGATCTAATTTCTTTATCAAGTATAAGACCTCCCGCCTAAAAAATTAATTAATTTTTATTAATTTATTTTAATTTATTCAGGAAAGTAAATGATAAAATGAAATTATAAAATATACATACTCTGTTAAAGGTAGATTTTAATACAACTTTTTCTAAACGAGCTGTTACTTCAGCAGTAAGAAGACCAATTAAAGCATCATAATTAGATGTTGTTAAAGTTCCTTTAAAACTTTGAAGTAAACCTTCTAAATTCATAATTAAAGTTTGCACAAAAGGTTCTTCTGTTTCATATCTTAATAAGTCATCCTATGAAAATAGATCGTTATATTTTTATTCAATTCGGTCTAATCTTACATCCAACTATATACTTTTACCTCGTTTATATGATGATCCACTGATAAAAATGCATCGACCCAAGGTGTGACTCTCGGTTTGACAGCACTTACTCGTAATTGTTCTAAACCATAATCATTAACAGCTCGTAAAATCGACATAACACCTTTTAACCCGGATAAACAACTGTCGATTTTACCTCTTTCTTTATTTTGCATATTGGAAAATGTTGCATCTATCTCACTACTAAGACTTTTACATAGTGTTTCAACATATTCAATACTTACGTCGGTATTATTTAAATAAGCCTATATCAAAAATAGATAATTAGTTAATATATGAAATATCTAAGACTTGTAAGATATAAGACTTTGGTGACATGTATTACTAAAAACATTAGACGAGCGAGTTCCGTATCTGAAGTTTGTAGACGACCATGTTGAATACTTGTTTGAAGAGCACTATAAGCTTGTGCTAAATCTAAATATCCTGCTGGATAGCCTTGTCGCAATCGATTCCGTAATCTGTTTGCAAATTCTCCTTCTAATATTCCACAAGCCATATTAACTACAGCACAGACACCATCTATACTCCAACTTGACATAGAACGCCTGTATATGAAAATTTTGTATTTTACTCATATTTCAAGTAGAATTATAAATTATAAATTATAAATTAAAAAATGTTTTCAATACCTAATACATTTCTGTACTATGAAGAAAACATCATCAACCATGCTGGATGTTTGTTGATCTTGATCCAATGTATCCATTCCTAGTGCTTTATTTACACTTTCTTCAAGGAAATATCTTTCTAAAGCAAGATAAGCACCTAAAAGTTCTTGCATACCGTGTGCTAAATCAGAATTATTGATCATACTTTCAAATTCATTTATTAAATCTTTGTATTGAGCATCATTTGTTACACTAATTTCTATATCATTCTGTAATAAAAATGATATAAATTTATAAAATTTGAGTGTTTATAAATTATGTAAAAGTACACATTTAGAACATGTTCAACTAACTTTAACTCTTCTTTTTAAGAATCTTATATATAATTCTGCACGGGAATGCATTATAGTAATTTCTCCCAATAACAAATCAAACTCTTTAGGATCTGCTCTTTCAGAACTTGGTTTTCGAACATAATCATTTACAATCTGTACTTTTTTTGATATACATCGATGTTTCATAAATTCTGCAATAATCTTTTTAACTTGTCTATTCAAAATAATAATAAAAGTCTTCATATTATTTTTGAAAGGACAATTTCTTTATATGTACTATGAATATGTAGAGCTATACCTGTCACATTCCTTTTGCAAAATAGAAATCGTCATTAATAATCTTCCAGGACCATAATATGTTTCAATTATTGGCTGGTGTATCTCTATGATACGAGCAATTCCTTCAAATAGTAATGTCATAGTATCAGAAAAAATAACTGATGTTCTTTTATCATTACTTTTTATTTCTAAAGCTGCTTTCAAATTTTTTTGAGCTGTTTCTTGCAGCTAATATTAGAAACACATAGTTATATAAAATATATAATGTTTAAAAAAAATTATCTAATTTATTACCTTTGTGCATAAGTAACTACAAAATTTTTTAAGTCCTTCAATATGCATCCCTAATAAAGGAAATATTTTGAAAAATCTTTCAACAGAAGCAAGATCCTCTGATTTTACTGCTTCGTCAAATTTATGTGTAACCACAGTTCTGAGTTGTAATGCAGCTTGTTGCAATGTAATTAAAGAAGAACTGACATTAGTGTGATCCATTAAAATATCTTCAGCTGTTCTTTCCAATAATTGTTGATCCATTGATAAATAACGATGAACATGAGCTGCTCCTTGTTCATAATCTTCATTACATAGTGCCATAGCTACTCCTTCGCTACATAATTGCAAATCAAGAATATCGTTAACACGTCTCTGACATTCGTATACTCTGCTCTACAATAAAATAATTAATCTTGATATATTATATAATAAGCAATTTAATAGAAAAAGTTATCATCAGTACTATAGTTAATATTATAGTTCAACTTACCCTTGCTAAATCCAATTGTCTTACTTTGGCACTTACATTTTCTGCTAGTTCATTAGTATGTTTAATCATATTACAAAACTTTTCTCCTTCTGTTCTTATCACAACAACATTAGGTAATACCTTGCTTATACTTTGCAGTTTTGCTTCTACATGACATTGTCTTGAAAGTATAGTTTTTAAATTTTTTTCTATCTTAATCTGCAATCAGACAATTACAACCACAATTACAATTTGTCTTTTAAAAATTCAAAACACAAAAAACTAAATTTAGAAAGAAAATATAATGATACCTCATCTTCTGATAATCTATCAAGTATTTCTGTCAAATTGTCTTGATTTGGAGATAAATCCATCATATATATTATATTGATGCAGATCACACTGTAATAAGTTTATTAAATACTTTATCAAATTTATATATATTACACCTGGAACAATTTCAAACTTAACAGTTTTACTGAAGTGAAATTTATTATATTAGGTGATTATAAAAGGAAAACAATTTAATAGTATATACATGGCTAAAAGTTTATAGTCTGTTGTATTCAATAAACATTTCATACGCAATGTGATGAATATTTGCAAAATTCAATAATGGCGGATCCTTATTTTGTAATCTACAATTTCTATGGTTTTTATATTAATAGAAAATATTGCATATTTTTAATAGATATTTATTACTTTAGAGTTTTTTAAGTTATTCATTCATAAATATTTATTTTATTGTTCCAACGATATAATAAAATGTTGATGTCTTCCAATCAGAAAATTATATCTTATATAATAATTGATACATTCTGAAAGAATTTCATTAGATATTTATTAATTTTGACTTTATATTAATATAATACATATATTGCAAAGCGTACGAATAAAAATTGGGATCAATTGTATTCATGAATACCAGTGTAAATGAAAATTCACCAATGACAACGCCTTTAAGGTGTTCCACACATGCATCGAAACATCCCACGCATCGCGCGTGGTTTCTGAAGGAAGTTGAGTTCTTTCCGCGCATCTTACGCGTTTTCCTGAAGGAAAATGGCTACCAGCTGTCATTTAATCGAAAAGTGTAACTTGTAAAGTGACAGAGAATTCCGTGAGAAATTATTTAACGTATACAAGATTGTCTGGCGCGATGCAATTACATAACGTTGAAATCATTTAGTTGATCGACGCCACTTTTCATCTACATGCGGAACCCGTGAAACCTTCTACAGTGCCATGAAATTTTTTTCCTCTTTACTGTTTACAGTTTTTATTTTTTACGAAACGTACCAGGACTAACAAGTCAACGCTACTTCCACGTTTTTTAAATAATTAAATCGTTTCAGTAATCATTTTATAATTATTACTGACAATTCAACCGTGCTGCGTATTAAAGACCACAAATTTTTTCACCTCACTCACGCTTTATTTTTTGGAGCACGTTAACTGCAAACACGGTAAACCATTGTTTAAGAATATTAAATGCAGGAATTACAATATGTGTGATTTATTTCTTTTTTTTTTTTCTTTTTTTTTGAATTTGATATAGATATTAATTTTTGCGATTGTACGTTTATGTTAATAAAATTGTCAGTACCTTTTTTTTCAATATTTGAATAATATTTTTGTATTATTTCAGAAAAGCAGGATGGGTTCGAGTCAACAGTTTTCTCTTAGGTGGAATAATTATTTAAAACATATTACTTGTGCTTTTGACACGTTAAGAACAGAAGAAGATCTAGTTGACGTAACTTTAAGCTGCGAAGGAAAAAGAATAAGAGCGCACAAAATGTTGTTGTCTGCATGTAGTACATATTTCAGAGATTTATTTAAGGTAAAGTGAGATAGAAAATTTGATGATCAATGACTATTATCATATATTATAAATAATGTCTATTTTATTATAGGAAAATCCATGTCAGCATCCTGTTATAATATTTCGTAATGTAAAATTCGATGATTTGGCTGCATTAGTAGATTTTATGTATCAGGGTGAAGTAAACGTGGTCCAGGAGCAGTTAGCCAGTTTTTTAACGACTGCTGAACTACTTGCTGTTCAGGGTCTTACCGATGGTACAGGAAAAGATAATGATAGTTTAGTAGAGGTATGTTTTTCAAAATTGTTAAATATAATTAAATATTTTATGCATATTAAAATAATGTATTTTCATTGTTTCGAACTGTGTTTCAGGATGACATAGAAATTCCTAATGAACCTGAAATTCAACTTCAAAATGCTTCTAGTAAAACAGCAACAGATAAAAGAAATAAGTCACCTTCATCTCCAATGCCTTATCACGCTGTCGATTTACAACCTGATGCTCCGCCAAGTAAACGACGAAAATGTAGAGAAAACGCGAATACAAATGCGGACAAGACTATAAGTAATGCTTTGTCTGCAAAAGATTCTGAAAACAAAACTTCAGAAAATCAATCAACGACTGGCTCGGATCCTGTTGAAATAATTCCACTAATGCCAAATTTAAAGTTGGAAATGCCTGAATATCTAGTACAAGATGGAAGTAGCTGTAGTTACGAAGAACAAAGTTTAGGGGACAGTTCACTAAATAAAATTGGTATAGAAGATACATCATCTAATACTCCGGATCATGATCAGAAGCCTGATATCACTCAAACATTCTATTCAAGTAATCAGTCTACTTCAGATAGTTTGGATCTCAAACATCAAACAACTGATGTTGGTAAGACTTACTATTTTATCATATTCCGAAAGCATAGAAGGATATATTGCTATAATTCTGTTTGTTAATTAGGACACTTGCTTTCGAAACCTAGTACTTCTGGAGAAAGATTAACGCAAGAAGCAGTACAGGGTAAGTGTTTTCATAATCAATATTTATTTTATCTTATTATAATACATAGTTACTGTTGTGCCATATCTTTTAACTTTTAACTTTTGAAAATAAATTTTAATAATTATCAAAATCGTATTAAGACGTTATTGTTAATAAAACATATACAGAATAGACTTTATAACTTGAAATATTTTACAAGTGCAAAGAAATTTGGGTTGAATGTAAGACATTAATGTAAATAATTAAGAGAAATGGCATTGCAAACTAGTTTAAAATTTTGTATCCATATGTTGCCAATGCTAATGATTTCTTGTTTTTTAAAATGTTATTTAATTATCGATAGGTAATGCATTTTATATTTATAAATATGAAAAAGTCAATTTTTATCAAATTGCTTAATATGATATATATGGTCATTTATTTATTTATTATAAAACTGCTTGAATATGGGTACAAAATGGTTTTTATGCATATTCTTACATATAACTTCCATTTACTTTAAATTATTATTCGGAATTTGATGATAAAATTACGCAGACCAAGAGAAAGGGGATTAATTTCATTATAGTTAATTTGAAGGAAAGATGCGTGAAATTCTTATGGTATAAATTGTATAAAAATTCAGTAGAGTATAAAGCTTTATATTATTCTTACACATGAAAAGTTTATTTACAAAACACTGATAAAGTTAAAGACATTAATAATGATTGCAGAAAAGATTTGTTATCAATACGAAATGAATAGATTTCGAATAAAAAGCTCATAGATTCGATTAGTTATTAGTTAGAGATTCGACTATACAAGAAAACAAAAAAGTAAACGATTTTATAAAAAGAAAGTTTATTTGAATAAATTAAAGATACTATGTTTTGTCAAATATTAGATCTTACGTTCAAAGCATTTTTTTATCTATTTTACATTAAATTTGTTATTTGTATGAAAATGTCAGGATCGGGTTAACTGGACGATCGTGTAGTAAAATATTAATGCAAATTATTGGAATTATTAAAAGAAAACTGCATTCTCTATTGTGAAAAGATTTTACTTTATTTCCATTAATCATTTAACTGTACTATAATATCAAATGTGCATGGTTTTTGGATGTAAATGTATGGCATAGGCACTCGGGTGTAGGTTGAACTGTAGATATTAGTAAGCATTGCCAAGTGCTGTATGTGTGCCGACAATCATCAACATTTCCTTAACAACTCGTATAAAACCACCGCTACGTTCCTTTCGAGCACTAACTATAAGCATATTTCTGTGTATACACTAAAATGAAAATATCTTTCAACTGGTATAAGGCAACTTCTTTGAATCTGTAGAACTTTACGCAGATCACGCACGCACACGTGTGGTGCAAATACATATCTTTTGTTTACCTCACTTGCATACAAAGTTAATCTTAAATTCATTCATTTCATTGTTGTCTGTCGTTCATATAAATATGATAAAAGTGTGGATAAAAATTCGGAAGAAAGATGTATTTGGAAAAATAAGGTATTTAGAATCAGCTATTTTAGAATTGAAATTCAAATTGACAATTGAAATTACTTATCTCGTCCTTTTCCATGTGTTTTCTAAAATTTAATTGCACTACTATTTAAGATTAACTTGCAAGTTATTGTTTTAATTTTTTGTACAAAAGGAAACTTTGCAGCCTTGTAAAACAACTAATGTGAAGTAGCAATGGTGGTGGTGCTGGCGATAATGGCATGTAAATGATCCTTCTCCGTATCCGGACATCTTATTGTATATTCATTCCTTCTATTTATATAATTATATCGTAAATTTGAGAAGTCAATGTCGGTGCGTGGTATTTTTTCGATGTTCAAATCGAATCGATAAGCCTTTGAAACACGATAGGAAATGGGAACGTTACGTTTCTTTCATCGAACGTTCAAAATTATGTTTTCAGTCACGACTTTTTCAAACTCGATTTGTTCCGCAAAGAATTTTTTACACGACCCGATCCGAAATACCGTTCGGCCTATTGAAAAGGCAATTTCGGCAGGTAGGTAAGCAGAGCCTCTTTACTCATAATAATCGTTTGATCGTTGAAGCAGGAGCATGAATTATTCGAATACGCGAGTTTAATAAGTTACCGATAGTTATACATTTGCGTGCGGTGATAGGCCCGGAAAAAGAATTTCTAGAGAAGAACTTTGTACTGAAAATTCCGTTTGGGAACTGTAAATCGAAGAAAGACAATAGAATCGTGTACAGAACTCATGTAACGTTTCAGGCGTGAGATAACCATGTAAATAACGATTTAGGAATTGATGTTTGTACGTTGTTAATCCTTTTCTTGCTACCGTGGACGAGATGTCTCGCCACAGCTATCGTCGGTTGTGCAATATCACCGACGAGATATCTCGCTTCATAACACCGCTTCTACAATTCCACTTCGTTGGTGGTATTGTACGACCACATAGTTGCGGAGACGAGATATCTCGTTCACGGTAGCGAGAGGGTTAATGCGCGTAAGAGCGATCGAGCTAGTGCTCTATATTACAATTACGAGTGTTTTGTGTGTGTGTGCGAACATTACTCTCCATTGCTCGCGCCGTACGCGCTAAGCGTTTTATAGCTGAGCGTGAAGCGATTTAAATTGTAATCGTATGCCGACTTATCGTTCTCCAGCAAATTGTCGATGTGCCGAATCGAAGATTATTATTATTTACCAAGGTGACTTGACGAATCGTCGGTCGATCAATCTTCAAACTCGCAGTCGATTACCAAAGCGCAAAACACGATCGTTTCTATCGGAATGTTAATACATTGTTCCGTAATGTAAAAATCACCAGGCAGGTTTCAACTTGATACTTTCGAATCATTAACGACATCGTCGTTTTATTCGTTCGTACAAAGAACAAGTATTGGAGCCCCGAGAGTAAACGTACACGTGCTCCCGAGAACCGGGAGTAGGAAGAATGCATATTTCCGAACGACGATCAGCGAAGGCACGTGTCGAAGTTAAAAATGAAAAAAATATACAAGTAAGAAACAAAAGTCAATAGAATAAAAGATGCATTAAAAGGAATACGAATGAACGAACGAACGGCTTTTTCGATGATCAAAGATAAAGAGAGGAACGATTCATAATGGACTTGAATCGAAAGGAGAAGCATTCGCGACGCTACGTACGTTAGAAGTACGTATATAAAATGTATTGAACGCACATACGATACGTGATACAGTTGCCAGACTGTGTTGCAAATGCAAGGAAACGAGAGGAGGGTAACTGGGGATGGGTGATAGAAAGCAAAATGATATTAAAGTAATTTTGTTGCGAGGAAACAAATAAGAGAAATGCAATCGAGGAGTTCTCGAGAAGAGAAAGAGAGGAAACGAGAGAAAGAACAAAAAAAAAAAAAAAAAAACCGGCGATCGAGATATTCGGCTAGCACATGGCAATGCTACATTTTCACCTAAGTACACGCATACACATACGAAAATATATCGTTGGTATTGGTATCGCTGGTACTCTCTTGACTGGCTTTCACGGCTACGGGATTGGTTGGTGCTGGGATTGGTCGTTAAAGAAATTTATTTACTAATGGTTGCCTGCATGTGCACATATACTTAAGAATTGACTAACCGAAGTGTTTGGCCAATGTGTTTTCTTCAGGAGGGATTACGTACGTATCTGGTCAGCCGCATAGCCTCAGCAAAGCAAACGGCCACGGAAAAGTATGTGTACACTGCAAGCAGCGCGGAATGGTCACATCACGTGGAAAGCTCAGGCAGACGCGCTTCAAATGTTGGCCCTGCAATGCCTGTTTGTGCCGCTGGCCATGTTTCGTCGATTTTCACAAAATGCGCGCTATCCCGCATATCCCGCCCCCATAGCACCAACTCGCCCCCTCCGATCACCTCGAGTTAATTTCATTATTCGACTAATCATCACACCTCCCCTGTGCTTTTCGATTTTCTCTGTGTGTTACATCTACCGCAAGGGAAAGCCACCCGTGAATTGAATCATGAGAAACAACAGGGGAACGAAAAGAAGAAGAGAAAGAGAGAGGGGGAGAGAGAGAGAGAGAGAGAGAGAACGAAAGAACGAGAGAAAGAAGGGAGAAAATGAAGACTAGAACAGGAATAACATTGTTGATTTGTTTTTTTTTTTATTTTTTTTCTTTCGGCCAAATTGTACGTATACATGTTCATTAGACTATGTATAATTTTTTTTTTACTTTTTTTCCTTCTGTTTCTGATGCGAACCCGAATAATTTTTATCATCCTACTTTCTCGTACGTTTATTCTCCGTACGTGTTTTTGATTCAATCAGTAATTTGTTATGTACCTTGTGATCGTCGGTTTTATTCCGCAAAATTTGTTTGGGTGCGATGTGCGTTTCGCGTATTTTCGATACAGATTTGTACGCGATCGTTCCCCACGTAATCTCGTCGAAACAGCTGGAAACATATAACGCGTGATACGTATTCAGGTGATAATTTTTTCTCTTGCTCTTTTTATATGATAAAGTGCACGCGTTCGATAATCCGAGAACATCTTGATCGTTTATTTTCTGGTCTTTCGACATAGAGGCTGCTTCGCGCGTAGGAAGCAACGGTGAATATCCTCGTTCGAAACGTATCGTACTCTGGACACGACCCTTGCTTCGTTGCAAGTGTCGTTCATCCATTAATTATTTTTTACAATGTATTTTATGTTTTACAATCCAGCGTTTATTTATAATTCGTATTAGTTAATTATCAATTATTCGACTGATATCCAGGATATTCCTTCTTCGATAGTTTTTATTTCATATTTAGTAATTTGATCGCGCTTTCGATGGCTTGATTGACTCAATATGCCCACACTAGCATAATAGAAGGATCGTTATTTAATTTAATTTTTACGCTATACATAAGACTGCGACGAGTGAACTCGTTCGATTTATACGGTAATGCTCTCTGTCGACGGTACTTAGATACAAATACTTGGCCACTTTCGTCCGAGTAGCGATTATGTGTTTCGTCCTCTTTTTACAAGGTACGCGTATGCAGTGATAT